GGCGTCCGTAGCTCGCAGAGCGCAGATATCTACCTCCTGGGCACTTACATCCCAGCGATCCCCCCCCTCGACGTATCCCTGACCCCAAAACCAGGGTGCCACGAGGCCGCCCCCTCACCCCCTGGTCGGCGCGGAAGTGTCTTGTAAATACGCGAGGCCGCCCATTGTCAGTGCGTGCACACCCCCTAGCGTCCCCTCTCTTTCTGGGCATAAAGATGGGCGGACTTGTGTATACATAACTGCCCAGCAGCACTGGAGAGAGGAGCGGCGGGGCGCAGGCAGAGGGGCGGGGAGAAGAGGGCAGATCTGCCGAGATGAGATGACCGACCGACCTGGCGCCCTGCCTGCCTGCCCTGCCTTGCCTCGGCGCCTCAACTCCGTCCTCCTCCGCGATTTTCAACTCGCTTCTGGTCGGCCAATCCGCGGCCCCGCTGTAAAGGGGGAGAGGGAGGGGAGGGAGATGGAGAGAGGGGGAAGTGCTCAGGTACGGGGAGGGGAGCTGAAAAGTGTGGGCTGAGGTGCGATGCGATGCGATGAGATGGCCACCACCCACCACCACCGCCGTATAGTAACTTGCATGTATGTGCGTAGCGCTGTATCGTACTGTACCCTGCACCGGTTTTAGGGCGGATACACAGGGCAAAGCTACTAAACTACGCCGCTGGTGTGTCTGTGTGTGTGTGTGCACGCACCCTCCTTTTTTTAGGCTGGTGTGGTGTGGCGTGGTGTTCACTCCGTACGTGTGTGGCTGCCCGTCCGCCGCCGACACACCTGCCAGGGCTGCTGTCGTGCCCTCCCTTCGCGAAGCAAGGTGCCTGCCTACCTGCAACCGCTTAAATTTACCTAATTCTACTCCCCTTCTCCATCCCAACAATCCCCCCCCCGAACCTAGAAAGACAAAAACTTCGGACGCCCCGGGACTGGGACTGGGACTGGGACTGGGGAAAAAAAGGGTCCGTGTGAGGGGGAGTTTTTCGGCTTCAAAGACAGCTCTCTCCGCTGCCGGCCTCTCCACCGGGTGGCGGGGCGGGGCGGGGGGTCGTGTACCGTGGTTTAGGGCCTGGAGAGAGGAGAGAGAGGTGGATGAGAGGTGGATGAGAGATAAGCTCGCTCGCCGACGCCGCGGGCGCTTGTGGTGGGTGGGCGGGGAGGGAGACAAAGGGAACGGCAGTTTTTGCTGGGTTATCTTCGGCTTGATAATCATAATGATGCCCCGGATATAGCGCCATGAACCGATTGTGTGGGACGGGAGTGGTGATGTGATGTACCGTACCGTGGTCGTGTTTGGTGGTGGGTGAGGATGCCCAGCGTATCGCCACGTGAATGGCGTATGATTTTCGTGATGTTTGGTTGGTTGTATTCGCTGGGCTAGGGGGGGATGGATGTCGCCGTTGGCGTTGGATAGGTGGTATCGCGGGGATATTGGGATGGGATATGATATGATATCGTCCTAGAGGCTAGAGGGGGAAGATTACGAAATTCCGGCGGCTAGGTTAATCAGTCTCACCTTTCCCGGCGCGAAAGTGATATATAGCCCAGCCCGAGTTTGTCACTTCCATGATCCTATTGCTGGAGCACTCTGGCTGCTGTTGGAACACTCTGGTTACTGTTGGGTGCACTCTGGAAGATATCTCACAACCCCCCAAACCTTTCAAATAGCGGCCCTACCTCACCGCCGCGATACGAACCACATATTGAACCACATATTACATCGCAGGGCCCATCGATCTGGATAAACGCAGATCATTGCCCCCCTTAAATGCGCCTCCCTCCCGATGCGCATAATCTATATTTGACTTCCCTATATCAAAACCGTATTATTACACTTTCTTCCCTCCCTCCCCCTTCTCCTCAGCCAAAATAGAAACCCCCCCGACTCCCAGCAGTACATTCGGAGCCCATCACATGGATGGGCGCAAGCCGCATGTTGTCTGCAATTGGAGGACACTAGATCATGCACAAGCCTTGCATACATAAACCCACAGGCACACCCCATTTGGGAAATCGCACATACAGTATTAGGAAATGGGCTGGCTTGCTGCAAGTCGTAAGTGCACTTGTATGGATAAGTTTGTGGTGGTTGTGTGCCTAAAGCTGGACTAGAGGAATTCCGTTGTGCCTAGGCGCGACTGCGAATGTTCTGGCAACTGCATCTGGTCACTGCAGAATGCAGAATGCAGTGCCCGCGCGCGATGCATGCATGGAGAGAGTCGACGCCGGCATGGCCGTGGGACTAGGCTGCTGTAGACCACCACCGACCACTACCCCCTTCATACACCCAGCGAGCGAACCGACTACGTGGTGCATGCTAGAAATCTCGACCGGTCGTGGGCCCTCCTAGCCGCAGCAGTCGACCGTCAGCAATTCTTGTCAGTTATCGGGGATTAACTCCATTATCGCCGCCGGCCTGCTGTTTGTCAGATCGTAGACATGCACGTACACACACACGAGTCCCCACACACAAAAGCCAAGCCAAGCAAAACCTCGTGGCAGAACGGGCGCCGGTGGCAAAGTGTCTGTGCTTGCTGCTGCTGGGCTGTGTGTGTGTGGTGGCAGCTCAGCTTCTTCGGCTTTTTCACCAATTAACCGCCGTTGAGATTACTTTTACAGTATTGTTAAGCGATATCTAGCTGGGATTTGTCAAGGCTAGACTCGGCTGTTTTGCGGGTCGCTGGGGGACGAGAAATGTGAAAGGTATGGAGCCAGTTACCAGTCGTGGACCACCGCCGTTGTTTTCTTGTGTCGAGCGAACGGCCCCTGTCCTGTCCTGCACAGCACCGGTCGTCGCCCCCATCAGCCCATGAGGGTTTTGCTGGGAGGGTGGGTGGCGGTTAGGAACAAGTGCTATGGTCCCCCCGGCCAGTAAGAGGGATTCATATACGGAGCGCGAAGAAAAAAAGTTCGCTCCTCGGGTTTTACGGTACGGTACTAGGGCGTAGGGTAAGCATGTATGACACTATCTGTCTAAAATAACGGACGACGCACGCAGAAGAACACGCGCGATGCCTGTCAAGAGACGCAGGTGACAGGTCATATCCAGGGTTCGAGTTCAGGTTCGGGGTCCTTGGGGAGGAGCGGAGCGTGTGTGCGCCGTACCGTACTGCACTGTACAGGATCCCTTGGCTTGTTTGGCCTCCTGCTTGCTACTGCTGGTGGTGCTGGTGCTGCGGCGACAGACGGGGAAGGATCGGGGACGCCTGGACTCCTGCGCTCCGGCGGTCGCGCGGCGGTCTTGGACGTCCCACTACTACTACTCCTCTCCCCGGTGATCAAACAGCTCGATCCTTGGTTCCCGAACTTCGAGATCAGCAATCTATATGGGCCATCCCCTCTCGGGCCCAAGCGCTGGTGCATGCATGCATGTGTGTGTGTGTATGATGGGTTTTCGCGTCTGGCCACTCAGTTAGCCAAGCTAAGAAAGGGAGGCGAATGGAGGAGAGAGTGACGAATGGAGGCGAGAGTGACGAATGGAGGAGGGGTTACAGTATGCGGTATGGATGGGGATGGATGGCTGGAGGCGGTATTACTGGAATTGTAACGGGATGGGCGGGATGGAGGCGCCTGGAGGTCGGGGAGGACGAAAGAGGAAAGAAAGAGGGCTGAGACACTTACCAGAAGGAGGTGTGAGGTGAGGTGAGGGGAGAGGGGGAGGACCAGGCAGAGACACGGGGGGCGGGGCGGGGCGGAGAAAGTGAGCGGGTGGTGGTACGATTGGTGGTGCTGCGAACTACTGTGAGTGTCTGCAAGTAACTCGAGTAAGGGAGTGGGAGGAGTACGAAGTGCAGTTTGTGGGTGCGGGTACGAGTGGTGTACCGTACAAGTTAGTTCCTCCTCCATACACACACCACACAGTGAGAGCATGTGTCTAGTCGCAACGCCCCGACCAATCCCGTCGTCCCAATTCACGACAGGTCTTGACAGGAGTCGAACGCGGGCTATGGGCGGTCCAGACCGACGACACGAACGGGTAACGAGGACGAGACGGCGAGGTGTGAGTGGTCGGATTATAAGCTGGAGATAAACATGGTGTTGTTTGGATGAGATGGGCGGCACTTTAATGTTTGTTGGCTGGAGAGAGGAGTTTATAGTAGGGTAGAGTGGCGTAGAGTGCTTTGATTGGGGGCTGTGAGAGTCTGGCGCGTTCTGGAGGCGTGGAAGTGTTGTTATGCGGAGTATACGGTTGTTTTGGAGTGTGTACTCCGTACTGTGAGTTACATACATCCTCCCCCTAGAGTACTTGTAGCTTCCACTCATACCACACCCATCTATTTACTCGTCGTACCTTACTCACAGTACTCTTACTCTATTACACGTTGCGTTTACTACTGGTACGACTACTACTCGTACGACTACGACTTTCATAAGGGAAAGGGTAAAGCGAAACCACACCGTGGGGATTAACGCCTCCAGATGCAGCCAATCCTTGCTAAGTAAGGAAGGAAGTTAGGGGAGTGGTGGGTGGTTTGTACCTTTGCAGCCAATTCAAAAGAAAGTCAAGTCACAGACAGTTGCATACAAAAGCAATCCAAGCAAATCCAAGCAAATCCCAGTTGCAATTCCAGTTGATCCTAGCTGATTTCAAGCAAATCCCAGTGCACTCCTAGTGATCCTAGCTGATTTCAAGCAAATCCCAGTTGCACTCCTAGTGATCCTAGCTGATTTCTATTCTAGCAACACCCTAGTAATTCCAGTAAATGCTAGTAATTCGAGTCAATCCTAGCATATTCCAGTAAGTCCTAGCACATCCTAACAGGCTATCCTAGCATATTTCTAGCGAGTGATCCAAGCAACCCTAGCAATTCTAGCAGTCGAATCCAAGCAATCCTAGTAATCCTAGCAGTTGAATCTCCCCCTCCCCTCCCCGGTCTCCGCCCATCCCATCTAAACCCATCTCCCATCTCCGGCCGGCGCCCCTTCCCACCCATCCATCCATCCCACCCACCCACAAATTCCACAATTCCCTTCTCTTTCTCTCGCTCTTCCACACACCTTCCGCCGCCCACCCACTGGCACCCACTGATACATCCTAAAACCCACCACTCGCATCCACTCACAACCAACTCCCTACACTCTCCTAAACCACACCCACATGTCACTTTTGTCGCGTCTAACCCCCTTACCACATGTAGTACCTTAAACTCTGTACCTTTACTTACTTGCAGCCATACACCACACCCACCCACCGGCTGAAAATCATTCCTATTTACGAACCAAATATCACTTTCTCCTCCACACTTTCCCTTCTGATCTCAGCCTCCCAGAAGATCGACACGGAAAACCGATCCCAACCTGTGCACTGTTGCTTATCTTCATTCAAATCCCACCCATCGATCCTTCTCTCCTCTTCTTCTTCACGTCGTCGCCCTCGCCCTCGCCCGTCGCAATCCGCCTCAAGATCGTTGCCGTCGTTCCCCCCGACGAGGCAGCTAATCTCGCCGATTGAAGAACCGCTTACCTGCAGACAGGAACGACTCGGCTGCCCCAAATCCCAGCGCGCGAAAACCGATCATCCCTTTCCCCTTCTGCCCGCCAAATCCTCATCGACCTCCTTCTCTTCGTCGACTGAGCTCACATTCGCTTTCGTGTTCCCGTTCCCCAGATCCGACGCGACAAATATTTCATATCTCTCCTCATCCTTCGCTCGGGATGCGCAATTAGACACGAAGAACGTGAATTGACGCTTGCTCTACTTCATACACCCTCAACCGGTCACATATCCACGACCGAGGCCGATCCTTCCCGCGGAGAAACGACCGCGCCTTGAGCAATTGGGCTTTCGGATCTCGATATTTCGCGAAGGGGTTTACAATTGACGCATTTCCGATCCTTCAATTCTGCTCCTGTCGCTCTTTTAGCCGACAAAAACACTCGCTGAGCCCCGTTCCATCCGATTTCAAGGATACCGGCCCCCCGCCGATCACTCCTTAACGCCCAATAGCGCCCTAAAATATTTATCCACCGTCTATTGACACTATATCGCTTCCTCGACACTCGCTCTCTCGCTATTAGCTCCATATTGTGTTTACAACTCACCACAGTCACTCGTTTTCGGTTCCCAGCTGCTCGGCATTGTTGGCCCGCTTCCCTACCTGCGCTTGTTCAGGGCACCTTGCAACTCTGCACTTGCGCCCCCCGCATCTGCGCTTCTGCTCTGATCTTCGGTCTGGGAATATTGTCTGAGTCGAACGTTACTCGGTAACACGATCAGACAACCTTCAATCGCCACGAGAACGAGACCCAGTGACTCCCTGGCCCCGCGACCTCAAAAGTCGCAATGCAGCCCACCAATTATGGACAGCAATTCTACCAACCCGCGTATGGCCTTCCAATGTCTATGCCTCCAGCGTATCATGGCCTTCCCTACGACGATCAGCAGTTTTACCAGCAAGAGGTTTACTCGGATATGATGCAGCCGTCGCCAATGAACAACACTGCGATTCACAGTGAGGATTTCCCCGATCGCAATGATGCGAAACCGCGCCTTGCGAAGCAGGAGGTCGAGCTCTTAGAACGCCATTTCCAAGAAAACCACAAGCCGCCGAGTTCTTTGAAGCGCCAATTGGCAGAGAACATGGGTGTGCAGGTCTGCAGGATAAACGTAAGTTGAGGCGAGGTGCTTTTTGGAGTCTGTACTGACACTTTCCTAGAACTGGTTTCAAAACAGACGAGCGAAAGCCAAACATGAGGTTAAGCAAGCGGCGAGACTTCTCAAGACTGAGCGCGCCCAATCTGGTGAGCCAGAGACCGAGGAATACGATTTATCAAAGGAGTTCTCGGAAATGTTTGAAGAAGAGCAGGCTGCGTCGGAAGACGAACCAAAACGCCCTCGAAGTGGCAGCGCTCATAAGAAGGCTTCATACAATCAGAAGTACGAAGCTCCCGTAGTGGCAAGCTCCCAGTCTCTTGAACACGCAGAGCTTGATAACCAGGCCGCGTATCAGCGGAGAAACTATGGTTTCGAGTTTGATCACCAGGCCGATGGAGATCAATTCGGTGCAACCATTTACGAGAGTTTGGGAGAACTGGATCATACTCAATTTCAAAATACGGCCTCTTCCAACATTATTAAGTACGAAGACAACGGCTATACGACATCGCCAACAGCAATGGAGAACTTGGAACGCAAAGCGATGATGATGTCGATGCCAAACGCCCACAACTACTCTTATAAGATTCCAGCTCAAGGGAGCTCCAATCCTGCGCAAGCTACTTTCCCGTCACAGCTGCTCGTTGGCAAGCACAGCCAAAGCAGCCTACGTACCATTCCAGATGACAGGGGCGATAGCCGGAGGCCATCCGAGACCTCGCAAGAGGGCGCAACAATGAGATTCATGTCACCTCCCCCTTCAGCAGACATCGCATCGCGCCGCAGCAAGCGACGCCCAGCACCAATTGGAACAGAAGGGATTAGAGACCGCGCCTCCCCGAGTATGAAGACTCCTTTAACCGCCGCGCCGCAGCGACGCGCAACAAAGAGCCCTGGTATTGGGGTCCGTCGCGCGGCATCTATTGGTGCAGGTCTCAACGTACTGGGAAGCAGAGTTTCCAAATCTGTTGCGCCTCTTTCGCAGTCCCCTCTTCGTCCACACTTCCCCCACGAGCTTAAGAAGTTTGCCGGCATGGACAGCCAGGTCAATTTGATCCAAGCATCCAATGGCCTCGCCCCTCCAACCCCGAGGTCTCCAAATGAGATTGCCGGGGGCGCTCAATTCTACATGGATGAGGAGTCTAAACAGTACTCGCATATATCCGAACAAGAGTACGACGTACTGGGCGCCAACCAAGATCCTTCTAATGGATATTTCGCGCCGTATGATCTCGGGTTTTCACCTCCCGAGACCCCTGGCGGTGGATATCACTGGACAGGATATGACGTCGGAGACAACGCTCTTCATACTCCAGGTCTCAGTTCGTTTCCAAGCGACGAATTCGCCCTGCAGATGTCTCAGCCACTTCAAATCCCTCAATACGTGTCGGCACCAGCAGATACAGACTCTGGCACGTCTCATGGCCATGGGCCAGTGAGCGATCTTTACCATCCCCAGATGCCGATATCTCAGCAGTATTTATCTTCGCAAGGCTCTGAGCTCTCGGTCTCTCCTCAATCTAGCTGCAATAATATAGCATACGGCAACAACAATACCCAATTTGACGGCACTGGCGTAGAAGGCAAACTCCATGTCCAGTATCAATGGGACCAACAAGGATCGGACTACCTGGTTTCGCTATCAGAGCACTCATCGCCTGATCAGTCAAGAAATAACCAGGGCCTTGTTTTTCATAACGCCACGCCCAGGGATTTCGAGGGCAAGCCGTGTTCAGGAAGCCCCTGACTACAACCTAATAGCAACGACAGCACGGGAATCAACTTCCACTTTGCATCTATCTAAGGCGCCAACTATACGCATGTACCAACAGCAGCACTTTCTATTCTAGCGTTGATTCTCATTCGAGCTCGTCTTTCAACTGTACTAAAGCATCGAGCGACAGCATTATTTTTTCCTTTGTTCAACGATCTGATGGAGCGATTATACCAGGCACTCACAAAAAGGGCCATTCATGGATGGCGATTGGGAATAGGGTGCATATATACGACGGGCGGAACACTTATTAACTCGATACGAGTCAAGGGGGGGAAGGGCGGGAGGAGCATAATTAGGGTTACGGATTGGATTGCGATCACGATGACTCTTTCTACCATGTATGCCGACGGCAACAAACGATTTCATGATATCTAGGAGTTTGAGTTGACTTATTTTTGTTAATTGTCCATTTCGCTTGAAACCTCATAATATGCAAACATCTTAGATTAGGCGGATTGGGTATAAATAATAAGATCAACACTGACAATGCCTTTTTGATTCTCTTACAGTTTCTGTTCCTGGACTAAAGTGATAATGTGATGATTGCTTTTCTCCAATTATATATATATACACTCACGTAATAAAATCCATCACGTGAACTAGTGTGACGTAAGATGGATAGCTGTCCCCGCACCGCTATCTCCTCATTTGTTGATAGCGTCGCATTGGGGTTCAGAAGGGGCCGATGGAAGCCGCCCACCAGCCCTCCGGTGCGGAGACGAGGTGTCACTCACCCAAACTTTTATACCACAAGGTCGCTGGAGGACCTTCTTCTTAAGCCTCTTCATTCTCTTCTTTCAAGATCTTCTTCTGTTGAGGATCAAAAGCAACAATGGCTACCAGAACCATGCGCAGGATTCCTGCCCTCAGCAGCCGCGGCGCCCTGACCGCGAAGAGGAACGTCAGCCTTGCCTCGTTCAAGATCCCAAAGGTTACGAATGAACCTAACGTGAGTTCACCAACATGCTGACAGCAGCAACTCTTGCGATTGAAAACTAACGAGAAGGCAGCATCACTATGCCAAAGGCTCCGCGCAACGAGCTGGGCTCATGAGCGCTCTGAAGAAATTCCAGAGCTTGACGCCACTCGAAGTCCCGCTCTTCATCGGCGGTGAAGAGGTACGTTCACCACCCAACCAAGCTCCCAATCGAACTCAACAGCTAACTGACTCCCCTCCCAGGTCAAAACCTCCCATACCCTTTCCCAACACAACCCCTCCGACCACGCCTCCACCATCGCCACCTACTCCAAAGCCTCCGGCACCGACGTCACAAAGGCCATCAACTCGGCCCTCGGCGCCAAGCAAGCATGGGAATCAATGCCCTTCTCCGACCGCGCCGCCATCTTCCTCAAGGCCGCGGACCTGATTGCCGGGAAATACCGCTACCAGATGATGGCTGCCACGATGCTGGGGCAAGGCAAGAACGCATGGCAGGCCGAGATCGACGCTGCTGCGGAACTAGTGGATTTCCTAAGGTTTAATGTTCAGTATGCCGAGGAGTTGTATGCGCAGCAGCCTACTCTGCATTCGCCGGGCGTCTGGAATAGAGTCGAGTATAGGCCGCTGGAGGGATTTGTCTACGCCGTCTCGCCGTTCAATTTCACCGCCATTGCGGGCAACCTACCCTGCGCACCCGCACTGATGGGTAACGTCGTAGTCTGGAAGCCCTCTGACTCCGCCATCGCATCCAACTGGCTCCTCTACCAGATCCTCCTCAAAGCCGGACTCCCACCAAACGTCATCCAGTTCGTCCCTGGACCCCCAGCCGAAGTCACAAAGGTCGTGCTGGGACACAGGCAATTCGCCGCACTGCACTATACCGGGTCCACCGCCGTGTTCCGCAAGTTGTACGGCACGATTGGTGAGGGTGTTGCGAGTGGCAGGTATATTGGTTACCCACGCATCGTTGGCGAGACGGGAGGGAAGAACTTCCATCTCATCCACGCCAGCGCGGCCGTTGACAACGCAGCTCTCCAAACCGTGCGCGGTGCCTTCGAGTTCCAGGGCCAGAAATGCTCTGCGACTTCGCGCTGCTACGTCCCCTCCACCATCTGGCCAGAATTCAAAGAGCGTCTCGTCTCCGAGACCAAGGCTCTTAAGATCGGCCCGCCTACCGAGCCTGAGAACTTCGTCGGACCAGTCATTCATGCTGCGTCTTTTGATAAGCTCGCCGCCGTCATCGACGCAGCAGCCAAGGACGACTCCCTCGAGCTTCTCGTGGGAGGGACATACGATAACTCCAAGGGATACTACATCCACCCCACCATCTACGCGACCACGGACCCCAAACACCCCCTCCTCAGCACCGAGCTCTTCGGCCCCATCCTCGTGGTCCACGTCTACGCCGACAAAGAGTCTACGCGCTCTAACAACTTCAACAACGCTATCCAGGCCATCTCGAACGCCTCGGAGTACGCGCTTACGGGTAGCATCTTCGCGCAGGACCGCGCGGTGATTAGGTTCGCGGAGGAGAGGTTGAGGGATTGTGCGGGCAACTTTTATATTAATTGTAAGTCCACCGGGGCGGTGGTGGGGCAGCAGCCGTTTGGGGGGGCGAGGGCGAGTGGCACGAATGATAAGGCGGGGAGTGTGAATCTGCTCACGAGGTTTGTGAGTATGAGGAGTATTAAGGAGGAGTTTGTGGAGACTACTAAGGTGGAGTATCCTAGTAATGAGGTTTAAAAGGGGAGGTAATTTTGGGGAGTTGGATGCGGGTATATGGTTGGTTTGGAAGGTGGGAGTGGTGGGGCCGGGGGCGGGGAGTTTATGGGAAGGTTTTAGCTATAAGTATATATAAGCTATTGAAGTTTATTGAAATAGTCGTCTTGAGGCAGGAATGAATGATCGACTGCAGAAGGAAAGAAGGAAAGAACGACCGCATAAAAATGGAAGGAACAACCGACTCGAGAATGAAGGAACGCCATTTTTAACTGAGGAAGAAACAATTGACTTTCAGAGGGAAGGAACGGCCCAGTAACTAAGGAAGGAACGACCATGTAAAGGGGAAGGAACGACCGTCCGTCTACAGAAAGAAGGAACAGCCAACTCGAAGAGGAAGGAACGACTGCTTGAAAATGGAAAGAACGACCCCTTAACTGAGGAAGAAGCGACTCCCCATTCCCCATTCCCCATTCCGCATTCCCCATTCCCCATTCCCCATACCCTATATCTACTACTAACTCCCCCCCCTAATAAGACTACATCTCTAACAGCTCCGGCCGCAGCCCCGCCCTAAGCGGCAACACGCTCTTCTACGCCGTCAACAGCGTATGGGAGAACAATGGCGGACACGCTCTTAAGGGGACGGATAAGGGGAAAGGGTTGTTTGATGGATATGTCTTTAAGAGCATTCCCAATATTGCGGATGAAGGGTTTGCAGGGCAGCTTGTTAGCTCGAATGAGGCAGATGTAGGAGAGCGTAGTGGGAGTTTGGGGCGCGAGTGTCGGAGTAATGTGTATGTTGACTGGGGGGTCGTTTAATTATGGGCGGATGGGGTTTTTTGCTGATTTCGAGGCGTTGACTTTTGTTGGGGCGGATGAGCCAGCTAAGATTCAGGAGGTTGTGACTAAGAGTGTTGTGAATACTTTGTCTACTTAAACTATAGATGGCGTATATAGCTGGGTTGAGAGTGATAGTTGTATCAACGTTGGCGGGGACGAAAGTAAGCCCCTGAATAGGAGAGCTCGGAGCGCACAGCTGTGTATAACCAATGCCTGCTTAATATCATCTGTTAGAACGGCATTAACGTATCGGGTTATCTACTGCAAGACAAGGGCACATCTCATGAGTATGCAATGTTGTAGAGATATTACTTGTTACCAAGTTGGAGTGCACTGGAACTTGTCATGGGGAGAAATCGGTGATATACACAGCATGAAACTTTTATTATAAACTGTATATATCTATAACCCAAGAGATGTGCCGGTGCTGTTGCTATAGCCGGGTTCATCCCACGTGTTTTCCATCACAGGTGAAACAAGTGGAACGAAATTAGTCTATATCAACAAACCACGGCCCACAGCTCTTGGATCAGCTGGTACCCGGGCAGTAATAATTCGCAGACACGCAGCAGAACTACCAGTGCAGTGACTACAAATAGAAATTTGCGACCACTATACTGATGCTCGCTCGGTGCGTGAGCGTATTATTACTGCCCGCCTATCAGCAGACCAAAGAGCGTTGTAAATGGTATATTCAGAAGCAGACGCACCACTCGCTCTCTCATTTCCCCTCCCCCTCCATCATTCCACCAGCGTCATCTCATTCTGCTGATGCACTACTTCTGTTTGCCAAAACCTCCATCTTACAGCTCTTACTTCCATAGATACAGTTGCGTAATAAGACTTTCTCGACCATACATCCAAAGCAGTGCAGTGGACATTTGCCATCACCATACTGTTCCGGGGTTTGGTTGGAGATGATTACTCTTGTACTGCATCAATAAATCTGAGAGCTGCAGGACATTAGTTCATGGGAAACAAAAGTTAGGCGCTGGTAGAACGAGATAGCATCGTTCGAATGATGGGAGAAGAGGAGACCCACTGTTGCCAACGATACCTGCTGAGGCTGTGAACACCTATTATCGCCATTACCGTCCCATTGCCTTCCCCCCTTGGAGGTCGGGGTGCCGACATAAACAACCCGATATCCAAAAGGAAAGGCACCGGGATGAACCTCGTTTTAGCGGCCCCTCTCTCTGTGTCTTTTGGGGTCAATCAGATCACGCTCACGAGAATTTATCGCTGTTGACATAGTAAATAGTAGTGCTTCACGTCCAATAAGTTATACCAGTGCGGCCACTACAGATAGGCATTTGCGGTCACTGTGCTGATATAGCCATTGGCCGGAGAAGGACCACAGTACACTATGCCAACAGGAAAAATCCTAGGGGGGGGTGGTTCGTTGCTGGCTATCTGCGTCGCTGTGCTGGTGAAGAGTTGAGTAGATGAAGCTTAGATACTTCAAGGCGTTCATTTAACTTGTAGGCATGCTCTAGGAGGCATTCCTTGGTTAGCTGTGTACCTGGATCACTTATGGTGGTAGATAAGGCACTTACTCCATGTTTTATAGAGATACACCCAACAGTTACTGCGCACATCAGTATATCGACGTATGGTAAAATAGAATCATGTTGAATTATATTACTCCTCCGTCTGATGGGCAGACGCGGTATTTGTAGACCTCTAGGGCCTTCTCAAAACCCCGAACCGGAGGCTATTCGGCCTGATTCGGCCTCACTATCTCCCTTGCAGAAGCATCTATTGGTGGCGTCCGTCGGCCTTGCATTCGTTGTAATCTCTACCCATCTAAGGACAGTGAAGAGCTGCACAGACGGAATGATATCCATGCTTGCAGTAGAATTGTTTGCGCGCTCCGCTCTCTGCATACTTTAGCGCAGATCTACCGTGGATATACATTGAGGGCCTATCAATTTTATGAAGCCATCTTACAGTCACATACGCGACGAGACTTGTCGTATCAACATAAACGTAATTGGTAGTTCATAAGGTTGCTATTCTACCTCCCAGTACCATCGTCTGGGGTTGCCGGCTCTAAACCCCTCTTGGGTAACTCCGTATATCCATGTTCGGAATGCCGCCTAAAAACAAAACAAACATCAAGCAGATTCCTTTCTCTACGCCTCCTAGTACCCGTCTAATTAGTTTCCAACCCACCCCTCACTGATCTTAAGCACAACTCCTCCCTCCTCCCCCACCCTCGCAACAGTAACACTCCTCAAATCCTCCACAACCCAATCCGCACCCGCCTCCTTGACCTCCTTCGCCGTATGCGTGGTCGCCACGCCCAATACCCTGCACCCAGCCGCCTTTCCGGCCTTAATTCCCGCAGGGCTATCCTCCAGCACTAGCAGCCCCTTAGGGTCAAGCTTAAGAGACTCAGCACCCATCAGGTAGCCCTGCGGATCTGGCTTGCCGTTCGCCACGGACTCCGCGGTCACGAAGTGCTCAGGGGCTGGGAGTTTGAGGATGCGGAGCCAGCCGTTGGCTAAGGGAGCGGTTCCGGAGGTCACGATGGCCCACGGAACTGGAGGAGTGGTGGCGGAGAGGGAATCGCAGAGGGCGCGGGCGCCGAGGATCTCAGTGGCGTCTGCTCCGTAGCGGGCGGGTATTTGGCCTTCCACTTCGCATACATCTAGAGGCGTGTTAGTAGATGGTTGAGAGGAGGTGGGAAATGAGTCGGGTGAAGTGTTGGGTGTGAGAATTCTGTGATTTTGGGGTAATATGCGAAGTGAATGGAGATGGATGAGTGGGTTACGTCAACCGCAGGTTAGTGGTAACTCACATTCCCAGTTGGCCTTCTCGGGGCTTATAATTTTGAGAACGTCTATACTGCGCCTGCCGTGCGAGGTCTGCAGGATAACATTTGGGTCCACGCCAATCTCCTTTCCGATCCTACGCTTGGTCAGTGACTGGTGAGGCTTAAACAGGAAGGGCGCTTACTGGTGCCAATGCTTCACAACTGCATCTGTGGAATCGATAATTGTGCCGTCCAAGTCAAATAGAAGTCCAGCAAAGGATACTTCCTCGGCTGGAGCGGTATATGATCCTTCATTTGTCGACCCCATTTTTATTTGGTATTTCTCTCCGAGGTGATAAGTGAGACTGATTTGTGGTGAGAGTCGGTTCGGTATGCCGTAAGATGTATGAAATATCCGAGTTCTCAGATTTTTAAAATAGTTATAATCTCAATATGACCTGCTGGTGACTTTAAATTTCGTAACCACGTGTTCTCATAAATAAATGCGTAGCGTCTTAGAGAACCGGCCTCCTCTGATTTATATACTAAATACGAGAAATCATGTGGCGGCGAGTACTGCCCCAAGGAGAAGGGGAGTCCGGCGAAACCACTTGTCCGAACTCATAACCTAACGAATCAGGCATGCACAAATGACAGGGATTATCATCCTTAGTGGTGAAATCTTGGCACCACACACCGAAATTTCGCGATTAGATAGAGAAGTGGAATTTTGTTTCTGTTGCAGCGAACCTAACCACATAAATTCTGCCAACGAAACAATGGCAGGAAATAAACCAGGAAGTAAGCAAAACACTCGCAATATGTGCGCAGAATTGCGAGGAGGTGCTAATTTATATTCTTGCAGAGCCCAAGAGCAAGCGCGTCTCTGTACGCCTTCGTCATAAGATCGAGAAGGCCTCGTCCGCGAAGCAAAGAAAGGAACGCAAGAACGGAAAGAAGAATCCAGAATGGAAGTCGCGCATGAAGAAGGATCCTGGGATCCCCAACCTCTTCCCGTACAAAGATAAGATCCTGGCAGAGATTGAGGAGGCGAGGATAAGGAAGCAAGAGGAGGCTGTTAAGAGGCGTGCGGAGCTTAAGGCTCTGAAGAAGTCTGGAGAGGATGTCGATAAGGACATTGAGGCCCAGATGGAGGGTGTCGAGGCAGAGGATGAGGATGAGGATGAATTCAACATGGATGACATGGATGGAGATGATGATACCAACCCTATGGCTGCCTTGCTCGCAAGCGCAAGAGCCAGGGCTCAGGAATACGAGGAGGAGTCTGGCAGCGACGAGGACGAAGACGAGGACAGCGATATGGACGGAATGGACGTCGACGGAGTTTCACAAGCCTTGCCTAACAAGAAGGACGGCTCAAGAAAGGCATTCGACAAAGTCTTCAAGCAAGTCGTCGACCAAGCCGACGTAATCCTCTACGTCCTCGACGCCCGCGACCCCGAAGGCACCCGCTCCAAAGAAGTCGAGCGCATGGTCATGGCTGCCGCAAGCGGAGGCAAGCGTCTAATCCTCGTCCTCAACAAGATCGATCTCATCCCCGCCGCCGTCCTCAAAGCCTGGCTCATCCACCTCCGCCGCTACTTCCCGACCCTTCCCCTCCGCGCCTCCGGCCCAGCCCCCAACGCGCACCAATTCAACCACAAATCCCTCACCGTGCAGAGCACTGCGACCACGCTCTTCAAAGCGCTGAAGTCCTTCGCGGCCCGCAAGCAGCTCAAGCGCGCCATCTCCGTCGGCGTCATCGGCTACCCCAACGTCGGCAAGTCCTCCGTCATCAACGCCCTGACCTCGCGTCTCGGCGGCGGCCAATCCTGCCCCACCGGCGCTGAGGCAGGTGTCACCACCTCCCTCCGCGAAGTAAAGATCGACAGCAAGCTCAAGCTTCTCGACTCTCCCGGTATCGTGTTCCCCAGTACCCACGACGGCACCAAGGCGTCCAAGGTAGAGGAGAACGCGCGCCTGGTGCTCCTCAACGCGGTGCCGCCGAAGCAGATCGAGGATCCCGTCCCGGCTGTTACGCTGCTCCTTAAGCGCCTCTCGAGGACCCCGGAGATGACCACGAAGCTTATGGAGGTGTACGGACTGCCACCTCTGGTGACGGCGTCGAATGGTGACCCAACGAACGATTTCTTGATCCAGGTTGCGAGAAAGCGTGGACGTCTTGGGAAGGGCGGCGTGCCCAACCTTCCTAGTGCTGCTACGACTGTCATCACGGACTGGAGAGATGGACGTATTCAGGGATGGATGGACGCACCGCTGTTGGCTGTCGCGCCGACGCTTGCTCCCGGTGAGGTCCAGGTGGGCGCTGTTGTTGGTGACCAGAAGGAGATTGTTGCGGAGTGGGCGGAGGAGTTCAAGTTGGAGGGACTTTGGGGCAGTGGTGGTGCGAATGATGATGCGATGGAAGAGTAGGGGTAGATGGGACAGTATTCTTGGCATAATATTTGGCGTCTGGAATAACATGTGGGACTGGAAAAAGGACACAGCTTGTAGGCGTCAATGTTATAGTTGTTAGCTGTGAGATCAAAATATGACTACATCACGAAACTATCTTCCATAATTCGCTCCTGAGCTTTGTGAGAGCTAGACAGTTAAATGTTCGTGGGTATTCTCAAGAACGGGTTGAATCACAGTTTACAGCACGAGGAGTTCAGACCTATAAGATACGAGTGTTTTCATTGATTCTCGCTCTAGTTAAAACCTCAAGAGGTAGGTATTCTTTGCGTTCGCAATTGTCTTCGCCTGAAGTAAAGAAGCGCTCTCAAAGACCAAACATTTGAAAATAACAATTAATTCCGGACACATCCCCTGCTACGATAGATTTGACTGAGGACTTTGCAACAGCCAAAATTCTCATCAAGTCATAACAAGTAGACACTTTACTCCTCATCAACTGGGAGCTCCTCCTCGTACTCCTCCTCTCCCTCGGAGACGGAGGCCTCCTGGTACTGCTGGTACTCGGAGACGAGATCGTTCATGTTGGACTCAGCCTCAGTGAACTCCATCTCGTCCATACCCTCACCAGTGTACCAATGCAAGAAAGCCTTGCGCCTGAACATAGCAGTGAACTGGTCACCGATACGCTTGAAGAGCTCCTGGATGGAGGTGGAGTTACCAACGAAGGTGGAGGACATCTTGAGGCCACGGGGTGGGATGGAGCAGAGAGCGGTCTGGACGTTGTTGGGGATCCACTCAACGAAGTAAGAGGAGTTCTTGTTCTGGACGTTGCGCATCTGGTCCTCGACCTCCTTCATGGAGACCTTTCCGCGGAAGATGGCAGAGCAGGTCAAGTAGCGACCGTTGCGGAAGTCGGAGGCGGCCATCATGTTCTTGGGGTCGAACATCTGCTGGGTGAGCTCTGGGACGGTGACGGCACGGAAAGAGTGGGCGCCACGGCTGGTGAGAGGAGCGAATCCAACCATGAAGAAATGGAGACGGGGGAAAGGCACCATGTTGACTGCCAATTTGCGGAGATCAGAGTTAAGCTGGCCGGGGAAACGGAGACTGGTGGAGACACCGGACATGACGGCGGAGACCAGGTGGTTCAGGTCACCGTAGGATGGGGCGGTGAGCTTGAGGGTCCTCATGCAGATATCGTAGAGGGCCTCGTTATCGATACAGAAGGTCTCGTCGGAGTTCTCGACAAGCTGATGGATGGAGAGGGTGGCGTTGTATGGCTCGACAACGGTGTCGGAGACCTTTGGCGATGGGACAACGGAGAAGGTGGCCATCATGCGGTCGGGGAACTCCTCGCGGATCTTGGAGATCAAAAGCGTACCCATACCGGCACCAGTTCCACCACCCAGGGAGTGGGTGATCTGGAAACCCTGAAGGCAGTCACAGCCCTCAGCCTCACGGCGGACAACATCAAGAACCTGGTCGACAAGCTCGGCACCCTCAGTGTAATGTCCCTTGGCCCAGTTGTTACCAGCACCGGATTGACCGAAAACGAAGTTGTCGGGGCGGAAAAGTTGTCCGAATGGGCCGGCACGGACAGCGTCCATGGTACCGGGCTCCAAATCGACGAGGACAGCACGGGGAACGTACTTGTTGCCGGAAGCCTGAGGTATGTTAGATGCTGCTGTACTGGTACCACATATAGGATGTACCAACCTCGTTGAAGTAAACGTTCATACGCTCAAGCTGGAGATCGGAAGTTCCATTGTAGCTGGCAGCTGTCAGTTTAAACTATCCATACATATACTGATGATCATTGTACTCACACTCCGGATCCATCAAGGCCGTGCTCGCCCGAGATGGTTTGCCTATAAATCGGTCAGTCGGGGTTCATGTTGTGCTGGGCTAGGTAGCCGTCGTTGGAGCTACACACCAGAAGGCAGCACCGATTTGGTTACCCTGAAGAATCAAGTTAGTTATATTGTCAATAGATATGCTTTGGAAGAGGGTTCTTACGCATTGTCCGGTCTGGAGATGAACCTATATCACAGAAAACACGAGTTAGCCAATGTGTTCTCCTTGGTAGCTGTCCAATGTGGGGCAGCATTCAGGAGCAACAACGCGTCGCTACCATGAGCTCCTCCCGCACCTGATATCGAAGGGATGTTACATACGATTTCACGCATCTTGAATGGTGTGTAGGTGGAAGTTGGAGATGTACAGGTAAATCTGCGGACGAGTTATGGAGCTTGAGATAGCAAAAAGGTGAAGGGTGGTATGTTGAGGTGGATGGGGGGGTTGTGTTGTGGGTGAAGGATGAAAATAAGCGGTGAGGTCGTGTTGACCTTGCCTAAAGTGGAAGCTACTAGCGCGAATTCACCCCTTCCCCTGTAAACAAACGGACCTTGGAGACGTGGGAGGTAACAAAACGGCTTTTGGCAGCTGCATTTCAACGTTTACTACGCGTAAATGCAGATATTTGTATTGATACCGCACTAATTATATAAACCACGTATGAGATGCTCACGAATTTATCACCTCCCATTTACCGCATTAAGCTGTGTGCGATGACTTGTCACCCGCCTCGGTACTTAAACTGCATCCCCTCTATTAGCTCCAGGGTCTCCGCAGATACTCCCTGTCGCTTAATCTGTGTGCAACTCTGTCCAGACAGTACAGTACATCATCCTCAAAATAGGGGCACATGCCAAATTTACGGGGTCACAGATAGGGATGAATGTGTGTTACTGATATTTTGTATATGATCAACTCATCGGTCACATATACGATCGTCAGGTACCACTCTACGCTGTAGTAAAGCTCACCGCTCTCTATCTAGCATTGGTAATCCATCTGTAACGGGTTAACGGTAATTCTCCGTGCAACCCCCCTAATGCGCTGCTGCTACACCGGCTGCATCGGCCTGAGCAGTAATTCTCTTCTTGTACGCCTGGACATCGCCAGGGAACTTCTCCACGATACCCTCGTCGCAGACCCATAATGACGTGCAAACAGTTTGGAGCATCGTCACGTCGTGAGAAACCATAAGAATACCTCCCTGGAACTGCTTCAATGCCTGAGCCAAGGCATCCATAGCCTCAATATCCAAATGATTAGAAGGCTCATCAAGAACCAGGATGTGTGGGTTTTGGAGTGACAAGCATGCGAATGCTACCCTAGATTTCTGTCCTCCAGAGAGTAACTCCATCTTCTGTAGACCAGTCATACCAGTGATACCGAAGGCACCAAGATGTCTTCTGTAGTCTTCGTCGGGCTTTCCAGGGTAGTTCTTAGACATAAAGCCGACAGCGCTATCGTTGAGATCCAAGGCATCAACGTGATGTTGAGCAAAGAAGCCAACTCTAAGTCTGGGGTTCTGAGAAATAAGACCCTTCGTAGGCGTCAACTGGCCAATCAGCAGCTTAAGTACAGTCGTTTTACCAGCACCGTTGGGACCAACGATACCAATACGGGAGTCGAGTTGAACGTCGAGATCGACGTTCCTGAGAAGTGGCTTATCAGGTGTGTACCCGAAGCTCACATCCGTCATCTGAATAATAGGAGGCGAAAGTTTCTCGACTTCGGGGAACTTGAAGTGGACACTGTACTCTTTCTCCGGTGCCTCGAGAATAGGCATTTTCTCCAGCTTCTTGATTCTGGACTGTGCCTCGGACGATTTTGCGGCATTATAACGGAACTTGTCAATGAAATTTTGCAGGTGCGCTCTGACAACCATTTGGTTTTCATATTCGCGTATCGCTGTCTTCCGACGCTCCTCCCTATTGGCATAGAAGGAGTCGAAATTGGAGCCCTTGTAGTAATCGAGACGCTCCGAGTGCTGGTGGATAATGTCTGTGGCAACTTCGTTTAGGAAGGCTCTGTCGTGAGAAACTACCAGAACCGTGCTGGGGTAGGTTTGCAGATAATTCGAGAGGAAAGTAATAGATGGGACGTCCAACATATTGGACGGTTCGTCCAGGAGTAAAAGATCCGGCTCGCAGAAAAGGGCTCTGGCCAGTGCCAGACGCATACGCCAACCTCCAGAGAAGGTCTTTGTAGCAAACTTCTGGCGCTCGGGTGAGAAACCCAAACCAGCCAGGATACTGGCAGCACGAGGTTCCGCCTTGTCAGACTCCATTTCTGCAAGTTTCCCTTGTACGTCACCAAGCGTTTGGTCCAATGCATCACGCTCGCGGTCAATCCTTGCGGCGTCAACAGAGGTGTCAGCCATAGCTGAGCGCTCCGCCTCCATAGCTGACAACTGTTTGGACAGTTTTTCTTGTTCAGACAAGAGATGTTTTCTCCACACGTCAGCGTCTAACACTGCCTGTATAGCAGGGGTATCATCTCCAGATATCTTAATCGTAGTTAGTTTTTGCACTTTATGGGGTATAAGGTTCAACATACCTCTTGCTCCACATGCAGAATGGAAATATGCACTGGAATGGCAAGTTCTCTTCTTGCCAGCGCTCTCAGAAGAGTAGATTTTCCGATACCGTTCTGACCAACCAGACCATAACGCCTACCGTATGCCAACGTCAAGTTGGTATCCGTCAGAATTCTTAATCCACCAATCGTCACATCAATACCATCAAGCTTAATATCCTTGCTCTTAGCCTGTCCCATGGCATTCGATCCCAGCTGCAGAGGGTTAACAGCCATGAAGAACTCTTCATAGGACTGCGTATCATCCGTCTGGTTGAGCAATTTAGAAGCCTCATATTCAACAGCCTTGTACTCCTTCTTGTTCTGCTTAGCAGCAATCTTCCTCTCTGCCTTCTCTAACTTCTTGCGATCGACCTTAGACTCAAGCTTCCTCGTATTCGCCGACTCCAAGTCCACACCCGTGGTTGTAATGCCCAATGTGGAAGACATATTCCGCTGTGTGCTCACTTGGATAGCCTGGTCCAATCTCTTGGCCGCCCCAGACGCTCCGCTCAAGTCCACATTTGATGCATTGGCAGCTCCGAATTTCGCCGCCCATTTCTCGACTAGCTGGCGGATTTGTGTCTCATTCTTCTCTGATGTCTCGCCAGATGCTGATATGAGCAGGGCCGTAATGGACGCAACGGCCTCAGCTAATGGTGACGTCCCCGTGGACTCGGCATCGGTGTATGAGCTCGAGGCGTGCGAGAGATATCCCACCGAATATTCCGTGAGGATAGGGTCGATATTCGGAATCGATCCTCTGATTTCGGCCTCCATTTTTTCTATAATTTATGGTACAAGGTCTGTCGTTGTCCTTTCGCCACTAAATTCCGGGCCGAGCAGTTTCTGAGACGGGGTCGGACTTGGACAATAGCTGTATTTGTGATCGTACAGTACAAACACAAGTAGTACAGGTCGACCTTGGAAAAGGAGAGATGAGTCAAGTCTCGTGGTTTAATTCGTTTGTCTCAGTGTGGCTTTGAAGCTACGTCTAGATTCCCCACGTTCGAAATATTGGAGGCGGTCAGTGCTGTATCCGGCAGAACTAAGAGGCTCTTACGCTAAGCCGAAGATGGCCTAAATTACACGCGTGTTAAAGAGACGCGTCGCTCCCATAGCCGCGACGCGTTTTGACTAGGTAGGTAGCTATTTAAAGCACGCGATTTTTGAGAGGCTCGGTTCGCACGAACCTCAAACGCCCCTTCCCCTCCTTTTGAAATCCTTACCAAAGCATACATATATGGCACATCCTAGCAAACTACGGCGCTACTCCCTGAAAGTGCTAATCTTATAGGGTGAGACGGAGCAACGGACTCGCCTGAGTCCCGGCTCCAGAAAAAATGCTCGTCAGGTGCAATAAGCTGCATGTATGTCTGGGATAGATATAGCCCTAGGCATGTAATAGGATTATGTAGGGCAAGATCATTGGGCCGTTCCAGCCTGACACCACGCTCGATCAATTCCTCGCGTCAGATTGGTCAGAGGTCACGTAAGGCAGTCCAACTGCAATTACCACCATATGCAATGCAGACAAAATATCTGACGGAAGACATTCCACCCACCCAGACTCAATTTTAGACAAAGCTGAGGGACAGGATGTTGGCGCTATGTTTGATACCTTGCCAATATTTCATCTTATATGTGACTCGAGAAGCGGTGAGGTCCCCAAGGGGTTGACGGGATCCCATGAAATTGGTGCAGGTTCAAGGAAAAAAAGTAGATGGAGGGGACTTCTTGTTGCCGCGCGATCCTTGCTCCAATCCGATCCCCAGATATTGCCCTCCTCTCTACCGGCATTCTGTTCGTGGCTTAAGGTGGTATGGGAAACCTGTTTTGTCAAGTTTGTCCACAGTTATGGGTTCCTCTAGTCAAGCGCCTCGTGGCGGCGCGATTTCCTAGATTGTTCAAGCGCCCAGATCCAACACGACTTTTCAGCCGGCTCGTTGTACGCCCGGTACAGATCATCTCCTCTTTCCATTATACTCCGTTTGTGCGTGCGAAGCTCCCGTCTCTCCATGGACACAGGAACCTCTCGCATCTTTGCTTTGAAATCTAGTACATAGTCGTACACCATACAGTTTAGTTTAGTTACGATGCTGCACCCCCGCTGAAACGAAGAAGGTAAGCATCCACTAGAGACTGGTCGGAGATACTCGTATCCATTGTTCTCCCACAGCCGACCACCCCACTACGAGCTAGCTACCTTAGCATTCGGTACGTCATGCCATATGTTGCCGGGCAACTTGTCGATTTATCAGTATTAGTTCCATCGGCCAAATGTTTTAGATATAAAATGTCTCAGGTGGCGAGAACTGTTGAGCAGCAATCAATGCCCGTGATATCTTAGCCTAGGATCTGTGCGGAATCCCACACAAACTCGTGGCATGTGTGAGTAGAAAAGAGACTGGGTGGTGGAGGATTCAGCTCATAATGGAGCTAGTTTATAGAGTAGAATCTCTGGCGCCGATAGGAACAGGGGCATGAAAAGACGGAGACGCCGTCTTCACTCGCTAATTGGACTGTCTTTGCGAACCACAACAACACAACGCAACCCAAACCCGTCTGGACCTACCAAGACAAATCGTCTGCTAGTAAGTGAGATTCGGGCATGCTTGCGGTGCTGTCTTATGGTACGCCGATGCTGGCCCTGCTCCGTACGTACACTATTACTTGCGTGATCATCTACACGCTACTGGCGGATCCTATCAATGGAGCTACCAACGCAAGTAAAAGCCCTCTCTTAGGGAAGATCCGCCATTTGTATCTGGTATGTCTATATACATTAGGATTTCTCGCGAGGCAGGCACGAGGGACAACCGATTCTTCCGGGAACAAAGTGAGGGGTTGAGCGATGTGGGAGCTGATGGCGCCAGGTACATCCCATACCTTGGTAAAGCTAGGTTAGTCGCAAATCCATATGTGGAGCGCGTTTCGGTGATCTGCGTTGGGCAATGACATAAACAATAATATTTACCCTTGGGGAGCAACAAAGGTTTAACAATGAACAGATTGATTACTTCTTGACGAGCTGTTGCTGTAAGGAGGTATTTAGGAGAGGATAAATCCTAGCTTTTATTTCGCTTCGAAAATAACACCTCATAACGCCTGACCTTGCGTATATCACGCGTTTGGCTTACAACGAGGGGCTCAAACTATGAGGCAGGGAGCAGGCTTGCCCTTACCTTGGACGGCAGGGAGCTATCTTACGCCTCAACTTGACTCCCCGCCAAATGCTGACGATAGCTGCATGGATTGGGTCCGTTCCACAGCCTGGACCAAGCCCTTCTCACTTCTAGTCCTGCCTGCCGTGCTCGTGCAAAGCAGTTGGATGAAGATACATGGAACAAACAAGACTTGTTCTGCACTTGTTTCCAGCAGAAATAACAGGTTGGGTTATCTCTTGAATGACCTTTGATACAACTCTTGCGGCCTGTACTCTGCACTACCAATGTGTCACTGGCACCACTTACCGCGTTGCGCGTTGCGAGAGCAAGCACAGGGGAAGGGGGATGATTCCGTGGTGTATGTGTAAGCTGTGCCTTGCCGAAGGCACGCTTGTGCTTGTGGGTAACTACAGTGTATAGGGCGCACACGGATCGAAGAATGGATTATGGCTGCACGTAGCCCATAAGAAATTAGAGTGACCGTTAATTCAAGCCGCCGGTGAGGGCCATTGGATATGTCTATCGGTATCACAGCGCAGTGCCTGAGCCGGTCTGGGAATATCCGTACCAAGCCATCTTGCGATATCAGGCTCCATGGTAGATCTCATAGCCATCGACTTAGCTCCACCCTTAGCTCTGATCAGAGGCATAACATGGAAGCCATCGGAGCAAGGATATGGGAGATGGGGGCGTGGCAAGGCGTCGGACTTCCCTATCAGTAGGCCCCTTCCATGATACGCCTTCACCTTGGAAAGGTGGTATAGGGTGGTATAGCAGGATGGTATAGGTAGTATTTTCGGTATTTAATGTACTCACAGTACTCACGGTACTCTTACCAGAGTGGCACCCTGCGGCAAGCCACCCAATTGTAACGACCAAGGGAATGCCTAGCATGATATATGCTGGCTGGAACAGCAATACCTGAAACTCTGCATGGATCGACCTGTAGCTGGGGGGCGGAGTGTCTAGGGATGATATGTACAGTACCTTAGAGACGGGTGGCCTTTCTAGCATCTCTATTCGCCCCCAGATAGAATTGTCCCTAGGGAGTGGAGTGAGGTGTATCTAAGGAGCGATTGAACCATAGCGAATGGAGGAATTGTCAATCAACTCAATCAACTCCAGCGGGGATTCTATGCAGAAGAGGAACAGAAAGAAATACAGGAAAGACAAGGAAAGACAGGAGGGGAGACACGAGTACTTGTGCATGCCTACTGTCCACTCTAGTCCGGCAGTAGAGCCTCGTGGATACATGCACCTCATACTCCTCCTACTCCTCCTACTACTAGATTATGGTATAACGAAGTAGTATTGGTCGTGTGTTGTGTACGTGTATGTGTATATCCTGTATATGGAGTTAGCATGGTGTTATGTGTTATGGTGTCGTCCTGCTGTTATTGTTATTATGTACTCCTTGTACCCTATACACTCCCATGTACTATACACCCGATTCTTAAAAGTTTGTGGTTGTCGACTGGCTGCGCTGTGTCGTGCCTACGGGTAAGAAAATAGTACTGTCCACTGTAGCCCGCCTCTACGCCTTCACCTGCACTGCTGCAACTGCACTCCACCACCACAGGAGCCAGACAGATCCTCTGCCTTCCTCTTTACGGCCACAACAACAAACAATACCGACGTCGTCTTTGAAAGGCACATTCATTCTTTTCTCTTGTTACGGGTACTCAGTTATTGGTTCTTGCCCTTGTTCCATTGTATTTACCGGGCCGTCAGTTGAAGGGCCTTTTTCTCACGGAGCCCTCCATCAGATTGTTGTTTACTCTCGATTTACGTTTCGTCCCACTCTTCGCCCACCAAAAAACTATTCTGTCCGGACATCAACATCACTAATGACTCCCCGCACAACGTCCGTTTCGTCCTCGGTGCCTCTCTCTTCTCTCGGTCGCTGTGCCTGTGGTGGTTGGGGAGTCTCACGATGAAATCAATCCCAAGTGTAAGATCGGCCTTGCTCCCTTTTCCGTGCATGTCGACGTCTAGCCGGGCGAGCACCTCAATCGCAGAGCTTGCCGTGGTCTGGCAGCCAGCATTGCCTTCGGCTCAGAATACCCCCTTCAGTATGATAGCTAAAGAATGCCCTGCTAACAAGTGCCTTCAACAGCTTGTCGCTTCAAGTACAGTCGGGGTTGCTGTCACCGGCCTGGCCTTTGGTCAACCACAAACTCCCGGCACATCTCGACCTTCTTCGAACAAAAGAAAGGCCACCGAATATGACGCTCAGCACAGAAGCTATTCCTCTCCACCCGTACGCCCAGCAACAAGCTCCGTCATAAACACGCCGCGTCGTGGTCAATTGTCTGCTTCCTCCCCAATCCAGCCGTCATCATACCCAAGCCACCGATACATCAACAACACATTCACATCAAACGACTCCCCCATAAATAATACAAGGCGGATAGGGTCGCTCAGTAGATTGGGCGAGAGGACATCAACCCCTGAGCAAGGAAGTGAGGACCGACTGGACTCGATTTCGTCAAAGGGGTCTTGGATGCGAAGGTTGTCTGTTATACCAAATTCACAGAATGGAAGTCCTCGGTCAAGCATAGGGCCCGATTCTCCTTCGTTGTTCTCCCACGGGTCGACAGGCCCCATTTTACACAATGGAAGTAGTCCGTCCCAATTAGAGCCTAACAAGTTAGTCAAACGCTCAACTTCTATTCGAGCGCCGAGTGGAAATACGCCTTCGAGGCCGTCATCAAACCAACGCATACCAACTCTACGCAGGCCGGCCACCAGCCACCAGCGTTCTGTCACTTTACAGCAACAATACAGGGAGGAAGAGTCCGGACCAGAGGCCTCTCCACTCCAGGAAGAGTTTCCCGTTACCTTAATACACGAGTTTGCGCCAACCCCACGCCGGGTATCCTGGCGACCATATTTTACATCTCGGCGAACAAGGCTAGCAAAAGATCGCCCATCCACAGCAATAAACGACAATAGCGCGGATGGGTTCTATTCTACCTTTAAGAGAGTAGTTACACCAGATGGCTCGGCACTTCCAACTTTAATGAAGCCATCCCTAATCGAGGATCCTGCGAGAGCCAGCAAGATCAGGAATAGGGATTCAGTCATGAGTATAGATAGCGGTACGGGATCGCCGCATCCTGGAGATGACTCTGGTATCCATTCCAGCGATTATGAGACTCATAAGCGGCCACGCCAGTCAATATCGTTAAATTTCGGTTCCCCTGCAACATGGATCACCAAATCGAATAGCGTCCGGTTGACAAAGAGCCGCGACCTAGGGCGAGGGGCTGCTAAGCGCAACATTTCGGCCCCTTTATCGACAGTACTTGATCGCGCTACGTCGTCTCAGGGGCCTACTACCCACGATACCTTCGACACTTCCCCTTACCAACAGGACATAGACGTTTCGCCGAAGAATTTTCAGGGGACCTTACCTCGCCCTCGTACCAGAAATACCTCTTCTCCGTTGCCTACAATCTCGCGACTATCGAGCTTCAACTTAGACTTGAATGGGCCAGACCCAACTCCTAATTTAACCGCGCGACTTCGGACACCAACTTCGCCGGCTTCTTCAGATGGCATACGAACTACCTCCCGCCCCTCTTCGAGCGGCAAGTTTAAAGGCCTTTCCTCCCACCCGGTTGTTATCCACCAACAATACCCACCTCGACTTCCTGAGTTGAATACCTCAGACCAAGCGTCGACGCTTGTCGGCTCCGATTCAGATGCTAAGGCTTTCGCATCAGGCGAAGATGACGAGACAGACTTCCAAAGCGACACAGCTTATGATTCCCTTAGGACAGGGGCAACTGCCAGTTTGAGGGCACGGAGCACCCCTCTAGACTCTATGTTCGACGAATCGCCACCTAGCAGTGGTGCGAGATCCAAAGCAGCGGAGTTTAACGACCTGGGGGCAATGTCGGGATTCCGGAATGTCGATGACAGCATCGTGGAGGAGGATGAGGGTATGTCCACGCCAATTAGAAACAGGCGGCGGCTCAATGGCGATATTTACAGCACGCCGATAAGGCAGGACACCGACATGGATATAGATCCTATGGTTCGCTCTTCGCCTCCAAGCTTCTGCTTGGCTACTACGGAATTCGGTCGCATGTCCCTAGGCGATGATGATGATGATGAAGACTGGACGAGAGATGACGACAGCGATGCGCTCAGCAACCCTCTTTCCCCGCCGTCAAACTCACTTAACTCGTTAAGAGTTAGCCATGCTCTACGCTCGGCTCTGATGGACGTCACTGAAAGCGGTTCCTCCGCGCGCAATGGTCGTCAACCTGAGAGCCGGCCTCGAAGTGTGTTTGATTGGTCTGAGCCGCTGATGCAAGAGAAGGTGGATAATATGGGAAACTCACCAAGGCCGAAGACTGTGCATGGTAAACAGGGTAACGATCGCGGCGGAAGGGCCGTTGGACGGAATCGTCCAAGCGCTTTGCATATTCGCAGTCAAAGCGTCCCAGTCGTGCCAGATGTTGGTGGCAACCGCGATACTAAGCTAGCACCGAAGTTCGGGACGTGGGGATTAGGAGGCAAGGGTGTGAGTGAGGATTGGGATAACGATTTTGAGTTTGACGTTATGGATATTGATGAGGGAGATGACCTGCCAACTCTCGGGAGTGGCGCGCCTATGCTAGTTCCTCCGGCAATTCGTGCAAGTCAGGCGAATGTCGTTGGGCATGTTGGGCAGATCCGCGAAGTATGCCTGTTGGTTGAAGACCTCAAGCGACTAAGAGGGCTAGCCCGTGAGAAGGGCCTTCTGGAAGGGCCCTCTGCGGACAAGTGGAGGGAGGCAGAAGGTATCATAGCTCTGGCAATCCCAGACGAAGAGGACGAGACGCTATCGCCACCACAGTCTCCGCTGGCGGCTGTTATTTCTCGTGATGGAGGCCAGAATCACGAGACAACGGTTCATATCGACTCTACTCGGGATTCGGGATTCCAAGACGAGGAGGATGACAAGCCAATTCGTTCCACGGCGGTGTACGGCAACACTCGCCCGAGACGTAAGTCGGTTTTCTCTCCTGAGGACGACATCTTTGGGTCTTTTGAAGAAGCCCAGACTCCGAGAACAGTTCCTCGACGCCAAGCCAGCAAGGATACTTCGGAAGTGGCACGCTCTGTCATGCAAAACATCCATCAGCATAGGGCCACTTCGGACCCGATCTTCACAGCAGCCCCAAATGGAACGCCAAGTAAGATGCCATTTGACACGACGAGTTTAAAGGATCTTGTGCAACGAGCCAATGCTTTGTCCCGTGCGCTGTCTGAGATAATCCGCAAGGCTGATGGGACCACACAAAGCCCATACCGCAGTCCTCATCTCAACCATGACTCGAGTCCGGCGTTTACAAGGGTCTTTACCGATCCCCTTGCTAGCCCGCCTAATATCAACCGGTCACAGAGCAGCAATGCGGTTTTGAATACAACGATTGACTCGTCTCCGACTCGCAATCTTGGTCAACGCATGCAGATGATGACTGTTGTTTAAGGCGGCTGTCTTCTCCTATGGGGTGTTCGAGATGTCGAGTATAGTCGGCTACTTCCACCGTGGATATCGTGGTGCTTCTTCCTAGGGTTTATTGACGGTTGACATGCAACGTTACAGCTCGTGTGTCAGAACCGTTCCTGTCTTGGAAAATATTTCTTTTCAGGCTCCTTGTTATTCTCGCAAGTCTGGACTATGCGATGGCTCTTTCTTTAATGCGGTGGGGGAAAAGAGTTTTAGTTTGGGTCGGCGGCGGCGGCGGGCGGCATGGGTTTTCCAACATTGCGCAAGGCAAGCATATGCGAAAATGACTCTTTTACGAGTGGTGGTGCATTACTGGTATTTTTTCCTTTACGGCACAAGTTTGTGTAATGCATACAATGGGGGGTGGTTGGTTGGGTTGGTGTTTCGGCGGAGTTCTTTGTTTTGTTTTTTGCCTTCGCGTTTTTGTTCTCTGCATTTCAACAACGACGTACATTTTTATGTTGTACGGCAAAAAGAAGGGCGAGGATAAAGGGTTTCTTTCCCAAAATGATATTTGAGGGCGGCATGGGATTGCCGGGGGCGACGGGGGTGGGAGAGCGGTACATTGCGGGCATGATGCATTGGTTCCTCATGGTTTATGGGGAAGGGGGTGACTTTAGAGCAAAAGGATGGTTCACCTAGGTGTCAAAATTAATGAGCTTTTGAGTGATCTCGGGGTCCTTTATTGCACTGCATTTATGTGAATGTTTGAGACGAATGAGAAGGAATGCTTATACACGTGACTCTAGATAATCAGGTACCAGGGGGGCCACGTCCGTTCCTTCTTACTGCCCAGACACTATCATCTACTTACCTGCCCAGTTCGGCACCCAATGCATCGCATCACCATGATGTTTCGCCGAGTCCACCGTTTCGCCGAGTGCCCGTATCGCGCGAAGCGGGGAAGCACAAGCAGATACCCATGAAGCCAAGCTTCCATTCTGGCTCAGATCCGCAGGCTAAATAAATCAGCAGCACGCCCACGCCGGTTTCTTGGTAATATATAGAGTGTTCTGACGCATCATTACTATGGAACTTGGCCGGCTAGTGAGCGGGCGGCCTGAGGGAGTTGAGCATAAACTCAATTCACCACTGCCGGTGCAGAGACGGGGCCCGTGATATATGTGTAGTATTACAGGGTTATGGGGTTTCTTATAAATAAGGTGGTGGCACCCTCCACCGGATCGCCGCTGCCTGTCCTTAACCTTAACATTCCTTGAAACTCTGTTGGCCTTTTTGGTTATAAATTACAAAATGCACATCAGCGTTTCCTCCACGGCGCTCCTCGCCTCCCTGGCCCATATCCTGACAGCGTCCGCGCAGGATGCGTGTCCGGGGGCGCTGACGCCGAGCTATGCGCAGCCGGTTTTCGCGGATGGGTGGACAGGGAGTTTGGTTGCGAAGGGGCTGACGAGGCCGAGGGGGATGCAATTGGATTCGCAGGGGAATTTGTTGGTTGTGCAGCAGGGGGTTGGGATTGTTCATCTTCAGTTTACAGATGGGGGTGGGACGTGTCTCACTTTGGCTAAGAAGACGACGTTGATTACGGATAGTGTTGTGAGTATTGTGGTTATTCTTATGGAGAAGCTGTGTTTGTTCAGAAGGGCATTTTTCTGGTCGTTTATTTATTATTTTACTCTCGATTTATTTTTTATTTCTGGTGTTTTATGTTTGATTTATATATAACTTGGGACCGAGCTGATTATATTGAGTAGCTCAACCATGGAATTGGCCTCTCAGAGGATGGCAAGACGCTATACGCATCTTCCGTCGATGCCGCCTTCTCCTGGCCATATGATGCGGAGGCAGTTACCCTGGGCACAAAGTCAACAATTGTCACTGGAATGAACAATGCCGGTCACAGCACACGCACCATCTTGCTTTCAAAGAAGGAGCCAGGCTGGCTAATTCTAAGCCGTGGAAGCGCTGGGAACATTGACCCATTGGCTGAGGATAAGTCGAGTGGACACTCTCACCTGAAAGCTTTCAATATCGCCAACCTGACCGCATCCAGCCCTCCGTATGACTTCACAGCTGATGGGAGAATTCTCGGATGGGGCATGAGGAACGCCGTTGGAGTTGGAGAGGAGCCCACCACTGGAGGCATCTTCACCGTTGAGAACTCTGCTGATAATGTCGCTCGAAGTGGAACGGATATCCACGCCACCAACCCGGGTGAGGAGATGAACTTCGTTGGTACCCTCGCCTCGACCGAGAACCAAGGTGGTAACTACGGGTATCCTAACTGCCTCGCTGTGTGGAACACAGATATCCCAAACATCGGGTCCATGACAGTCGGCAGCCAGTTCGCAGTTGATGTAACAGATCAGACGACGACTGTTACCGATGCTGACTGTGAGGAAAGAGTCAAGCCAAGGCTGACATTTGAGCCGCATACGGCACCTCTGGATGTCAAGTTTGCCGCTGATGGAAGCAAAGCATTTGTCTCCTTCCACGGAAGCTGGTAAGTAACCGACAGTGTAAATAAACACACACGATTCTGACCCCCCGGTGTAGGAACAGTCCAATTCCCGTTGGTTACAGGGTCGCCATGATTGATTTCGCCAACGGCCAGCCCGTAGCTGCTGCGGACAGTCAAACCGCTGCGGTGGATCTCTTCACCAACTCTGATATCACGAAATGCCCAAGTGCTTGCTTCAGACCAGCTGGCTTGTTCCTGGATGGCACGGGTAGGCTGTTTGTCAGCTCGGATGCCACGGGAGAGATTTGGATCTTGGGCCCTACCAGTTCTACAACTCCTACTCCGCCTGCCACCTCTGGAGGCAGACGACGAGCCCGTCTTCCACGTTTGTAGACACGGCGATGTATGGACGGTGGTGTGGGAGTCTCGCTGAGCACGTTTATTTGAATTTGTATATAGTTGAATATATAACGGAAAATTAACGAATGGAAATTATTTGCTTATGAAGATACCTGAAGACTGCGCCGAGAGTAACGTAGGGAGCAATAAATATACATCCCACATAATTCGACCTGCAATTTAATGAAAGGAGGATATAATAAAGTAATGTCCAGTTGCTCGACGACAGGAACGTTGAATGCGGGCCGTCCCGAATGTGCGTCATGTAGAATGAGCATGGGCTAGTTTATCACATTCTGGCGATTATTCAGAAACTATTAAAGAAATTGACTACCTCTTTGTTAATTGTGACATAATAACTATATAAATAGGGCCCTATGGTAATTTATAGTTTGCGAATGGCTTCTCCACCTGAAATAGAGTTCATAGAGACGTGAGACTCGACAGATTCTCACATCGTCCCATCGAACGTTGGGCACTCTCGTCGATTATGGCCTTCATATAAAAAACTATATTCTCGCCGAATATGAGCTGCCGCATAAATAGCTTGCAATACTGGAGCGCCACTCGCATGTCCCTGATTCTCGAAGGGTAGTTGTTTAGGTTCGGGCTAGGCAAGTGCTCCCCGACCAAAAGGGTTGCACCTTCCGACTTACAGATTCGGGGACCTCTCACTTTCCACATCGACAATCAGATAACAGTCTTCCCCTCTCTGTCTGAACGATATCAATAATCGACAATAAGCGGAGCACCCTCCCGGTACTGCTTATTGCTTTTACCCTCCCTACTTGTCGTAGATCGATCTGTGTTCGTGGATCTCGCCTTCCTCATCCGACATTCACAACTTTATAACTGCGGGTGCTCAGAAACAAGAATTCTTTCAACGAACCCTCTCATAACCAAACACCATTAGCTTTTTATTTACCTTTCCAATACACCGATCAACATGGTCACCCTTCGCGAACGCCCGTCCCGGGAGATCGAGGACTTCTTCATTCCGACGGAACGAAGAAGCTCACTTCGTTCACAAACTTACTCTTCCCCCACATCAACAGCCAATCACTTATCATCAGCCTTATACATTGGCTCTGATCAATCTCCCTCGAGAAAAAGAGACAAGGTCGTTTATATGGACGGTGGCGGACCCGAATCCGAGTCTGAGATCCACCCATCACCAACAAAGCGCCCAAGAGCCAACAAAGCCAGGGCCAACAAGGCCAGACTGAGTTATCCATCTCCACCTTCCGAAGTCGAAAGCATAAAGACTCCATCTGTGAAGTCAGAAGCTATGCCGGGAACTGTCCTCCTCGATCTTCCACTCGAGGTAAGTTCGAATGCTCTCGACCTCACCCACCCCAGATCTGCCACGGCCTGTTGGAAGACACCGATCTGTGCCATGATGAATATGTTTGCTTTTGTCTATTACTTTTCGTGTCTTTACATGCCCATTCGTTTCTGTTGCTGACTATTTATTTCTAGATTCATCAAAACATCATTCAATTTCTCCCTGGTGACGAAGACGTCAACCACTATGGCGCCTCATGCAAGGCACTTCGGGCATATGTTGGTCCCATTGTCTGGCAGATGAGATTCCTGAAAACCTTTGATGGTATCCCAGGTGCAGGTACGGTCAACCTACAGGCCCAATACAAGAAACGGAGAGGCATCGCAATCAGATTCGCCTCATTTGAAAATGGCACGTTGTCTCACCAAAAGGCTTGCCTTGATATGCTGAAGGAAATGATTATTGGTAAGAGCTTCCTTTCATAGTCTTGAGCAGAGACATATACTTACTCGCCCACAGAGTCGAATGGTCACATTGTTCGAGACGCATATGACAACGAAACTGTCAGCGGTCTCAACCACCGCTTCTTCTTGAAATATTTACAATATACCGGTCACGATGTTCGACCCAAAGGAACCGACCTGCTACTCAATATTGCGGGAACACGATATGACTTCACACCCAAGAAGAAACCACCACGACAAGAGAGACTCGCGATGGTGGTTAGACTCTGCTTCATTCATCTCCTTTTGCATCCTCAAATATGCAATATCAAGACCAATGTATTCCTTGCATCACAAGAGCAGGTCTATAAGTGTTTTATTGAAGCCCCCTTGTTTCTAGGACGAAACAAGAATGAAATCAACATTCTGTGGTTTTTACACACGGCGAACTTCTTCAAATTCCATTTTAAGACGCCTGATGGAGAAGGCATTCTGGCTCATATGTATGAGCAGCTTGACAAGAGCGAGTTGCCAATGGCTTGGTCTGGCAAACTGAAAAGTGGAACGCAGAAGCTTGGCCCATATTGGAAAGGGGCATTCAGTGAGTTCCGCCAAGTGAAAGTCGAGTATGTCAGACGCTAACACCTTACAGCCTTTCTCCACGAAGAAGATCTGGAGGTGTATCGTCTTGGAGAAAATTATCAGAATATTGTCGATGAGACGACAGATGGGAACAATGGGTTCCAGGTATGTCTTCGAACCTAACTTCTAGGACAATGCCCTAACCCACTCTAACAGGATCTCACGTTGTTTTCAGACCTGAGAAGCACCCCCCAGTTGGCATGTCCGCCGGAAATGGAGGTGTGGTTGAAAGCGGGCCCGAAAGGAGAATATACGGACAAAGTTAGTGGAGAGAAGGTGATGCCGAAGGTCCAAGACTTTTTCGGTCTGGGTCGGAGCGACGTCGACTACCACCTCCATGGTCGCATGCATGGCCTTCCACCCCAGGAAGGAATTCCAGGCTTCCAGCGTGTCTCAATGCTGAAGTATCTTCCTTGTATCCACGGGACGTATGGCACTGGTCTCACGAGTTTCTGGGCATATGAGGGTTGCGTGCTTCCCGGCAACCAAATCATGTTGGGGAGATGGTGGTGCCCGACCGGAACAGTGGAGCGTGGTCACACATACTGCGGGCCATTCATCTTTTGGAGAGTTTCAGGCTCTGTGGAAGACAAAATGAGAACCACTGACGATGCACTGAAGTTCTTGGATCGCGTCGAGGAGAAAACGGTCGGATAGCAAGCTGCATTGCTAGTATCTGAACTCTGAAGACGATTTGCTTTGCTGACATGCAGCATATATATTATATAGTGATATCCAATTTGCTGGGGCAGGTGAGCGTCGATGCTATTTCCGGATCATTTCACATGTTCTGGTCGGATTTTCGAGAATTGGCTGTGCATTGTCAACAATCTGAGAGCATGCACTGTGCCTTATATAAATTCTCGGTAGTATAGCTGCAGAGTATCGATCAAGCGCTGCATGGAGAATAAATAAAAAATGTTTCCCACATACTGTTTGTTTCTCTGTGATACAAATATGGTGGTTTGAGAGGCACGGCAGTGAGCACAGCTGACCCCGTTCTAGATTTGAGACCCTGAAACCTGGGTTCATCAACAAACTCAATCTGGACCACATAGCATCATGTATTCCAAAGGGATTGTAGAAATGGTACATGGCAAAGTTTGATTATCTATGCTCAGCCCACAGTAAGACCGGGTATGCTCACTGCTTTTCCCGCAACGCCAAATTCGGAACACCGTAACCACCATCCCTATCTCCAGCTTACTCCTCAATCGTCTTGACGCACTCCCACTCGCCGCTCAAGTTCTCAGTCCACAAGCTAACCTTGTTATCCTGCCCACTAACCGCCAACACATTCCCGCTCAAGCTCCAGCTGACGCGCCAGATAACCGCATCAAACTTGAGCTCCTTGCTCTCCCACTGCCCCGGGTGCGCCGCATCGCTCGTCCAGATCCGCACCGTCTTATCCTGCGACGCAGACGCAATGTACGACTTCTGCAGCACCGACGGCGACCACGCCACATCGCGCACCCAGTCCGTGTGTCCCGTCAGCGCAGCACCCTCCTGCTTATACGTCTGGCTCGCCTGGTCATACGCCCACAGCCTGAGGGTATTATCGCTCCCCCCCGTAACAAAGCGGCGCTGTGCGCCCGCCGCCGCGCCACCTGCGCTAACCAAGCTGCCTGGTGCGGCGCTAGGGGCCCAGGAAACGCTGTTCACGCCCATGCCGTGCGCTTGGAAGATCTTGTGGTCCATGCTGTTGTCCTTGAATTCGAGGACGGACACGTTGCCGTCGGAGCTGGCGCAGGCGAGGAGGCAGCCGGATTCGTGGGGCGACCAGGAGATGATGTTCACGGAGGCGGTGTGCAGGGCGAAGTCGAAGACGCGGGACCAGGTTGAGTTGGATTCCCGCCAGATGAAGACTTTGCCGTCGTAGCCGGCCGAGGCGAGGATGTTGCCGTATTTGGGGTGCGCCCAGGAGACGCACCAGACGGCGCCTTCGTGGCTGGAGGGGTGTTAGAGGGGTGGGAGAGGAGGGGGAGGGGGGAGAGATGGGAGGGGCGTGGGAGATGGAGGGAAAGGGGGGGGAAGGGACAAAACGGTCCGCAGGGGGAGACGTGGCGTACCCTTTTAATGTCTCTTGTAATTTGTGTGTTTCTCCATCCACCTCGAATATCTTCACGGTGCGGTCTGAAGAGCAAGTCGCGAGACGGCGCCCGTAGTAGTCGAGGACTGCATCGTGCTGGCAGGGTGTTAACATCCAGACTTATATCCTGACATATCCCTCTCTGATGCCCGCCTCCTCCGTAAACTCAGCGGGTTGGTGGGGGATAGACTTACGATCATGTCATCGTGCCCCGAGTTGGTGATAACTTGTGCCTATAGCTTCGTATTAGCGCCGTCCATCACCTCGCCGCAGCCAGGAATGCAGGATTGTCAGGAATCCGGCAATCAAGAGACGTGCTTACCATGTTGACAAAGTTTGGAGCACCAGGAAACAAGAGTTGTGGTAATTGAGAGGCTGTTGCTGGTGAATGTTTGAATCCCTTATGTGTCCTATCGTGGCCTTGTTCTTGAGGCTGAGTGGGTTGAAGTGCGCGCTCCGAGCCAAGACTCGCCCGGCTGGACCCACCCAATTAGACCCCCGCCTACATCATGGAATCCCCAGCTTCCTTAATATTGACCTAACCAATACACGATTTTGCCTGTGAAAGCGACCATAAAAGCACTTGTTTGCTCGCATTTCTCATTGACGTTTGTTTGTTCCAGTAATTTCTACATTGACGCATATAGAACCGCTGTCTCGGGCCGCTATCACACACAATACCATTCCAGTCACCGAGATAGCCTCGGCTTGATACCACGGACCGAATATCACAACCTCCCCCCGAACTTCATACTTCACATCTACAACAAACCAACAACACAACAAACCGCCAAAATGGCCGACTCCATGTGCGGCCCCTCCAACGCCCTCCAAAACTTCCAAAAACAAAGCCAAGGCGACCGAACCCTCCAACAAGACCGCCTCTCCGCCCGAACGCCACAATCACAAGTAAGATCCCCATCTCATCCCCCCTCCAAATCCCACCCTCACCACACCCTCTAACACCAACCCAGGGCTTCCGCAGCGCCGGTCCCAGCGCCCGCACTCTCGACCCCGAATTCGAAGCCTTCCAAGCCGGCCAGCTCCCCCTCCAACACCCCGAAGCCGGCTTCCACCCCGGCTTCCAGCACGCGCACACCCCCCAGCCGGGGCAGCACATGAATGCCGGCCCTGGCGCATCATGGGCGAACGATTTCCAGCGCCTGGCCATCGCGTCCCCAGGGATGCAGCAGCAGGGTCTCCCACAGGCCCAGCACGCGGGGGGATGGCACCAGGAATTCGCACAGATGAATAATACCCAAGCCGGAATGCCACAACAACAGCAACACTCCTACAACGCCCCTCTCGAGCGCCTCTCCTCCCTCGCCACAACCCCCTTCGGCATGGGCGGACAGCCCATGTACCAAACCCCCATGTACCAACCCGCTCAGCAAATGCACCCCGAGCAACCCCAACAACTCAACTCCGAGATCGGCACCTTCGACGAAGCTGCCTTCGCTGCCGCCTTCGACCAAGCCGCACAATCAGAGCTGCAATCCGAACAAGCCTCCCTCTCTCACGCCCTCCAAGAAGGCCACCTCACAGCCGCCCCAATCGGCGCAGACGCAATTCACCACCCCGACGCGCCCTCCCAACAACACCTCACACCCGCCCAAGAAAGCGATGATCTCGCCCGCACAGCCGGCGCGCTCCTGACGAGCGTGCAGGGCGACCAGAGCGATAAATTCGCCAACAGCCAGTTTCTGCAACTCATGCGGCAGCTGCGGGATAAAGAGGTCGTAGTAGAAGGAGACACCATCATGCCCGCATCCGAGGCGGGAATGGGCGGGCCGGCCGGGGGAGCAGATAACGTGAGTCCTCCCGCCCCCGCCCTCGCCCCGACTTCGTGACGGCCCACCTCAACGCACCACGCCTCCATACTCTGCGCCTCCTCGCGCGCCACCCTCGGCTGGCCCCCCGCTCCGCTCAGCTCAGCTCACAGACGCTGATACCCGTCTCAGACGCGCTAACCCCCTAGGCAGTCTTCGCAGGGAGGACCGCCGTGGCTGGGTCCCGATGGGCGCGGGATGGCGTATCGGAGCGCGAGCAGGCGCGTGCATTACCGCGGGGATGAGCCCCTTCTGGGTGGGGATTCATCGGATCCGCTGCGGAGGGATATAGAGGCGAACCTGATAAGGATGGGTGAGGAGATTAGGAGGGGGATGGAGGAGACGGGAGAGGTGCCGATTCAGTATAAACGCGCGAATGGCTGGGTTTTGGAATCGTCTGCGTTTCTCGATTCCACAGCTGACCACCAGACGCCGGTAGTCCCCCGCGCCATGGTAGGGGGGGGGAGGGGTATATCAGGCTTGAGAACCGAAGAGGACCGTGTGCGCGCGCCGAGGGAGGAGATGCAGAGGTTGGGGCCGGAGGAGGTGGAGAGGGCGACTAGGATTGCGGAGGAGGAGGGGGTGAGGGGGGTGAGGGAACGGTTGAAGGCTCTGGAGGAGAGGCGGAGGTATGAGGAGGGGATTATGAGGCAGCTTGCTGAGGAGGAGGTTAGGGAGGAGCTGGCGAGGGAGGGGAGGAGTTGGGGTCCTTCATAGATAGGGGGTATTTTGGGGGGCGGGGGGGAGGGGAGATAATATCAATATTAATACAAGATTTATGCCATTTTGTGGGAGCATGGGGTTTGAATGTATGGGTGGTTCACATCTGCTATATATCATTCCACCTCCACCACTCCCACTACCCATCCATCCACCAAGGCCGACACGCCCCTCTTCCCCCTCCCGTCCTCAAACAAGTTCAATCGTTATATTGAGCTTTCCACCTCCCCTTCCACATTGCTAGAATCCCCGCTGCCCCTTCTTATAACACATAGCCGTGTAAACATGCGGACAACCCCCTTTTTGAAGTTGAAAGTGGGGGAGCTGTTCAATCACTCTCTCATACTCCAAGAGCCTATGGAAACCCTTCATACAAATCTTAAAAACGGCAGGTGCGCGGGTCAATCGTAGTTTCCATAACTTGGAGATGTCATACAATACATAAGTGGCAGGTGCCATAGGTCGTTCCTTCTGCACCATATATACACTATAATAGTAGCAGGTGCCATACATCGTTCCTTCTACTATAATATATATCACATAATAATGGCAGGTGCCCTCACTCAGTCGTTCCTTCCCACCATAGTATATATCATAATAGTAGCAGGTGCCATCACTCGTTCCTTCCCACCATGATATGTACCATAAATAGTGGCAGGTGCCGTCAGTCGTTACCTTCTCACCATGATATATACCATAATAATGGCAGGTGCACATACGTCGTTCCTTCCTTCCATACCATATACCATAAGCCAGTCGTGCCTACCATATACCCACTCACTCTCTACAAGTTCAAAGCTCCCCTAGCTTTTTGTGCACTATAAACAGGTGGCTCTGTCTCGATCGTGGTTGCCATTAGTACTGTAGCTCCTCTATGAGTCGTAATGGCGTGGCTATAAACTGGAATTGTGACAAGGTTGTAGCTACTAAATCCCATGCTCCGGGATAGAAAGAGGGGGGAGCGGAGATGAGAATTACGAGGGCTGTGAGGGATGGAATGGGGACTTAGAGGATGGGGTTTTATAAAGTAAGGAGAGGAAGTGTTGCGCTGGGGATGGTTTGGGAGGAGATGACGAGAGGGTGGTGGTGTGTAGTAGGGATAGTAGCATTTTAGATTCATTGGGGCGCGTCTGGGGTTGGATATTGGTGACAGGAGGGGAGGTTGACGTATGTATGGGTTGAGTTGTAGGAGATATTTACGCATCAAGCAACAGATCACGATTCACATCAAGTCAAGCAAGAAGTCATAAGAAGATATCAAAACCAACGCATCTTCAATTCTAAGCCCAACGCTAAACCTCTACGAGGCCCAACACCGAACATAAAAACTATTAAGGTGTCTGTTCTAACACAAAAAGCAAGAAAAAGCTGGTCACCGTTCCTCTCCCCCTTCCCCGCCGCAAAGTCTTCCACGATGGGAGAGAAGGCAAGAGAGTCGGAACACAATCGAACAACATGTATAAGCAAAAGCCCTTCAACCCCATTGAAGGGGGAGGACACCAAATATAAAAAGCAACGCGGGCCGGATCTCTTCATATCCTTCCTTTCTTTCCATTCCCCGATGTAAACTTTTTCACTCTCAGGAGTCCCAAACGCAATTCGTAATAAACAGTGAGAAGTTAAAGTCTTCGAGAAAACAAAAAAGGTCGTGAAAATCCGTAATACACTCCGCACAAAGAAACGTACAATGTCCAGTAAAAAGAAATAGAGAACTTTTGTTGAAACCCACGGCAGAGTTTGGACAAAGCCAAAGACTGCCTCCGAAACTACCCAGGGCCGAGAGCGCAGCAAGCCTCCCAACCCCAATCAATGTGAAGAAAAGTGTGATGATGTCAAGCGAAACATCAGTTTGCGCCCCTCGCGAGCGCTTTCGCCTTCCACATATCCCTCTCGGCAGCGATCTTTGCAATCTCCGCCTCAAGCTCGTCAAAGCGCTCCATCTTCTTCTGCCTCGACTTACGCGCTGCAAGAGTGTTGCGCGCGCGCTTGATGGCGACAGTGTCGTTGGGATCCTCGACCACGATGGGTGGGAGGGGCTGGTTGCGCTTGCGGGCGCTGACTCCCGCGGCTGCCGAAGCGGCCTTGGAGTGAGGAGAGCTGTCGGAGCGACGGCGGCGCTCGCGGAGAGCGTCACCAACCTCGAGCTCCTCGTCAACGGCGAGAGGAGAAGTGTCAACCGCGACGGGGGCGGGGAAGGAAGCGTCGCCTTCGGGGAAGAGGGGGAACCACGGGTCGCCGTTGGTGAGGTCGTCCGAGTTGTACATCGGGGAGACGTCGAGGTCGTGGAGGTAGTCGGGCGACTCGTTGTATTGGGAGGGCGACGTCAGGTTCGTGAAGACGGTGGAGTTGGGCGCGGAGAAGGTGGCGTCGCGGACCATGAGGTCCTGCGGCGACACCGTGCCCATGCTCGTGGACGCGGAATCGGTTCGGTTCATGGCTGGCGCGGGCGAGTACATGGTGGGCACTGCGGGAGAGTACTTGTAGTCGAGATCCGGGAAGTTCATGTTGTCCGAGGACTTGAGGTCGAACGAGTCGAAGTCGTCGAATAAGTTCATGTCTGGGCGGAGGTGTGAGTGTGAATCACCGCAGGGTTGTGAATGGGACAGTGAATAATTACCTTGCGCCATGTTGTTGGGGGGGAACGATTGCTTGTTGTTGGAATGGATGTTGCCGGTGCTCTGCGAGAACAGTGGGACCTGGGGACGGGTCCTGATCTGGGACTGTAGAGCGGCGGACGACGACGGGGCAGACAGCGCGTAGAACTGCTGTTGCTGCGGGAATGGATTATACCGGTTTGTAAACGCTGGAGAAGAAATCTGATGGCCTGTGCCTTGGATGATCGCGGCTACTCTCTGGTTCTGCAGGGACGGGGCAGACAGGGGGTTTGCGGAGTGACGACGATTGCTACCACTGGGGGCGTGGTTGCGGGGCAGATTAGGGATATTCTGAGCGTTGGGAGACGCCTCGAGAGAACGACGCGGGAAGAGCACGAAGTCCGGAGGAGTTTGATAATCCGTCTGTGGGGAGGGTTGCTGCGATTGCTGTGGTGCCAAAGGGCTCGTTGATTGGGGTTGGGTAGGCCATGGTGACTGAAGGGTTTGGGAAGCCGTCGTAAAGACGTTAGGTAGAATGGTGGTGGGTAGTTGTTGAGAGCTTGAGCTGTTCCGAGGAATGCTGTTGTTCAGGTCTTCGAAAAGAACTGGGTATTGTGGAGTGGGGTTGGGTAAGTTGTTTAAAGTTTCGAAATGAATCTTGAAAGCGTCTGGAAGACTAAGGGCGGTTAAGCCATTTTGTGAATGATGACGATGGTGTTGATGTATTTGTTGTGTTGTGATAGTATTTTGGGTTGAAGAGAGAAAAGAAGGGAAGAAAAGAAAAAAAGTGAAGCCTGGGGCAGTGGGTGGGTTATAACTATTTTCGTGGCAGCCTGACAAATTTAGCGCTTAGTGGGCTGTGGGAAGTCGTAGTTTGTAGTTTTTGGTGTGGTAGGGGGGGTGGTGGGGAGGGGGGTGGAGTTAGTTATGTGTGTTAGTGGAGGGGGGAGTGGATGGAACGGTTTAGAGGAGAGAACAAGCGAAAAAAGAAGGGTTTGAGGAAGTATCTTTTGGTAGGAGGGAGCCGCAAAAGAGAACATACGACAGTACAGTAAACCACAGCACACCACAGCACACCAGAGCACACTCTTCACAGACAAACTATTAGGGAAGACAGGGATACGTATCCTAAAGTGGTGTGAAATTGTAGTCTAACGGGTGTGTACCTATTCCCCTCCTCTCATTCTCCCACTGAGACAAAAAGCAGGGGTGACAGCAAAGGGCGAACAGTGGGAACAATCACAGTACAGTAACGCCGATCCATCTCCCACAGTCTGGCAACCGACAGCCGTACCAAGTACCCCCGCACCACCAATCCGCCTTGTCGATACCTCCCCACGCCATTGTGCCTCGCCCTGCCTGTACATGTAAGCAGACAGACAGGCCATTAAATCACCAATGCGCGGCGAGCGCAGTGTCCGCACGCCGCGCCGTCCGCTGTAGTATCTCCACTATTCTGTAGCGAAGGATGGGGCAGTGCATGTGTCCCATTGGCCGGAGACTACCCAATGGCTGACAATCGAGCGGAGGGACAACGGCGGGGGAATGGGACATGTAGTGTCGTTTTTTCCGCTCTGGTGGGATGGGAGGGAGAGGGGAGATTGGCTACTGGGGGTGTGTTCTTTCTGACTCATAATTGCTTGCCGGGGTGATGGGGGGTGCTTGTAATGGCTTGTGTGTGGTGATGGACAGTGCATGGGGAACTCTATAGTATTGCTGCACAGCACACTGCAGTTGTTTGGCGATGTGGGGGAGAAGAGGGAGGGATGTTGAAACGACGGGGAGGAGGGATGGGATACGTAGATGCGATACGATGTTTAGAGGACAAATAAGAGAGTTTATTGTGATTTTACGTGGTGGACATGATATGGTGATGCTGTATGATTGCTGTATGATTGTAAGTGTGGGATTCCAGTCATAGAGCCAGTTCATTCCACTGTAGTATCTCATAGTATCCCATACTATCTATCCCACAGTCCCATATAATCCCATCAACACCACCCACCACAGCATCTCACAGTATCCCATATCCCAGACCAACCCCATCGCATTCGTATCCATCCACGCGTACCTGCACGAATCCCCATCTAACCCATCCCTCCCATCCCTCCCATCCATCCCCCATCCTCAATCCAGCATGTCCAAGCAGTCCACCATCCACACACGACACGCTTCTGCCTTCCCACAATCCCACCTTACCTTACAGACACGCCTCGGCCTAGACGGACCACCTTTGTAATCACCCCCCTTAAAAATCAGCCGCCATCCCCGCGCCACCACCAACCAACGCCCATCTATGCCTCAGGCACTCACCTATCCCCCCATCCACCCCACCCCATCACACACACCACCAACACGCCGCCTCGTCCACCGTAGCCACTAGTCTCTGAGGCCGTGTGAGTCATACTTCCCAGTCGTCCCACTGGTGGTCTGTGCTTTTCCCCATCCTATCCCAATCCCAATTTGATGGATGGGGATCCAGCCAGGCGGAGGACAGAGCTCCTTTGTCCTCCGTAAAGTTAGGTAAGTTAGGTAAGCTCCACTCACACACGCTTTTGATTCGTCAATGGGGATACGGGATTGGAGACGGTGGTCGTGTTCGGCTGGCTGGCTTGGTGGGAGAGGAAGGGAGAGGGACGGAGGACTGGCCGGGACGGATGGGTGTACGGCGTGAGGGAGGGAGGGGCGGATGCGGCGAGGGAGGGAGGGGGAGTGGGAGGAGTGGGAGAGAGGGAAGGGCGCGGGATGGCGGGGAGAGGAGAGGGGTGAGTGAGGGGAGAGGGGGTGAGTGAGGGATATTATTAAGCAGATTACCTACTACTACTGTATATTATATGGGGTATAACATAATGCAGGAGTGAAAGATGAGGCTAGATCTGGTAAGTGCTTGGTATGGATGGGAGTGGATGGGAGGTGGATGTGGAGGTGAAGGTGGTGGTGGATGTGGATGTGAGAAAGGTGGTGGGATGGGAAGTGGGATGGGAAGTGGGATGGGAAGCGGGATGGGAAGTGGGATGAGAGCTACGCCGGCAGACGGGCGCGAAGGGTTGACCTGAGAACGCCGCCTTGCTGGTTACCCGTTACCCGTGATGTATGCTATGAGGGGGAGTGTAAGAGTGTGAGAAACTGCGTTTCCCGCCCTTACTATGAGACCCATCCCTACCGCCTATCCATACCACAAAGACCCTCTCTTCGTTTCGTTCCTCCTGGGCTTTGCTTGTTTGTTCATTAGTTTCTCTACACTCCACGTGGCTGGGACGGAACGGAAGGAACGGAAGGAACGACCGGCCGGTAGAGTATATTATCAGGGTCGTTCGTTCCTGCCAAGTTTGGGATTTAAGACATGTGATGTGTATTGTATCGGAATGGAAGGAACGGTGTCCTTTATAGAGAGAGGGTCGTTCCTGCCAAGTTGGGTTTTTGAGACATGGGATATATAGCATCGGAACGGAAGGAACGGTGTCTTCTATAGAGGGTTGTTCTTGCTAAATTTGGGTTTTTGGGACTTGTAATCTGGTCTTTGGGATATGGTAGCGGGAAGGAAAGAACGACGGTGGTGTTCTCTGAGAAAGGTCGTTCCTGCCAAGTTTAGTCTATTTGAGACGTGGTATCGGAACGGAAGGAACGATATACCCAATATCAGGGTCGTTCCTTCCTGCCAAGGGAAAGTGATCTTGAGATCTTGACACATCTCCGTGACCTCCACAGGAGGTTTAGGGGCGCAAGGTAGGCCTCTCTTCTCTTCTTGGCAGGGGAATCCATGACTGATGGGCTCTGTTTGGGTTCTTGGTTTTTGATATGTGTGGTTTAGAAGCACATATATCTGGATGGGGATGGGGGAAGTGATATGCTTTGTTTTGGATTCTCAGATTTTGATATGTGGCTTTTGCAATCTAGATCTCAATGGGGATGTGGGATGGGGGAAGTGATATCCCCCCATTAAACAGATGCATTCATAGCCCTTAGGACCTATAGACACATACTACACCTCTATAGCACCTAATCACAGAAGAGCTTAATAAACACTCACAGGCATCCTCTCCATCACAAGAAGGTCTTTGGGTGATATGCTTTGTATTCTGCTACCCCCCTCTAGCTAACGGAGCTCCCCTCTTAAACCTAGACTCCGCGTCATGCACCCAAATCCTATCCCTCCCCTCGTCCTAGCCTTCTTGCCTAGATGCTTCACATGTTTTCCAATATCACCAACCCCCATCCCACCAACGAAACGAATCAAAACACGGGCCCATGAGCCCCAAAACCACTGCTCCAATCTTGGCTGTCTGTAAATTGTGCATTGCCGCACTCTGTATTGTAGTATCAAAATAAAGAAAACGAAAGGAAAAAACCACAGATACGTTTCGCTGAAAATGCGTTTCTCTTTCGCCCAAAAAAATAGGAAAGAACAATAACAAAGAGAGGAAAATCCCCCAAAGTTTTTGACGAGCCCCAAAAAAAGGAAAATTGGTTGGTTGTTGAGATGATGACGAGAATTACAAAGGAGAAGAAAACTTCCACCACCACGCAATTAGTAGGCCACCTCCAACCTGCCCCCCTCTATCTCAACCCAATAACACTCATCTCCAGCGTCCACACCCTCCTAATCCAGACCTTCAGCTTCCCCTCCACGCCCTCGACACCCTCCAGCTCGACACCTTCCCACCAGCACCTCCTCGCCGGTTTGCGCCAAAACAGCAACAATTTCTGCGCCATGCCTACAGCGGCGCCGCCTTCGGCGCCGGATCGGACGTCGGTGCGCAGACGGGCGAGGGCGAGGCTGCAGATTACGGCTTTGTTGGGTTCGCCAGCGCGGTGGCCCCAGCCGTCTGTGTGGTTGAATCCGCTAGAGACGATATTAGTACTGACACACAAGCAACCAACTAACACGGGGGAAAGGTAAAGCAAGACTCACCCAGCAGTCAACATCTCAATCAAATGCTGCTCCGTCGTCCCCGTCTCCTCACTCCTCCTCAGCCCCGAAAAAATCCCATCCTGCCTCAACAGCGCCTTCCCCGCCGCCCTCTTCACCTCCACCATCTCGCTCTGCTCAATGTCCGCGCGCGGCGGGATGGCGTAGAAATCCAGGTCCTCGCGCAGCACGATGATGCCCGCGCGGTCGCGGAGCATGTCGCGTGCCGACCCGGCGGGGTTGTCGAGGTTGGCGCCTACGTCGGAGTCGTCGAGGGTGGGCACGTCGGGGATGGTTTGCGCGACGTTGCGGAAGAATTCGAGCATGTATTGGAGGGAGGCGGGGTCATACTAAAGACGAGGGTTAGCTATGTGCTTTGGTGGGTTGGGTATGGTAAGGGTCGGGTGTGGTGGGGAAATGGAGACTTACGTCGACTTGGAAGGCGTCCCCTTCTTGGTAGGCGTTTACGTGGCCATCTGGTAGAAGCCCGTTGGGGAAGAGGGATAGGAGGACGAATTCGGGGAGTGTTAAGAGTTCGTCTCTTGATAGAGTGAAGCGCGTGCCCCTAAAGAGTAGATGTTAGCCACGCCCCCCGACCAGCGTCCATTCATAAACCTACCTCAGGTCCATAGTGATATTCTCATCGGCACCAACATCTATCTCGTTAGCTTCCTCTTTGTCAATTCCCGCACGCGAACCGACAAAACTCACCTCCAAGCGTATTAATCGGCGGCGGACCACCCTGCTGCACCTGAGTAAGAATACTCGCAACTCCTCCCGCGGCCGCCATCAGATAGCTAAACGAGAGTAACGGGCTCGACCCTTCCGTATATGCAGGCGGAGGCTCCTCGTCGTCCTTCTTACAAGAAGATTCCCCCTTATTATCCCGCGGTAGCGCTGCCTTTGTCTCTGCAACCGCGTCGTCTGCTCGTGTCCTCTCTGCAAATTCAGGGGCTAGCGATGCGTACGCTGGTACTGAAGCTGAGCTCGCTGCGTCGTCGGAAACTGCTACCTCGTCAACGGCGCCAGGATCAGCGGCGGTGGGCGAAAAGTAATTGTCGTGCGGCGAAAACGGTGGTGGGCTGCGAGAACAGGGTCGCGGCGAGGAAGAGGCTCCTGCTGATTCCTGCGGGTACTGCGGGGGCGGTGAGGACGGCGTGCTGCGCTCAATTTGCGACTGCGACTGCTCCTCTTGCGACTTGTCGTGCTGCGCGCGGTGGCCGTGGCCGATGGGAACGGGGCCGGCGCGGGCGTCGGGCGTGTCTGACAACGTCGTGGTCGATGGGGCGGAGATGGGGGTTAGAGACGATGAGTTGGGCCTCGCGGCTGGATTGTCGGATGTGTTGCTGATGCGATGGGTAAAAGATATCGCTGGGGTGGATGCGCGAGGATCTATACCAACGGGGTATCAAATGGGCATATATATCCAGGTGTATTGACGGGGTTGGGGGTGGTGGTGTTATTGTGTAGTTGTTGCTGCTGGTGAGCTCTCTCTCTCTCCTATCGCTTGCCTCGCTTGTTGTTGATATGGCGTTGGCTGTTGCTTGGTGCTTGGCCAATTTGTGGGACCCCTGCCACTTGTAGCCGCCGTCATGGAAAGTCTATCGGAGCTTGTGCGGAGGTGGTCACTAAACTACTTTCTAACACCTCACCTATCAAAACTCACATCGCCATCACACATTATAGGGGTCACCACAAAATCATTGAATCACGGATCCACTTTTTATCTTCTATTCGCAGAAAGATGCAAAATTACCAAAAGCAACCCCAATCATACCATGCAAAACTATACACTATTTATAGATTACCAAGTGTACTGAAACCCCCAATTGCACTGTATCAGCCAGAGATCCGCGAAGGGAGGCAGATAATCTAAAAGCTATAACAATATGTCCTAAAGGATTAGTTTAACGGCGATCCTAACACTCTGCAAAGAGGCATCATGGCTCTACTATATAATAGCAAACATCCCTATGTTGATGAGCGCCCGGGCGCGACGATACCGGGGAGGACGAGCGGGTGGGGTGGTTTAGTGGTGCTGGCTCGACAGCTGCCGCAGTGTTGTAAAAATATCAGCGGCGGCGAGGATATGAGTGGCCCAGGCGGTCATGTTGCAATGCTGGATAATCCAGGGGTTAATAGAGTCGTGCGGTCGGTATCAATCATAGCATGCAGCAACGATCAACTTTCTTGATACCAAATAATGAATCTCTATTCTTCATCACTACCATCGCCGAAAATTGACTTAAACACGGCTTCTCCGGGTCTTTCGCCTTCTAATGCTTCGTTCCGTTCCGTATCAACCACAACTTCCCTAGGCCTTTCTACCGGTGGTATTACATCTCCGCCAGTCGCAGTCTGATAGTGTTGGTTGCGGCCACCAGACTCCCTGATCAAATCGTCGATATCAGATTTTGAAATCAGCTCCGACGCCCGGGGTGGTTGGCCGGTATTAGTTGCTGGACCGGAATCTTTCCCACCGGCCCTTTCGTTCTCGGGGTCTGGCTGTACATGAGCTGGAGGGCGGACACCAAATCTCTTGCACAGTAGCCTAGTTGGGTAGAAGTCTTCTTCTGATCTCGTCAGGCGCCCAAACATACCAGCCTTAGCCGCGGCCTCGGCTGGATCTTCCTGCTTTGGCTGCGGCTTACTGAGTAAAGTCCCGGGCTTGTTCGAAGCGCCTTCAGATGCCGTAGGTGCTGATGATGAGGAGGTAAACCGAGTTGCCATCATTCCAGTCATTGGTTTGAAGATCTGCGCACTATGTGCAAACTCCTGAAGCTCCCTGATCCAGTCTTCTTTTGCCACACCCGGTTCCTTCTCTGGAAGCCCATCTCTGACGCCTGCTTGTATTTCCAAATAAATCGTATACCGTAACCGTTTTTCTTCATTGTCAGAATATGGCATCCAACCACTCCCGCTGCGGCCCAGAGCAGCTACGGCGACATCAATGTCAATGTTTGGAATTTGACCTGGCGATTCTCGTCGGCGTTCGGGTGGTGGAACGTAACCCTCTGGGACTTCTCCTAGAGCTGCAGGCAGGTTCGTCTTCCCCGATGCTGAAGCGATGCGATCACGAGCGGACTTGGAGAGGAAGTCGAAGACGGACTTCCCTGGCAAAGGTGCCTCGCCCAGCAATGCTGCACGCGACTTCGGGTCTAATGTCGAAGCTCTGGCAGCATCTGCAGTTGATACATAGTCAGATGCTCCAGGAGCAGCGGTTGTTGTTTTTGCAGATGTCCAATCCGGGGGAATTTCGACTGGTCGATATTTATCCATCGATGTGACATCAACGGAATCCGTCCCACTGCCCAATACGAACCCATCTAAAGGAAGGCGTCCGTCGTGACATTTACGGAATCCCAGAGATGCTCTTGCTGCCGCAGCCTTTTTAGAGATAAACACCGGCTTGGCCGCGCCACTTATGACGGGGTTCTTCTTTTTCTTGTCGCCGCCAATAACCTTATTGTATGAGATCTTCGGGCCAATTTCGTATGGGTCTTCGTCATCAGAACCAGTGTCGTTTAAAACCCCCATGCCGATACCGCCACGAACAGCTTTCTTTGCCTTCTTGGTTGTCATTGGCCGGGTCGTTCCAAACACTTCCCCCCTGTCGACTTCCGGTTTCGAAACAACATTGTTTTGGTTTTCTTCCCCTAGCTTTGCGGAGCCAGCAAACCCCAACCCTTTGTGATCGGTCTTTCGAATAAATGTTATCATTGGCGTATTATCTGGCGCAAAAAGATGCTGCTCTTGGGGCTGGCCAGCACTGGAAATCTCCATGCCCAGTCTTGCAGCTCTTCGGATTTTTGGTCCCACCCCTTGGCCTTCTCGCCAGCCCATCTTCTTCAGCAGTTTGACTCCCATTGTCTCGCCCTCGGTTTTGAAAAGGTCCATGTACCCACCACGCTTCATGACCTCACCTTCCGTAGAGCCCAATGCCGTGAAATCCCCAGCTGTGAGGACCCTCTGGTGTTCTTCGGCATCCGCAAGATCTTCCTCGTCCATAAAATCCTCGGGTCGCCGTTCTATTATCTTCGTTTCGCCATTCTTGCGACTCGATCGCGAGGAGACAAAGGTGGATGGAGTCCATCCTTCTTTCGATCCAACAGTGTTGAAGTAGCTACAATACACAGTCAGTAATAGTTCAGCCCAGCGAAGACGAGAAATCATACCCTGCGCTAAATCCACCAGTGAAAGCTCCATGTAGACGTTTCCTTCCCCTCTCATCCGTCACCTCTTGCTTCCAAACAGGAACATACGACCCGTCATCCCGGACATCAGGGTCAAGCGGAGGGAGCGGAGTGCCATAAGCTACAAAGGGGCTCTGCTTGGCCTGCAAATCAGACTCATAAGCAGCGCGCGTTCGTTTCACGGACATTTCTCGACATGAATGCGGTTGGCAAATGTTTCGTTTTGCCTGACCTTGCTGGATTACGATTCACGTCCTTATCTTAGCCGCTTTAAGCGCGCCCAGGAAGCTTAAGTACTGTTTGAGTCTATTTGGGAACAATGAGAGCTACGGAAATGTGAAATCGAGTCGAAGCAATAGTTGGCATTTCCAAGCTCAAGCTGCACAGCATAGATTACTTTATTATTGGCTTGGTATCTGGTAGCGCAAAGTATGCCGTTGACTCCCATGGATTAACGCTAAGTAACCAGTCGCCTCGGGTGAGGTTCTTAGGTTGCTTTGTCCGTCCTGTGCTAAGGTACGACAGCATGTCAGGTCCCATCTCGGAATGTCATCGAGCATGAAACTAGCCCTTAGAGACACATTTTGATTTATGTCTCCTTTATGTGAATCTCCTTTGAAATAATACCTATATCCCAACTATAAATTCAGACTTTAAGCGTCAACAAATGCCGCGACTGACCTGCCACGCTTACCGTTGACCCGCATTTGCGTCTGCCAACCTTGCCAACCTACCTTGGGCCATAGCAACATCCACCACCAACCATGCAACGTTGATGACGCCCAGCACTGCAAACCAACCACACCTGTCGCGATAGCATATCAGGCTTTCGTTTCCATTAAACGTCTTGTTCGATCTTGATATCGAGTACATACGGCACCGCGAGAAGCTTGGCTGCATTGATCCCCAGCGGCGTCGCTGGCTAACAATGTCAGCAACCGCCTCAGCTCCTCCTAGTGCAGTTGAAGCACAGGGCATGTCCAGACGTGAGGGGCAGGGATCATCTTCCAGGCGCGACAGTCAATCGTATTCGAATCCATCCCGGACGCAGTCGACGAGATCGAGACCTTCCGCTGCTGTTCCCAGCCCAGTTCGCGCCCACTCCTCGAATTCACGCCCGACCTCGCGACGCGTGGACGAGATACTCCCGCAACAAGACTATGAGACAACGAACGTAGCTCAATCAAGCAGGAAGAGATCCACCGATCGTACCAACCATATTCGGACGGAGTCATCGAGAAGCGGACATACCAGAAGCTCGTCGCGCCATCATCCCACCTCAGATATGCCGAGCGCAGCTGGTAGCTCGAGTGCCGCTGGCCCAGCGCCAGTTGTGGTCCCCGTGGAACAAAAGGCCACGAGACAAGGAAGATCGAGAACTGTGATACCCGCTCAAACAGGTAACTGGATCCTGGGAAAGACCATTGGTTCCGGAAGTATGGGGAAGGTGAAGCTAGCGAGACGTGTTGAAGGTGAAGAAGAGGTAAGCGAAACAATAGCCCATGACATCGTCACTAGGTTACTAACTGTCCCCCGCAGGTTGCTGTCAAGATCGTTCCCCGCGGCTCGACCCCCGATGAATCCCAACAGCAGAGCCGGGCTGATCGTGAGCGTGCCGAACGTTCCAAGGAGGTACGCACTGCAAGAGAAGCCGCAATTGTGACACTCCTCGACCACCCATATATCTGCGGCATGCGAGACGTCGTACGCACGAGCCACCATTGGTATATGCTATTCGAATACGTCAATGGGGGCCAAATGCTTGACTATATCATCTCTCATGGTAAATTGAAGGAGAAGCTGGCGAGAAAGTTCACACGCCAAATTTCGAGTGCTCTTGACTATTGTCACCGCAATAGCATCATCCATAGAGACCTGAAGATCGAGAACATTCTCATCAGCAAGACGGGTGATATTAAAATCATCGATTTCGGCTTGAGCAACTTGTTTGCACCAAAATCGCATCTGAAGACATTCTGCGGTAGCCTATACTTTGCTGCACCAGAATTGCTGCAGGCCAAGGCGTATACCGGTCCTGAGGTTGACATCTGGAGTTTCGGAATTGTTTTGTATGTTCTGGTGTGTGGCAAAGTTCCATTTGATGACCAGAGCATGCAAGCTCTGCATGCCAAAATCAAGAAGGGCATTGTCGAGTACCCGAGTTGGCTCAGTTCTGGTAAGCTTATCCCGTTCTTACAACATGACCCATCCACTAACAAAACCAGACTGTAAAAATCTCATCTCACGGATGCTTGTAACAGACCCAAAACAAAGAGCCACTCTTCATGAAATCATGAATCATCCCTGGGTACTCAAGGGGTTTGGCTTCCCTCCAGAGAACCATCTCCCCGCACGTGAACCAATCCAGCTTCCTCTTGATCCTGAGGTGGTACGTGCCATGACAGGATTTGATTTCGGTGCGCCGGAACTTATCCACCAGCAATTGACGGAAGTTATTGAGTCTGACGACTACCAACGCGGTATTCGATTGGCCGCCCGCGACAAGGGATCGCAAACTCCGAGAGATGTTGAGAAGAAGAGGGGATTTGGCTTTGACTTCTACAAGCGCAGAAGCTCCACAAATAGCAAGGACACCCTCACAACACCTTCGACTGAAGGCTTGCAATTGGGCAACGACCCTGTAAATGCATTCCATCCTCTGATATCCGTCTACTACTTGGTTCGTGAGAAGCAAGATAGGGATCGTAGAGCAGCCAACCCAGGGGCTACTAGCCTGCCACGTTCTCCAAATGAGGCGCCTCTGCAAATGGCTGAGATTGCTCCCCCTCAGGCTGCACACACCAATACGGCAGCGTATGAAATGCCAGGTGAGACGGCCACCGGAGGAAGAACTCGCGCCCGTGCACGAACACATGGCGAAGACGATGTAACGGAATCCATGAAGAACTTGAAAGTTGGAGGAGCTAGCGGACCGACCTCACCAGCTGCCATTGATGCGCCGGGCGGGCAACTGAAGAAGGAGAGTGCTGCAACCAGCCTTCTTAGGCGATTCAGCACACGTAAACGCAGGGATGCACCTGAGCGAAACATTGACAAGCATTATCCGCCAGCCGTAACAGTGCGATCGCCAAGTGAGGCACCGACGACACTGAGAAAAAGCTTCAGTATTCGTCGTGTTAGAGAACGTGACCGTGGCGCTCAATCAAGCACCATTCTGCCTTCCAGCACCAGCAACCGTCAGGACCGCGACTTGTTGACTCCACCACAAACAGCAGACGGAGTTAGGGCAGGCAAGATGATCGGAAGATCCACAAGCGTCAATTCGGCAGAATACCGCCGACGCCACGAAGATCGTGAACCTAAGCCGCGGGTGACGTACAAAGAGCCACCAGCAACAAGCGGTTCGGACCACTCACTTGCCAGTGGGGCGAGATCTTCCATGAATGAGAAGTCTCGCGATGAGGATCAGACCGCAGCCCCTCGCTCTGGAACCAATAGGGCGAAATCGCTCGGCCACGCTAGGAGAGAGAGCATCCAAGCTCGCCGTGCCCGACGTGAGGAGGCAAAGGAGAAAGATATCCCAGAGAAGGCCAGTCTGGAGATATCCGATAATAATGGCGATAGCTATGGCAGTGGCAATGCCGAAAACGCGAGACCTGTGTTCCTGAAGGGTCTCTTCAGTGTGTCCACCACCTCGACGAAGCCTGTCAACACCATTAGAACGGATATCATTCGCGTTTTGAAACAACTCAACGTGAATTACAAAGAGGTTCGGGGAGGATTCCAGTGTCGCCACATGCCCAGCATCGACTTGAAGAAGGTGGTTGATGTTCCTTCCAGCTCCCAGAACTTGCAGCCTCCGGGGTCATCGCACCGTCGCCGCATTAGTTTTGGTGGGTTTACTTTGGGTGGCGGTAATGATCGAGAGCGTGATGAATATAGAGATGTTGAGAGAATCGCTCCAGCACCAAAGAATTCTCGTCGTGCTGCTGCAGATGCGAGCTATTCCAACTCGGACGTGTCTGATGATAGTAGCGGTCGATCTAAGCAACGCAGCTCGTCGAGGCGAGCTGCAGGAGAGACTACCACCCATGTCCAGAGCGATCTTGGTGGCAGCATGATTCTTGAGTTTGAGATCTTGATTGTCAAGGTTCCACTGTTCTCTCTGCACGGAATCCAGTTCAAGAGACTGACTGGTGGCACTTGGCAATACAAGAACATGGCGGATCAAATCTTGAAGGAGCTTCGCCTCTAAGGGCCTAAGTGGTGATAGTTGGTAATACAAGAATATGGCGGATCAAATTCTGATGGAAGTTTGCCTCTTAAGGCGATACAAGAACATAGCCGGATGAGTTTTGAAGGAAGTTGGTCTCTAAGGCGATATAAGAACATAAGCGGTCGAGTTTTGAAAGAGCTTCAACACTAAGAGCCCAACTAGCGATACTTCGAAAAACAAGTTCGCAAAACAAGAGTACGCCCAATCAAATTTCGGCAGAGCTCCAACTCTAAGTCGACGAGGCAAACACGAACGAACGAAAATGGTGATGAGTAAACGGCGGTATCGGGGACGACGATTTTATTTTCTTTGCAGACGATCAGGATTCCATTACGGACACAACGGATCAACGAGTTTTCTATGTTTGAGTCATGCACATTTGCTATTTTATTTTTCTTCTACTTTCTGCCTGGTCACTGCATATTACGGTGTGGTTATATGAGCGTTCAGATGCCTACTCTTTTTCTCGTCCAGCCTTCGGCACACATTTGTTGGGGCGTCTTATAGGTTATGATGCCTCGGAGTATACAGAAAGATGGGATATTGCAAGTCGTTAGGAGCGTAATGATCGGCTATTGCCGTAGGGAATATAGTAATGATCTTTATTCGGGGGTTCGAGTGTGATTTGCGTGATATGCGGTCTCAGTTGTGGAGCTCAAGGGCGGGATAATACACTGAACTTAGGAGTAGATAGTGAAGCTAACCTAACCTCTCTTGTAGCAGGGAGTGGTAATTACAGTATTGCTCTTTTACTAGACTCTGATCTGATACTGTGATTGTAGTATTTAGGTGAATTTATTGTTGTTTTTGTTTGCCAGAAACGTGTTTGAGCTATATAAATTCACTGGTGGACTAATATAAATACTACTATTTCGCCAGTCAAAACCGACCAACCTTCTTACAAACTCCACATTCAGATCAACTATTCACCTTATACCCAAGTTCAAAGACGTCTTCCATCTGTTTTACCAATATATATATTATCCTTTAAAGATCTCGCTCAGATCACAAGTCTATCACATATCGAATCTTCAATCTCGCCGCCGTTGTCCCTGTTCTGCCCTGCCACTCACAATCGCACGGTCCAGCACGGTCCAGCACAGTCCAACATCCGGCTCACCGCCTCCCAGGACTCGACAGTAGCGCCTCGGTTACAACCCCCACTGTCTTAACGAGACGCTTATTATACGCTATCCGTTCATTGTCCGGCCAGTCAGGCGCTCAGGCTTGAACTGTACATGCCGCCCGTAGCGTGGTAGCCTCATCTCAACGATCTACCTTCAGCTAAAGAGCCGACCGAACGGATACCAACGACGACAACCACCCCCTCCTCCCAAGACCACCAACCACATCCACAAAGCATCAGCATACCGAAACTCTTACGATGCTCTCTCAAGGAGCCCACGTGTTCTCGCACCAAAACTTTGGCCACAACGAGGCCGCTTGGTTGAACCAGCACAACCACCAGCAAACTCACCACCAGGCCCAAGCAGCAGCTGCCGCCCACGCGACTGCAGCTCACTACAACCGCATCCAGGCTACACATAATGCATCTGTGCCTACACACCTACCAGGTCATGCACAAGAGAGCGCAATGATGGATGGTGTTACTGAGGAGAACCGGAGAGTCCTGGTCTGGATCGCGGAGCTGCTGAACGAGGATACCCGCGAGAGCGCATTGCTCGAATTGAGCAAGAAGCGCGAGCAGGTCCCCGAATTGGCGCTCATTCTCTGGCACTCTTTTGGTAAGCTGATGAATTCAATCTGACGATTGGAGTCTTTGCTGACGTGGCATCGTAGGTGTCATGACCTCTCTGCTGCAGGAGATCATCTCCGTTTATACGTTACTCAACCCATCGCAATTGACCGCCGCGGCATCCAACCGTGTCTGCAACGCGCTTGCTCTGCTCCAGTGCGTGGCGTCGCACAACGAGACCAGGGCTCTCTTCCTCAATGGTATAAATGCTTCCCCGCACTTCCAATACATGGCGGTGACTGACCAAATCTCTAGCTCATATCCCGCTATTCTTATACCCATTCCTGAACACGACTTCCAAATCGCGGCCATTCGAATATCTCCGTCTGACCTCCCTCGGTGTCATTGGCGCCCTGGTCAAGAACGACAGCTCGGATGTCATCAACTTTCTCCTCACAACAGAAATTATCCCACTGTGCCTGCGCATCATGGAGACCGGCTCCGAATTGAGCAAGACTGTCGCCATTTTCATCGTGCAGAAGATCCTTCTTGATGACCATGGACTGAACTACATTTGCGCGACCTACGAGCGCTTCTATGCTGTTGGGACTGTTCTGAGCAACATGGTGAACCAGCTCGTCGAACAGCAGACCGCTCGGCTCCTGAAGCACGTTGTCCGTTGCTTTCTTCGGTATGTCCCCCATTATCCTCTTCCAATACGTGCCCAAATGCTGACTCATATATAGCCTCAGCGACAATGCTCGCGCCCGCGAGGCCCTCCGCCAGTGCCTCCCAGAGCCGCTTCGTGACGCCACTTTCTCCTCTGTCCTCCGCGACGATGCCGCCACGAAGCGCTGCCTCGCCCAGCTCCTGATCAACCTCTCCGACAGCGTTGTCGACAACCACCACCAAGGTCTTTAATTCTTGTACAATATATCGATGCATACAAATGGCGAGAGTAGGATTTCCTTTGGTTTTGCATAGACGTAACGATACCCGGTCTTCATTTCGACATCTGGGAAAGAAAGCTAGAGCAGCACACACAATGACGGATATGAGGATTTTAAAAAAAACCACAAAAGCAAAGTTTCGTTCGCGTCTGGATTTGGTTGCTGCAGCTAGGGAGGGGGAGGGGTGTTTTTGGGGCGATTGGCTTACGGCATTTAATGGGTAAAGAATGAGGATTGGGCTTTTTTTTTTTTTTTTGGAATCTGGGGATCGGGGAAGTGGTGGGCTTGCTGTTGCACATAAGATTAACCACCCGGGCTTTTATTATTTTTCTTTTTACGGCGGCGTTGGACGTGCGATGGGATGCATGGACGGAAATGGCGCAGAGCTGGAATTCTTTTTTGATTGCGATGTCGTGTTGTAAGATAGCTACCATGAGGAGGAAGAGACTGGCTTTTAGGGAGGGATATGATATTTGCTTTTCAGGAATAGAAGCTTGATTTTCGACCAATGATGCACCCCAGCAGAGACAAGTGACGTTGCCTTTTTGGTTGATATTTGATGGTGGTGGATGCTGGCCCATTCGTAACAATCCGTCCCTATTTATATGTTGAGACCATATACGATGCCATTACGCCATTGCTTACTTTACATGAACCAACAAAACTAAAACCCCAATGTTGATTCACGTGTTGAGCCACTGACGACAGTTCCTGCTTGCTTTCAAATAAGCCCCGTCTGCGCCCCTCACTCATGCCCACCAGTCGAGGGGGCGTCGACGATTTGACAGGTTGCTGGGCCATTAGTCATCGAAGCGAAGCCTGTCGACATTGGCTGAGGTGAGAAAGTGATCAGTAATCGACAAGGTTCAGACCCCCAGGCTTCCCTCATTACAAATCCTCAACGACAGAGCTACAGCAGCTTCCACAGACCCGAAAGTTCTTAAATAAACTACACATGTCCCGCTACAGTGGATCCAAACGATCCGCCTTCATTATGACTTTATCTCACTGATTGTGGACCGTCTGCGCACGCTGCACTTTCTCCTCCGCCTCATCCTCCAAGGTACCGAGTCTCCCGACACCTTTGCAGCACTAGCGCCCAAGGCTGCGATTAGAATCCAGGAATGCCGAGGCAGAACTACGAGATTAGCAACGTCGGCGAGGGACCCAGTATTCTAGACCAGATGGAGATCCTGAACGCCGAGACGTATAATGATGAGGCTGCCGTGTCGATTGCGCGCAGTTTGACGGAGCTGGCGAGGCAGCGACCGGGGCCGGCCCCGCATATGTTTGGGATGACGGGGGGGTTTGAGGCGGTTACGGAGAGGAGGGTGGATGTGCCGAGGGGGCCGGCGCAGAGGGTTGAGGTGAAGGAGACGAAGACTAGGAAGGTGAGGAAGGCGAGGGGTGCGAATCCGGGAGAGGAGGAGGACAAGGGTGGAAGGAGGAGAAAGAAGCAGAAGCTGAGCGAGGATGAAGATGGTGATGAGGATGATGCTTCTAAGAAGTCGAGGGGGCGCCCGAGGCTTGACACTAAGGACGAGACGGCTGCAGATGTAGGTGTTTATATTTCTCCAAGTCATTATTTTGCATTCCGTATATTCCGAAGATGGTAATGGCTCATGGCCTAGAGGGGTACCACATGTTTTACTTGGATTTTGAGAATAATATTTGTCTCGTGCTCCCACAAAATAATGTACTGACATGAGATATAGCGCCGTCGAACACAGATTCGCCTAGCACAACGAGCCTATCGCCACAGGAAAGAAACAACCATCTCGTCGCTAGAATCACAGGTCGAGAAGCTACAGAGTACGGCCGAAGCAATGAATAGCGCCTTCCTCGGGCTCTATGATTTTGCATCGTCGCAGGGTCTTCTACAGCGAGAACCAGAGTTTGCACGGCAATTACAGGCGACAACTCAGCGAGTCCTGGAACTGAGCAAGGCAGCCGCTGCAGATCAGCCCAGCCACGATGACGACTCTAGCCACGCTGATGAAAAGAACCTTGACAACCAAGTCGCTGTTGTCAAATCTGAATCCAAGAGGTCAAAAGCACAGACGCTGAGCCCTCCAGAAAAGGCCATGCCCATTCTTGGTAGACCAGCTTGGGGCAATGACTCTCCAAGCCACGCAGAGGAATATTTCTTCCAGCAAACTTTCAACCAAATGCCACTTCCAAACCAACTGCCAGTGGAAGGCCAGATTAATAACCTGCCAAGCCTCGACGATGACAACTTTGTCCTGACTGAAACCGATATAAATCAATTGCGAGGCGAAGCCGCTGGCATGAACCCATACCAGTTCAACCTCGGAATTGGCAACGATCAAGTCCTCACTTCACCAACCTCTTTCGCAAGCTTTGAGACCAGTTTCGCACGGCGTCTTCACCGCACCTCGAACGAACGCGGCTTTCGGCTCCTCACGAATCCTCACTCGAACCCCCTAATTCTCAAGAGAGTGTTTGGGTTCTCACTCCTTTTCCGGACCAAAGAACAGCTACTGGCGTCGCTGGTCGCAAAAATGGAACGCGGGTCATCTAAAGAACTGCTGAATCATTGGTCAGCACCCTTCGTGCACGTTGGCGGATCAGGGACGTATTATCCGCTGCCCGAAGAGGATATCTCGAGTAACCTGATGCCCAAAGTGAGGACGGGCCGATCAATGGGGCCTCTTACGACAAATGCTATGTCGGCGCGGGAGAAACATATGATCGATAACTTCACCTGTAGCGCGGAAGGATTTGAAGGGAAATACTTCGACGCGAACGATGTGGAGAGTTACCTGAGAGGCAAGGGTATTGACATTGCGCCACATACAGAATATGTTACAGTCAATTTGGACATGGTATCACTGGAGGGCATGCCAGCTGCGCCGGTACCTTCCAACTTCAGCACAGACACCAGTAATTCTATTTCACCTAGAACGCCGCTGAGCCCTAGTGCTATGGGGACCTCGAATGGAGACCAAATTCCGCAAACACAGACATTTGAGGAGGTAATGGAGGAAATCCAGATGACGATCGATTTCACATCTGGATCAATGTATCAGAATGCCGCCTCGAATTGGGCGAATTCAACCCCTCCGAACCTTGTAAATAACAACGACGGCAACAACAATAGTAAGCAATCGCCAGCTCTGAACGCATTTGACCTCAGGGGCCCGATCTTCGACGCAGGACCCGATAAACTGGGCTCGAATGACTACGATAACGCGTCGTCGTCGACTTTAAATTCCCCGCGGCTTGTGACGCTCAGTGTTGCGACCTTGGTACGACGTGAGTATACCCTTTTTAAATGGGGGAACTGAGCAATTGCTAATGGTTACAGATATATCAAAAGAGGGAGTTTGCCTTGGTAGAGCACCGGGATTCAGGCCCCGGGATGTCGATCGGGCTCTACGTAGGACTATTGGGGAAGCTTTCGAGTATTAGAAACAACCCTTATTATGAGGAAACCTTCACGAGTGTACGAATTTGGGCAGGGGTTGGCATGTGATTTTTGGGAGGAAACTAAGTGTTTTGGCGTTTGGGGATGGTTCAAGGGAAGGGGGGTCGGTGACAGGACTGACAAGGGGCATGGGCTCAAATGTAACAACAATATGGTGTTGTTGCACTGTAGATTACCACCAACTCTTTAAATAGCTTTAATCAATGAATAAACTGCGGAGCTTAAGCTGTTGAAAACAGGTTATTGTACATATATTTACAATTAAAGTGGTATCAGGCATCTACCCATGCCAATCGCTCGGCTACGAACGACTACGAACAGCCGCTACTCAAAACTTTGGCAATTCTCCCTGGTCAGCCTCATCCCTCTCCCGCTTCCTCTGCCTATACCTCTTCCGTTTCTCCCTAAGCCACTCCCTCTTCTCTATATCAGCCAGCCTCTGCTCCTCATCCACAATAGCCAGCATCTTCTTCGCAAGCACAGCATTCGCCTCACTAGCCTTATCGAGCGCATTTTCAACACCCAATTTCTCCCGATACGTCGCCGCGCTCCAGTGCTTCTCCTCTGCTATCCCTAACTCCTCATCCCACATCTGCTCCCAGTTCCCCATATCCAGCAACCCCCCCAGCCTATCCAAATGATCATTCCGCTTCTGCCGCAGCTTAATCTTATCATTCAGCACCCGCGACAGGAACTCGCTCTGCGGCTTCTTGAACCGCATGAAGGGTATCAAGTTCGCGCTCACGAGCTTGGGGACTTGTCGGCGACCCGTCAGCTGAGACTTGGGAAGAGGCCGCTGCTCGAGCACGGGGATGGCGCCAGGATAGGGCTCTGGTTTGCGCTTCGGAGGAGGGGGCGGGAGGGGCGGGTTCTCGGCGTTCTCGAGGCGCGCGGCGTCGCCTTGGGCTTGCACGCCGCGGAGCAGGTTGAGGATCTTGGAGTGGGCGGCGCCGGAGCCGGTGGTGGCGGTGTGGAGGAGTTCTTCGGCTTCATAGCCGACTCGTAGTGCTGCGACTACGAGGGGGCCGCTGGTGACGTGGGCATTGCGACGGAATTGGCGGCGGATTATGTGTTTTATGGGGGGGACGGGGCCTCTGTTGAAGCTCGCTGGTACTTTAATCTGACGGCATGTCGAGAGAAGGGCTCGGTAGAGAGCGATGCCTAGTTTGAGTGTTAGTATTTATGCAGAGCAGTATATAAGTGTCTTATACATACAGGCAATGCGGTGTGGCCCACGCCTATGTGGAACGAATTGCTTCGGCATTCATCTGGTGTTGAATGTTGATGCGGCTACCTACGTGCAGCAAGCTACAAGGCTGAACATATAAATTCGCGGCTGTTCATACTGGGCCCACAAGCCGCCACGCATCACGTGTACAACTTCAATATCAAGTAGTTTACAATGTCATGGCTTATTGATGTTAGCTCTGTTTAGTTGCTATCTCATGAGATCGTTTACGCTTGCCAACCAGTTTCGCCACGCTGATGCACCTGCAAAAAGAAGAAATGGCAACAATCCAACACCCTGAGAACCCAGCTACAGCCAGTGCTTCGGCATAGTAGCCTGAAATCATATTTATAAAGCATATGTTGAACCCTCGGCCGGCTGAGGAATCTTCTTGTGTGCTGGGTGTGCCATATACCTGTGCTGCGTCAGTAAACTATCCATGGTATAGGTGACGTGTGTGACCCCACCTTCTGAGATCGATCAGAACGGTCTCCATGGTATATTCCCTCTTCCACTGAGCCAGACATGGCAGCTTGGAGGGATCGACCTATAAAGCAATAAGTCAGTAAGGCCAGGGATATATGTACAATATGAGGCTGACCTGTCCATTCCTTGGGTTGACGCAAGGGAGGTTGATTTCGCTGATAAATTGGATCGAGGGTGGCTTGTCGGGGTAGTCATCGCCGCAGTGCATCTTCAACGAATAGATTCTGTTCTCGTGCACACTCTGGAGGGTACAGTATTAGTATTGGACGTATTCAGAGATCTAGGAAAGAAGGGTTTGGCCATACGTGAGGGGGCCCCAGGATTGTCCCGTTCCAGTTCGACATGAGAAGGTCATCACCCTCCGCAAGACCGTATGAGCATGCCTCTGAAGATAACTGTCAGTCAAGCTATCACGCATATTAATTTGACTTTCCATACCTGCTCCAAGACCCTTCTCGCCCTTCTCCAGCTCTTCCAGCAACCTGAAGTTCCTTGGGACCTTGGCACCCATGGTAGCTGATGTATTTGTTATTGAGAGTTTGAGAGACAGCCGCGCAAAATGCCTGAAAGTAAAAATTCACTTTAGTGTCTTTGCCACAATACTCCAAGATATTAGGGGTTCTGCTTACCACTTCTAGTTGATCTGGAAGTCGTAGATTATGTAGAGTCAGACAAGGCCGTTGAAACCGAGGCGGGTACAAGAGTAGTGGGGGTTTGACACAAGGCTGGTGGTACTTGTGGTATCGCGCCCAACCCTCATATATAAGGCGCGAAAATGAGGCATGAACATCCCAGGGCGTGGTGCCTTGTGGAGGAAGAGGCCAGGTTTGGGTAAATTCACAACTTATAAAACATGGAAAGGTAGAGGCGCCATTACCATCTAAGGCATGGGAAGAATTAGGCAAGATGTCGTTGCAGATTCTTAGTTCGGAGCTTTCCAATCTCATCCAGGAGAGCAAGAGAAAGCACGCCGAGCTCCGTACAGTATGTCACCCTTAGCTTCCGCGAGTCTACAACGTTGAAGACAACTTGATATTGTTGAGAGTATAGCTGACAACGCAAAGGCCGCGGAACATTCTTTAGAAGAACTTAAATCGCTACGGTTTACGTCGGAAGCACAGGTAGCTGCCGGTATATTACCTCCCTCTCTTTACTGAACCAAACAGCTGACATAGATGAATTAGATCTAAGCCAGAGGGGCAACTTTGTCACCCCATTTCTCATTGCTTGCGGAACGAAGAATGCAAAATTCACGGGTATTGCAGTTGTTTGCTTGCAAAGACTTGTTGTGTCACGTGGGCTCCCAAGGTTCCGATTGAAGGAGGTCTTGAAGGCATTCCTTGAAGCAACTTCGTCAGGGCTAGATGTCCAGCTGAAGCTATTGCAAGCTCTTCCCTCCTTACTTCAAAACTACGGGAAAGATATTCAGGGCGAGTTGTTGGCGAGTGTCCTGAACATTTGCACCATTCTCCAAGCGAGCAAGAATGGGATTGTGAACAACACCGCAGCTGCAACCCTCCAGCAGCTGGTAGTTACAGTCTTTGACAAGGTCGTAACTGAAGATGGAGTTCTTCTCGAAGTTCCTACCATTGCCGAGGCGCCGGTAGAAAAGGGAACAGTTCAAGTCAGGGCGTCTGCCTTTGATGCCTACAGGGTATTTAACGACCTCTGTCTCCTGACAGAATCCCAAAAGCCACAGTTTCTGAAAGTCGCCGGCCTCCCGCAAACCTTTGTGTTAGAATTGATCGAATCGATTTTAACCAACCATGCCGATGTCTTCTTGGAACACCCAGAACAGGCAAATGTCCTTCGCACGAGACTTATGCCTTTCATTATCAGCTCCATGTCTGAGAAGTTAACGTTTCCCACGACAGTTCGGGTTACACGGATTTTGTACACATTGCTTCGACGACACCTTCGGATCCTTGTTCCAGAGAGCGAAATGGCAGTGGGGTTGCTAACCCATATGCTGGATCATGACTCCACGCTTTGGCGGCGGTCGCTGTGCATGGAAGTTTTCAGAGGTATATTTGCAGACGCAACTCTTACCAGAGATATATTTTCACTGTACGACGCACAGCCAGGGAAGAAGAAGATTTTGGGCGACCTGATGGCAGCCTTTGTTCGACTAAGCTCGGAGAAGCCCGCCCTAATTGGCCTAGGAAGCCAGTCCACTGTGCCTTCCGCTAATCTGTCGAACAACGATTCAAATGATCAAGCTATGCTGGAAGCAGCTGGTATACCAGGAATAATTGGCGGTTCCACAGGGCCGTACGAACATTCTGCTGGCATTAGCGTGCAGTGGAGCTCTATGCGAGTGCCATGCATTGATCAGCTGGACAAGTCAGATCCGCCGGGAATTCCTGATTCATATATTTATGGGCTCGCCTTGACTTGCATCAATAGCTTCGCTGAAGGACTCGCAAAGTTTATTTTACCTCTTACTATTCCGAGCGATTCCAAGTCAAGAAAGAGAGGCCCGCGAGGTAGTGATGCGGCAAAGGATGTCATCGAAGCAGCAGAGAATACCACTGATGCTACGAATAATAAGGCAGACCGAGGGCCGTCGCACAAAAAGGGACCTTTTCCTCTCAACCCTCTCCTACTTGAAGATCATGCGTCATATAGCGAGGTCAAACTTTGCGCTGACATCGTAGAGAGTTGCTGGCCTGCTATTTTGGCCACATGTTCTACCTTTATGTACGCATGTTTGGATGCAGACTATTTCCATGGTCTGGTGCGCTCATTCCAAAAATTCACACATGTGGCAGGTCTTCTACGGCTTTCTACGCCCAGAGATGCGTTCCTCACAACTTTGGGGAAAGCTGCTGTCCCTCCAAATATTTTCACCGGCTTAACTGGCCCTCCATCTACTCCGTCTACGCCTGGCCCCGAAAGCCACGGCATCTTTAGCAATGCAAGAGGTCTACTCAGTGTTGATAGTCTAGCCAGCAATGCCTCGAGTATGGCAGACAGGACAAGGCATGGATCTACTGATTTTACACCCGCCTCACTCAATACGCGGAATCTACTCTGTCTTCGAGCTCTGCTCAACCTCGGAATTGCCCTTGGTACGACGCTAGACGATGCCGCGTGGCTAATCATCCTGGAAACCCTTCAACAAGCAGATTTCGTCTTATTTTTCTCAAGTAAGGGTACTGGCCGGCCGCCCTCTTCACCGGGGTTTAAACAAGAGTCACAACAGAGTGCAGATAGCTCAGCCCTGCTTGCCAATTTTGGCACAGAGATTAAGGCGGTTGAAACTGCAGCCTCTAGGCTATTTGAAAGCACCGCTAGCTTTCCGAATGATTCGTTTGTGCATGTTGTCGCCGCCCTGTGCATTCTCTTTGGTCGAGAAGACGAAGCAGATGTAAAGAGAAACTCCATTGATAAGGCCTCCCTCTCCCCCACAGCGAATCGCAAGGCATCATACACGCACCGGCGAGTTACGAGCACTTCAGCATCCGTATCCTCCCAAAGTCACGGCGATTTCTTCGCACTGGCTAAGTTGGGGAATATTGCAAGCATCAATATAGATCGCTTGATTTCGTTTGACCCCGAAGAATCAGGCTGGACCATCCTGACGTCCGAGCTTATATCTGCCCTAACAACTCCAGCTGTTGCATCTCCTATAAGGCAGCGAGCTGCGGAAGTCCTCGTGCGCATAGTCCTTGAGGCTGCTAATGTCCCTACGTCCGTGGCTGAAGATGTCCGAGGTCCGGTCCAGTGGCGCTTGCTTGACACATTCCGCCGCGCGTTAAAGCCTTTACAAGTAGAAGACCGCAAGGTATCAACCTCAGTCGTTCCTACAGATATCGAGGCCCATAGGATTATACTCGAGGGACTTAAAAGCATTCTGGAGCACTGTGGTGAAAACCTCATCACTGGTTGGGACATTACGTTTGAGATCATAGACTCCGTCTTCTTGCACGACAAAAACCTCGATTCGCCACGTCCAAATAATACGAGCTTCCTGGGAACACGCTCCCCAAGGCTTGTTCGATCAGCTTTCAACTCCCTTGAATTAATCTGTTCTGACTTTCTTACATCACTGCCAAGTTCTTGCTTTTTAATACTCGTTGATACCCTTTACCAATTTTGTACCCAAGATGACGACTTGAACATCTGCTTAACGGTAAGTTTTCTATATCGCCCCTAGCGTTATATGATCTTTATTCTGACGAAAAATAGACTGTAACATTCTTTTGGGTTGTTTCGGATTTTATTTCAAGCAGAGGCGGTTCATTCTCGTTAGATAAAGGTGTGATCGATTCGATCGATGAAGAAAAACTCCACAAGAAAGCGAAGAGTGATGACCAGGCTGTCTCGAACGCCGCGCTTTGGCTACTTTTGTTGCATCGGCTGACGACTGTTACAACCGACGAGAGACTGGAGCTCAGAAACAGTATGTACTTTCCTAGTATTCGGTTGGTATAGAAGCTTACAACCTGCAGGTGCAATCCATACCCTACTGAGGATATTTGATGCCTATGGAGATCACCTCAGCCCGCAAGCTTGGTCCATGTGTTTTGACTCTGTCATATTCAAGATGCTTCTTTCAATTGCATCTCAACTGAGTGGTACAAATACCGACAAGCGGACTTCCGAAACGGAGAAAAAGGCATGGATCGAGACAACAATCGTCGTCTTAAATGGCGTCGCCAATTTACTAGCAACCTATGTCCATGTTCTGGCTACCCATGATGGCTTCCCAGACTGCTGGCAGTCATTACTGAGCCACTTTGATACTCTACTAAAGCTTGGTCATCTTGACATCAACAGTGCCGTATTCAGGGCTTTACGCCAAATACTAGCCCAGACAAACACGGACTCGAAAGACTCAGCAAAACTGTCACGCGAGTCCACCGATTTAGTTTGGGCCCAATGGTCTCGTGGGCTGCCCCTTGTCTCAGGCTCAGAAGAGAATAATCAAGATTGTCTCATAGCCTATATCGCATGTCTCCAAGAACTATACCGTCTAATGCGGCAATATGTTGATACCGAACGAACTCAACGCATATTGGACCTTCTTCGAGATGCAACGGAGCAAGCTCATATTGGAAACTATTCGGCGGATATTGAGTATCTCACTCCGCTCCAAACGAACGTTCTCGAATCCCTCAAGTTGTTACGTACGGACATCAAGGGAATTCCTGGCGCCATTATCAAGCAAGCGGCTGACTTTGTTTCCCTTGCATTCCAAACCCGGGATCAGAGCGCCCCGGGGAAGAAACCAACTTACATCGCCTTGTCTAAAGAGTCTATGCGCTTATTGGAATCGTTAATTACTTCCCATGCCGCCGACCCCGAAATATATGCCAATGGAGCCGTTACAAGATCACTAACGGCTCTTTCAATGCCAATAACATTGAAATACGCTTTTAAAACCAAAACCAAAAGCATACAACCTTGGCGACGCGCCACAAGCACGGCAATTGCCATACTGGAAGCTACCCTCCCAAAGATAACATATGCTAAGGTTTCCGATGAGAATCTACGTCTAATATGGGCCTCTATTATCGAAATCGCAAACGGGATCATGGCGGCCGATTGCAGCACAGTCACAGATCCCGCGACGATTAACAGTGACCAAGATTTTGATATCCAGTCTTTCATCTCTCTACGAAACCTCATTATACCCTCGTTGGGTAACCACCTCATACCAGACAAGACGCGCCGATCCTTCGCCGAATCTCTCTTCCATACCTCCTTCATCCACGCCGCTTCTCCGTCCGAACTCCCTCAAGTTAACCAAGAATTACTCGCCACTCTCTACGCTCCTCGTAGAGGTCGCACAATCGATCCTCCGCCGTCTCCAAGGACAAAAATGTCTTACGTCTGCCTCGACCAGCTCGTATCACTTCTGAGCTTCACCGATTCGTCTCCAGCACGAATCAAGCTTGCCCAAGCCGTGGCACCTTTCTTCATATTGCGCGCAGGTGTGACTATCAGAGCATATGTGGCAGATCAACCTCTCAGGGGCTGCATGCCACAACCACTGAGCCAGCGCAAGGAGCTGCTTTGGATATTGAAGGCCCTGGTAGACTTGCGGTGCGAGCCAAACGCAATACCTGATGCGCCTGGCGTAGAAAGTGACAGCAAGAAGCACTTGCATAGACTGTACCCGTTGTTAGCACAGGCTGTGAGAGCGGCCGGTAGGGACCAGGAGGCTTTAGAGTGGATAGGAAAAGCGTTAGATCAAGTTGGGGTGGAGTTTGGATTGTAAACACAGGTAGCACTTGATATAGATAGAGAATATAATGTATGAGTTACAGTATTGAACCAAATTGCATTAAATGGATGATCTTGAATTGTTGCGCCTGGCCTATGCTGACCGTACACCTACATAAGACTACAGTAGACTTGAAATGAGATGAGTGACGCTCCGTCGGACTCGGTTTAACTATATTTACAACCCATGGACTAAAGCCCAGCCCCTTTACTTTTGGTTTGTTGTTTTCTCGAAGCCTGCCAACATGCTCCTCTTCATCTCCTCATTAGGGGACTCGCCCAGTCCTGAGAGCTCCTCACTGGCAGCCTGCTTCCTCGACGCCTCCAATTGGCGGGCAGCCATTGTCTTAGCCTGCGCGTCACCAACTTGGCCATAGACGGCCATCGCACTCGCGATCATGCTTCCAATATCCCCAACGTTTCCGGGGACTACAACAGCCGTGCCTTCCTTCGCCAGTTTTCCGAACGCATCGACGTACTTCTCCGCAACACTAAGGCTGACAGCACCCTGTGCGGCCTCCTTGCCAGTGGCGATACTGTTCGCCACCGCGTCAATACCCGCCGCTGTCGCCGTCGCCTTCAACAGGATCGCCTCTGCCTCTCCACTCGCCATATTAATCTGCTCTGACCTTAAGGCCTCGGATGCGAGGATAACACTCTGCTTCCGTCCCTCGGCAATATTGATAGCCGACTGCCTCTGACCCTCGGAGTCCAGAATCTCGGCGCGCTTGGAGCGCTCTGCTGTGACTTGTCTGTGCATGGCCTTGACGACCTCTTCGGGGGCGTGGATGTCGCGGATCTCGTAACGGAGGCAGGTGACGCCCCAGTCTTGTGCGGCCTCGTTGATGGCGGCTGTGATGTTGGAGTTGAGCGTCGTGCGCTCTTTTAGGACGTGGTCGAGGGTCAATTGACCGATTTCGGAGCGCATGGTGGTTTGCGCCAGTTGGGAGATGGCGTATTCGGCATCTTCAACACCGTAGCTATATAACAAATGAGAATCTCAGTCTGTAGAAGGATGAGAGTTCCGGCTTACCTGGCCTTGTATGCATCGAACACCCGAGTATATAAAACACCATCCAGGTCAAGTGTGACGTTATCGGCTGTGATCGCGCTTTGGCTGGGTATCTCGATCGCAGATTCCTTCAAGCTCTTGACGTATGCTATCCGGTCAAGGAATGGTACCAGTATCGCAAGACCGGGCTGTAGTATCCTGTTGAACTTTCCCATGCGCTCGACAATCCATGCTGTTTGTTGGGGCACGAATCTAATGATGGTATTTGCTGGGAGCGAGGGGCGCTGGAAGTATGATGATGGAATTGAAGAGCCGCCTAGGCCCATAAGACCAGAATTGTTATTCGGCCTCCTCGGCGAGACATGAAGAGTCCTGCGCTGGGGAAGAATAGAGCCGGTCGTTCTGTGTGCGGATATCCCAACGGCTAGAGGTCGGATAGCTCTTGCTGAGATGGCTGCTGGGGAAGCAATGGCCTTCGCAGATGACGACAAGGCCACGCGGGCAGCGGCTTCTAAAGCCATGTTTAGAGCTCAGGCGTAAGTTGAACAAGAGGAGGATGGGTGTTGTTGTCCTTAACAATTATTTAACATGCGCCTTCGTCCTTACTTACAAAGACATCATCCCGGACACATACAGCACTATTGGCGAATCACAGGGAGCTTGCGCGCGGCTGCAGCCTGACAACCGCCAAGTCCCTCTCGCCCCATCATCAGCCTCGTCAACTAAATCCAGGCCAGAGGCAACTACAACATCACTACAGTTTCCTACTCAAGAAGCAGTCATGTCCGAATATTGGAAAAGCACCGTAAGTTCTGAGTTGCCCTGCCTCGATAGATCTCAGCTAATATTCAACCAGCCCAAATACTGGTGCAAGCACTGTAAAATCTACGTCCGTGACACAAAGCTCGAAAAGGCAAACCACGATGCAACACCCAAACATCAAGGCAATTTAAAGCGCTTCCTGCGAGATCTACATCGAACCCACGAAAATGAAGAGAGGGACAAGGATAAGGCCAAGAATGAAATTGCCAGGCTAAGCGGCCTTGGGTCTGGGAGCTCTGGTGGTGAAAGCTCCAGCTCAGCACTTGGGCGCGGGCCAACCCCAAGAGTACCAAAAGCGCAAGCGACGTCGTCACAGCTGAAGCAGCAAGCTTCGCAACTTGCGGAGCTGGGGATCAGTATACCCGATGAGTTCAGAGGCGAGATGGCAATGCTAGGGGAGTGGCAGGTTACTTCACAGCGGCTCATTGCACCAGAGGGAGATGGCGAGAAAAAGCCTGAGGCTATAGGATTTGGAGTCAGGAAACGAGTTGCTGAAGATGAAGATGAGGAGACAGTGCAGGCGAAAAAGAGCAAATGGGGCTCCGCGTATCGAAAACATCCTGGAGCGGACACAGAGAATGATGACCTTGACGAGTTGTTAAGCAGGGTTACGGCCGCGAAAGTGGAACCGGGCGTTTTGGAGACGAAACAAGAGCCTCCCAGTGACACAGCGGCGACCCCAAAGGTTGAGGCAGTTGATAGCTCCGTGGTCAAGTCTGAGCCGGATGAGACAACAGGCATCAAAGCGGAGCCAGCATCCGATGTGCCAACGTCTCTTGCAGAAACTGCGGCTGCTACTGGCGCTGATGTCAAGCAGGAAGAAGATGAAGCTGTTGGAGGCGTGGTTTTTAAGAAGAGGAAACCAAAGCCTATGAGGAATAAGGGCAAATGAGAGTTTATCGTCGGACAACACACACCACACAGAGACTCTGGTTTGTGGGTACCCATGGGTGGAATGGACGCCAGAAGTCGAATACCGACGAGCCACGGTAAAGGATATATTCCAACCCACAGTATCTCAACTACGCCGATATTTATTGGCTTTCAGCATTGCCGTCGAGGTACCAATCACGGAACTCATCGGCCAAATAGCGATGGACCTATGTCCCGCAAAGGCTTAGAATGTGAAAACGATACCATATTTTACTGAGGCTCCCTACAGAAATTAAAGCGCCCGGTCAACGGCTTAGTGCGAGCAGTTATCCGCGATGGGTGTAAGGATAGGAAGTTACCTACCCTTGTATAGAGGCATGGCAGCTTAAGCTATCAAATATGGCACATGGATCGGCAGTGTTTCCTCTAGAACGATGCAAGAGCCACGCCTGGAATAGTTTCAAAGGCACTGCATGATAGCTGCATTTCTACTGAATATAAGAATTAGCTCAATCAACATATTTAGGTACCCCATATTTGTTTTTAATTATGTATCTATTAGCTATTTTCCAGTGCTGGGTACAGCGTACAGTGTCGTCATATATCGTAAAAGTGGCGGCGGCTGGAGTTCCTTGTTGGTGGACTGCTTTCACTCAAGCACATTCCTTGCCATGAATGGTCCGCTTTACTTTGCTTACAAGTACGGCTGATTCGACAAAAATCAGCTGGACGGGGATCGCCATTTCCAAGTTTAATCACTACAGGTTCGTCTGTGCCATCTGTAACACCATGGCTTAGTTTTGGTGCAACAGGGCAGCCAAGCCTTGCTGCCCACCAGGTTACAGCACAATACTACCCCACACCACACCCCCACCAACAACCGCCCCCAAATCCCTCGTGCCAACAGAACAAACGACTCCTTCCGCGCGCCCGTCCTTCCTTTGTTAGGAAGAAAGAGTCCTTCCTCCGACCTCAGCTGCAGCCTCGAGTCAATAATCCTCAACCACCGTCTTGACAAGCGCTGCTGCCTAGCCATGGCCGGACGGCGGGACGACTACGACGACCGGGACTACCAGCGCGGCCCGCCACGCGGCGCACCAGTCCAACTCGCAGAGCGGCCGGCGCCATTGCGATCACGAGACCTAGAGGACCTATGGCGCCGACCCGCGGCGGAGGAGCGCGATCGCCAGGTAGCTTTCCTACAGGATGACTATGGGCGCGTGGATGACCAGCCGCTGGTCTTGAGGGAGAGGAAGGTCGAGACGTTTAGGCGACATACGCCGCCGCGGGCGAGGTCGCCGTCTATGGAGCGTGTGAGGACGAGGATTGTGGATGAGCCGGAGGTGTATAGACGGGAGAGATTTGTGGAGAGGGAGAGGGAGAGGTCGCCGAGTCCGTTGTATGACAGGGAGAGGTTGCCGAGTCCGATACGTGAGAGGGAGAGAACTAGTGTGAGAGTTGTTGAGAGAGAGAGGGAAAGACGAAGGTCCCCGTCTAGCTCTCCGGAGCCGCGCGCTAGGATGCCTCGCGAGCCTCCTATTATTCGGGCACCCCCGATACACCAGGAGATTATCACGCATCACAGACATATAGATCATGGTATGTGGGTTTGAAACTGCCTGGCGAATATTCTCTAATACTATTCAGGTTACCAACCAGTTGCGGTCCCAACACCGCCTCCGCGCCTTCGGCCTCAACGCTCCAGGGGAGATATCAGAGAGACTGAGATAGACATAGTCACTGGCCCGGGCGACACTGATGTTGAGATCCACCGATCGTAAGTCCCCCAATACTCGCCCTCTAAACCCAAGCTAACTCTCTTTAGCCAACAACGAAGGTATCGTGACGGCCGCCCCCAGTTCGCCGACGACGACGGGATCTATGAGCGAGACCGCGAACGAGACCGGCTTAGAGCCCGCACCGATATTCGACGCTCTGTGTCCTCGGCGAGAGATGCGAGGGATCCGAGAGATCGCCGCATACGTCCCAATGATCGTGAAGCAGATTATTATGCGAGGAAGACGGACGAACGTGCTTATATCGGCGAGGCGTACAATGGTGCCACTAAGAAATGGGAGATCATCGACGTACCACCCGGAACAGAGAGGGTGAGAATGGATGGCGTCGGCGGGGGAAGCCAGGAGGTTACATGGCAGAAGTATAATGGGGTGAGGAGGAGTAAGTTTATCCCGGAGAGGGATAGTATGGGGAGTTATGATCGGGAGAGGGAGCGGGAGAGAGACATACGGATGGAGATGGGGCGGGGGGGGATGAGACGAGAGAGGGAGATGGACGGAGAAAGAGATACGCTGGAGATTAGCATTGATAGAAAGAGAGTGTCCCGACCAGTAGCAGAGCCGCGAAATAGGTTTGGGGATCTGTGGACGGAGATTACGAAGGACTTGGTGATCAGAGAGGCGATTGAGGAGATGGGATACGATTACGAGGAGACGGAGTACTTCTTCTATGTCTTCCGGTATCTGAAATATGTATGTCCCGCCCCATGACGCCTCGATGTCGGTCTGAATGGTTATGCTAATCGACGTAGGAGGATGTTGTGGAGCTCGTGGACCTCTCGGATGATATCGTCCAAGACAGGAGGAACAGGATCCGTGAGATTGCGTGGGAGCGCGAGCAACCCAGACCGAGAGAGAGGGAGAGGGAGATGCTGACGATTGAAGCTTCGAGGTCGCGTGCCGAGCCTATGTATGATGACGATAGGACTGGCGGGGAGATCGTCTTTGATACGCCGAGAAGATCGACGAGGGTATATTACTAAGCTTCTTGTTTAGGGCTCTATGAGAGATGGGGGGGGGTTGGTCTGCGTGGATATGATTTATGACTAGGCATATTTTTGGGCCAGAGAATGATGGTTTATGCGGCATTGCAACGGGCTTACTGGCGGCATGTGAGGTTATGATTTATTTTTACCATACTTTTGAGATATGGAGATTGAAGGATTATGCGAATAATATAGAGAAAACTAGAAGTATAACTATAAACGACATACTAAGACATTTTATTCTCGGGGAACGATCTTGTCCGTTGAAACTACATTTCTGCCACCATCAGCGATTCCCTTTCCCCTTATCCCAGTAGACAGCGATAGATATGCAACTGCTACCGCACCATAGAGTTAATCCATTGATATGCCTGTATCGCCTTCTTTTCGTTGTTAAAGACGAGGAATGGTGACGGAGAAGGATATGCAATATTGAAGAGCACCTCGTCCAACTCGTCCTCCTCCTCCTGACCCAGCTTTTCTACGAGGCCTGGGAATACGATTCGAGTATGAAAGCGTGTCTGCATCTCGATATTTTCTTTGTCGGACCACAAGGGGTGTCTAATCATAGCATTTTTCGGTAGGAAGAGGTTTGCGAATGTCTTGGGGTAACTCGGATTCTGTAGCTTGTCTCGTAACAATCGAGCTTTCTGTTCTATCTCGTTGATACCTATACTATCGTCTTAGATTGCGAACCTGAATATGGATATACAACTTACCGCAATCACATATACTTCCTGCAGAACTGAAAATAATCTGTTTACTTCTAGAAATGTTACGCCACGAGGCTTCGGAGATGATCGTGGGGTAGAATTCAAAGTCTGGGTGACTCGCGAGGGATATTTGATTAAGCACAACAGCGAACATAAGACGAGCTATGGCCTCGCCGCGGATCACATGGCTCACTATGGTGATATATGTTAGTTTATCTGCAACCTGCAAATATCTCACACAGGAATGTATCACCTTTTGCGATCACGTCGTCCGGCCCCTCACAAATTACACTCCCCTCTATAGAACGATCTCGTAGTGTGATATTCCGTATATGCTTGAGATAATACCAGACTCGCCGCGCAGGGAGCTGGCTAAATATGTGTCGGAGATTCTCGCGGATATTATTCCGGATATGTTCATTTAGTCCCGTAGACCAAACGTCGAATTTAATTCTCATATTCATCATGTTTCGGGCCTGCTCCATGTCCTTCATCAATGTCGCATAGGACCCACCTGCAGTAGTTAGTGAAGGCATTCAAATTTATCATCGAGACTGTTTACCAAGTCGCATATAGAGTTGCATATGCTCACCCCTTTCCTCTGGTGGGGTAAGTTCCATCATCCGAGCGAATGCTTCGTCACTCTCGTCAGTAGTAGGCGTCTTATTTCTTGTGCGATAGATGGCTGTGCGATATACGGCCACAACATTAGATCCCATCTGCTTAGCGACATGCTCTAGTTTTCGGAGAAAAATCAACCTGCTGTCGTCTGGCTTACCGCCCACAGTCTTAAACCCAGATTCCACAGGAGCGCTCAGATAGGATTCGAATATTTTCCGAGCTCCGGTGCGAGACCCGAAGACTATCGTAGATATACTGTGGGACTCCTCGAGCATAATACCATTGATCTTGTTAACATGGCAATTGGCAATTGGAAAGAATTGAAAACAGAATCGGTGATCAGCTCGATACGTCCCATCCTCGCCATTGAGCAACACTAGACTGTCACCCATTAACTTCGTGTACGAATTGCGAGCCTTTGATATCGGTAGATCCGCTAATATCGAGTTTGCTTCGTTCGGATTGGTATGTGTGCTAGCACAAATCCGATACATGGTCTGTCTGAACTCCCTTATACCTTGCAAGCTATCTTCCATAGGATTAGGCAAGATAAGGCTTCGTAACACAATCAATAGCCTTGGGGAGATGACTGCAAAGACGTGGTACTCGGTGTAGGATGTCGCAGTAAATTGACCGGTGCTAGGGTCGACTCGGCCACTCACTGGTCCTTCGTGAATTCCATAGCCATTCTCGGTCAATAAGAACTCATCTTCGGGCTCTGATGGCGTGCATAAGGCCATATACATACTTTGTGTATGATGAACAAACCATTCCGCGTCAGGAGGATATGCGCGCTTCCTAATTTTTTCCATCCACTCACCACCTGGATCCATTTCCAGCTCTAGCATAGCTTTGATGTTGTCGAACCACACATCAATTGGCTTCTCGAAATCTTTCCCGCGTACATATTCTAGCAGCTCCTCTCTATCATCGGAAGAATAGTCCTCGAAAGTCTCAGGACAAAAACGCTTGTGCATGTTCGAGGACCTGTATTTCATAATAAATAGAAATTTGCGCAACGTATCACGCTCCAAACGGGTTATCCAGACATCTTCATTCCTAGCCTCAAGCCTCTTTCGGATGGCGGCGACAACCCTACCTGCAAGAGACTCGAGGTCTGCCAACTGTTTTTCAAGTCCTTGCTGATTCTCGGTTTTTGCAAAATCTCGGTACATGTCGACCTTCCCAAGTGTGCGGGCGACAGTTGTGTCGAGGATCTTTGCCTTTGGGCCCGAAAGTTCGATTGTATGGAGCATATCTTCGGCGCGTTGGTTCTTGCCGTTGCGGTTGCCCCGTTTGTTCCCGCCATTCTTTCGTGACTTATAGGAAAAGTTTTTCAGAATAAACCGAGGGATGAAATGCTGGTATTGAGACGGCTCGACGGAGGGCTGTGTGGGAATTCTTGGTGTTGAAGCCATTATATAGCTTGCAGTTCAGTTGACTTCAATGATTATAACAATTCAGGCCCCTCGTCAGCGTCAAGGGGAAAGGCGAATTCTGCAATTTGAGAGTAATTATATCTAGGTATAACCACAAACAAGCAACAGGACTATTTCAAAATACGGACGGAGAGATTGAGGCACGAATATATCTTGTCTGTATAACAAGGCTGGCGCTTAAGGTCCAACATAGGCCACGAAGCACTGCATAGCGTTTAGCTATAGGTGTGGGCGCCATAGTATCCGAGTGGCTGCATCTCTATCTATATATACAACGTCTGTCCCCTGGCAACGAGAAGCTGACTGCAGAGAGAAAAATGATGGCAACTTTAAGTATTGGCATTTCAAAAGCTGTGCGAGTATCGATTTCTCCTATATTTTTGCGTACGTCGTACTCTGAACCCCTGTCACTAGAAAGTCACGTTCGCATCTCGCCGTCACGCCTAGTTTGCGCAGAGTATCTTTTATTTTATAGTGAATAGAGTTCTTATTTTACAGGTCTATTCTATCGTGCTCTTGCTACCTCTTGGTATCATTGTCATTGTGAATACTTCCAACACGGCTCCGTATGGTATCCAACACCAACACGGCTTCCCATCGAGCCGTGGAAACCGGCACCCGTTAGCTCCGGCCAGCCCTGGATGCCCTGCACTAAAAGCGGCCGGACATACCCTAGTCCAGCCTAGACCCGACGCGTTCGGATAAAGCTCCAAGCAAAGCTGCCAGTCGCGTCCACAGAAGTGACGTCAGCGACTCTACCCCTACGCTACCAAGCCGATCGTCGCGGTCGAGAACGGGCAAAAAAAAACAGGGAAAGCACTGATGGGAAATAAGTAGCTTTAGACTGTAGAAGGCGAGTATTACTACTATAGAATGCGCCAAGTAGCCAGAAAATCTCTGTCGCACTGTGATTCCTTTACATCAAATCATTTACTGAGTATCGCAACGTTCTGTGACTCGTATCAACACCCTGGATAATACGACAGCTCGTTGTTTTGGATAGCCGCGCGCGTTAACCTTTTTTTTTTGTGTTACCTACCAAGCTACCAAGCTACCAAGCACCGCACCGCACGGGTTCTGTTTTGAGAGATCAACATATAAACGCCGCCACCCGCCATACTGAGTGAGGGGTAAAAATCGGAAACCGTAGTGTTGCGATAATCAAAGAAAGGGAAGATAATATACCATACCACTCGACATAATACACAACACAGTCAAAATGGCCATCCTCAATGAACCCATGACTTACCTCGCCTTCGGCGTCGTGCGCTTCTTCCAGTTCGTCCTCGCGCTCACCGTCTGCGGTCTCTATGGTGTCGACATCACATCTGCGCGGAAGGCGCATCACTCTACTGATGGCCGATGGGTAAGTCCACTCATACCTCACTTCCTCCGCGGTTCGACTGCATCGAGGCGCATTCTGACATCTGTCGCATAGGCATACGCTATCGTCGTCGGCACCTTCTCCGCCATCACGGCGCTGATCTACTTGATCCCCGTTACGATGAAGAAAATGTCGATACTGTTCGTGTGGGACACGCTGCTGCTGTTCTTCTGGATTGTGCTGTTCGGCATCTTCGGCAAGGTGAGATACCCTCTGGGTGTGTCGGGGGATACGCGGGACTGTGCTAACGGAATCTATAGCTGTTCATCAAGGAAGATGCGGAGGGCAACAAGGATATCCAGCGCATGAAGAACGCTGTCTGGGTTGATCTGGTCAACATGCTTCTCTGGCTTGTCTCGTCGGTCGCTGTTGGCATCTACTGGTTCAAGCACAGGCACAACAGGTCGCAGTTCACTGGAAGGGCAGTGGTCTAATCGCACGGCCTACTGTGACGAAAGATTGACAAGAAGTTTACCGCAATGCGGTAGTAATGGGCATGGACTGCATATGAGGAAACACTGTGTGCGACGGATAATGGTAACGGGTTTAATAACACGCATGGATTTGCACTTGTTTTAATGGTTGGAAACCTTTTCAACGGTTCGGTTTTAGCGGGTGGGACGAGAAGCAAAGGATACCCCTTTACATTATTATAGTTCACACGACACGATTAATTATTACTTGCCACTTGTTGGTAGTTGGGAAATTGAGAAGACATTTTTTTAAAAAAAAATATATCGATATTGCGAGAAAATATTGTTATATGAGTAATGATATGATGAGAGAAGGAAATCTAAAGGTAAAGATGTTGTGACAAAAAGAGATCTATAGGTAATGATATCTCGACAGAAAAGAAACGCTCTCACTTACCTTTTTTGAAACTTACCCTCGTCGGCACCCCTGAGCGCCATCATGCACACAAAGCTTACCTTTCGCTTACTGGATCGAGCATTTCCGAGACCCCAGCTCCTCACAGCGCTGCTGCGCCCAATTCGCCTGGTCTCGCAACCCAATCCTACTAAGCAGCTGAGCAATATCCAAGACCTCCTTAGGCCTATTCTCCTCCTTGTCAGCAGCATCGAGCAGAAAAGCACTGAACTCCAGCTCATTCCTCTCCGCACAAGCCATAACGATACCCACGCACACCTCCGCCCACATCTTAACATGCAAGCTATCAGTCGTGCTGGCGAACTGTCTGAACTCAATCGTATTCTTGCCCTCGGCGTGCACGATGTTGACGAAGTTATATGCCATGTTGCGGATGAAGACATCGTCGCTCTCGAACTCCTCGTCCGGGTATGTCCAGTGGATCAGGTAGACCAGCCTGCGCGCTGTCTTCGCAGCGTAAATTTCCCGGATGCCCTCGCACAGGTCCTCTGCGTGGTGCGAGATATTGGATTTCTTCCGCATCGATGATGCATAGCCGTTATTATGGCGATTTTTCGGATGCAAGGTGCCGAGCTGGCCCCCGAAGACCCAGAGGAAGGCAGCGATGTTCTTGAGGGCCGGCAGGCTGAAGCCCTCTTTGCCCCGGCCGACGTGGACGTGGTAGCCGCAAGTGTCTGTGATAAGTAAGCGGTGCTTGGATACTAAAGCGTCAATAGCTAACCTGACGGAGCGGAAGCTGGCTCTGTCGGCGTTGAGGACGGGAGAGCGGATTTCGAGAGGGATAAAGTTGCTTCCGTAGAGATCTGCCATGTCGTCGTCTTCCACGAGGGATTCGTCCCTTACCGGCTCCCATTGGGATGGGAGGGGCCCGACGGGCAGCTCGGGCATCACCGCTGCTGGTAGGCCGACGTCCCGGAGAGTCCTGCGCACACGGTTGTAGACGACATTGTCGATTATGTAGCCGTTTGGGTCAGTGAAGTCGTTGATGCCTGGGGGTGTTCTGTCAATGGTGCGTCTATCTTTTGGCTCTGGGTCTATGTCGTCGGTGTAAAGGTAAGGCACGAGGTACTCCACCTCTATCCCAAATGAAAATGCAGCAGGCATCGTGGGCAAGAAGGTCAACTTGCTTGCTGGAATCTTGTCTGTCGATTTGTTTTTGGGGTGATTTGGTGATTTGATCGAGTATTGTGCTGTTGAGATGCAGTGAGGAAATGAAATGATGAGATGAACTGATTGAGCCATGATCTCGGCCGACGGCGGCATACTTATACCTCGATGGATATTGTATGCGTCTGTTCTGCATAAAGGAGGTTGTTTCAAGGATCTTAAACATTGTTGTTAGAGGTTGAATCTATGCAATGGAAGTTCATTGTAAGAAGATGTTGACCTCTTTGACTTGACAATAGTATTGTCTGGGACTGAACAGTCTGTGAAAGGTGGAGTTTCAGGCTGGCTTGTTCGTGGAAATGTGTCTTGACAGAAGTTCTTTGTCTGGATACTCAGGTCGTCCTATGAAGGCAGTGGCGTTGCTTTGAAGAGAGTATGTTTTGAAGAGAAAGAAAGTTTCATACTCTCTGCAATGTTCATGAAAGCCTTATAACATTCCATACAGACAAAGACCCTTTCGTTGTCGTCCACGGCATACGTCCAGTGCAGCCTTGTCCCCCAGCAGTGGGTGCAACCCCCCAAGGTGTCATGGGAAACCCACGCCCACCTCCTCACCCTCATAACCTAACTTAAGCCGTCCTCAAACCAAGCGGCACAGTGGCGCAGTGGGAGTACCACTGTCAGGACAATCTGGCCAGGGCTTGGAAATGAATAAAAGAGGTTATGAATTCGACTCCCAGCAATCAAACGACAACAAAAAATAACAAATAAATAAATATTCTTATCACAAACATCAAAAAGTAAAATTAAGTGATTTTCTCTTTATCAAATCTCATAAACGACGAGATTTGATAAGTCTTTTGCAGTTTTTTACAACCAATCCCCCTCTTTTTTATAGTCTGGCATATATAATTTGAATATACAGGAAGAAGTTATGTGCATGAGATTGGACACAACATCTTGAATACGTTAGTTTAACAAATCATGAGGGGGAGGTATATTTTTACATTTGTTGGTGGCATACAAGCCCCCTTTTCGTTAAGAGAAGCGAGACGAGGCAAAACAATTTACTATCACAAGTCAATTTCTAACATATAGAACATAAATATATTTTCTTACCTCTGAGATACTATCCAAACATCTGCATACCGTCCAGCGGCATAGACAGCTCTACCAACATTCTTTTCAACCCCTCACTGCATCCTCTCCCAGCAACTCGGGCAGAAGTCGTTTATCACCTCCTCAGACGAAGTTCGGTGACAGTGCCGCGTGCCACGGTACCGACAGTGACGTGATCTGAGGTAGATGATGTGCTGGCAGAACGAATACCACCGGGAGCGCGTCTCACACATGGTGGCGGTTGAGTGGTGTGCGAAGTGTGTCAAGGTGGCCGCGATGTCGTTGTGTTGTGATGGAGCTGAAAAGGGCTGGCATGCGAGTTCTCGAGTGATCTGGACCAGAAGCTTTTGGACATGGCTCAACCCATCTTTTTATACGTGATGTCTGCAGAAGCGGACTGTTCACCAACGATGCTCGGTGAAGAAATGGAAGCTCTCGATCAGATAACATGTCTGTGCTGTTACAGCTTCTCTTTATCACGTGTGAAGGCAGCAGTGATATTCTAACTGTTCTAACTGATTCAATATCTGCATAATCCGAGAGCTTCACCAGCTTTGTTCTTATTCGTCGAATGGAGCTCCAAAGAATATGGTGCTTCCCTGTCACTCAAGAACAAAGGGAGCTGATTCAACCGTGGTATTCCAGATGTCTCTCTATCCGTTTCTAAGACTCGAGCCTTTGTCTAAACGCATGCAGCCTCCCCCAAAGAACCAAGAAATCCTTTAAAGCTTTGAGCGATGGCAGTCTCAGATCCTAGTCCTCGAGTTTCCCAACCATTCTCCAAGAACAATATCTCGCATATCGAATCTCACACACCGAATCTTGATCACCAATATACAAACCCACAAACAACGCCCCCTCACCGCAGCAATGGACTTCATCCAAACAGTAAAGCGCTTACAACCCAACTACCCCACCTGCAGCATCTGCTCCCTCCTCATATGCACCCACACCCACCGCTTCTTCACCTACCACGGCTACCTCGAATACCTGGACTCGACCATCGAACCAGCAGCAGTGGGCCGAGAGGGAGAGAGACAGATCTTCATGACGAATCTCGCAAAGGCCGAGTTTGGATTTGAGCCCGAGGATCGCGTGGAGTGGTGTACTGTGTGCTATAACGACGGGCGTCTGAAGTTACATCGCACGTTGACGAAGGAGGGGTATGCGAGGTCTCTGAGGGAGAAGAGTGGATTCGAGTCTGTTGAGGAGGCGGTGGCAAAGGCGGATGAGGTGTATGGGGATGGTGCTGGGTTGGGGAGTCTCGATGATATGGAAGCTGTTCTTGGTGGTCGTACCCTGGGCTATGGAGCTGCGTTAGGGAGTCTCGATCGTATGGAAGCCACTCTTAGCGGGCATACTCAGGGCTATGGAATTGCGTCAATGAGTCTCGATGGTATGGAAGCTTCCTTAAGGGCTCTCGATGATATGAAAGCCGCTCTCAGTGGTGGTACTCAGGGCTATGGAGCTGAGTTAGGGGGGTTCGATAATGCAGAGACTACGTTTAGGCGTCTCGATGATATGGAAGCTACGTTAAGGGATCTCGATGATATGGACGCCGCTCTTGGAAGCCCTACTAAGGGCTATGGTGCCGGGTTGGGGAGTCTCGAAGATATTGAAGCTGCTCTCAGAGGTCGTATTGGCGATGGCGCAGAGTCAGGGAGTCTCGATGACACGAAAGATACTCTCTGGGTGCATGCTCGAGGCGGTGGTGGTGAGTCGTATGGCGAGGACGACTTTACTGGAGTAGCAGATGAGGGGCGTGAGTACTATACAAAATTTGATAGGTGCCTGGAGTGGGATATTCGGAATGAGATTATCCGCCTCACGAGGAAATGGGAAGAGGGACTTCCGGGAGTTAGTAATAACATCCGAGACTTCGAGACCTTCAGACAGGACATAAAAGATGAATGGATCCGAAAGGCCGACGGGTACCCAGAATACCCAGAAACACGCCGCACTATGCCTTGGGACGACATGACCTGGGACCAGCTGCAAGACCTAGCACTATCACCTGCGCCAAAACCACCACCACCAACAACACCCCCCACAAGCTTGCGAAGCAACACCCCCAACGGCCTAACCGACGAACAATACGAAAAAGCTCGCCGCGACTACTTCATAAGATGGCAAGTAGCGTCGCATCTCAAATCCCCCGAGCGCAAGAACGAGCTGAAAGTACTCATGGAAGCCTCGTGGATCAAACGCGTCGGCGCCCGCGGCATGGAAGACAACATGCCCTGGCACATCGACTTCTTCTCTAACCCCCATCGTCCACTCGTCCAACCTCCTCACGACCCCTTGCATCCTCCACCCGGTGGATGGGTGTCCGAGGCCGACCAACTCCAGTTCCGAAAGGAGTGGGAGGACATGGCGTTTGGGAAGGATGGGAAGTTGAGTAAAGACCCGATGCAGAGATATACTCTGGCAAGGCTTATACAAGCAGCGTTCATTACAGCGTTCGGATCCCGCGGCGAGAGGCAGGTTATGCCTTGGACTGCGGATTTGGTACGCCCTGAACCTGTGCCGTCGGGCGACTCTGCGGGGGGGGATGATGGGATGGGACAATCGCATCCGCTCCCGGATACGAGCTTGGAGACTGATTATGCGACGTTGCGCTCGGAATACGCGATGATCTTTATTAACCGCATCAGGGGGGAGGATCAGGAGGAAATAGAGAGGGTAGCGGGTGTGTTTCGCGAGGCGTGGGTGCAGGAGGTGGGGGTGAGGGCACACGATGTTAGGATGCCTTGGGATGAGGTGTTAGGGAAGCAGACAGATAGGGAGGTGAAACAGGAGGAGGTGCGGGATGTGGTGGGTGGTGACGTGAAGGAAGAGGGGAGGGGGAGGGATCGGGGTAGGTCGAGGCGGAGGAGGAAGGCTTTGCTCTGGACGAGGAGGAGAGGGGAGAGTGTGTGCGAGTTCCAGTAAGTGCGTTTGTGTTTCTCGGGATATCTGCGCGGGGGTTTTGTGTTGGCGTTTGTGTTTGTAGTTTGCTTCTGGATACGAGGGCTACTGCGTTTTTGTATTCGTATTCGGGACGTTCCAGGAGGACTGATTTATCGTTTCATTCCGGAGTTTATTTCTTCTGTTTGCGCGACGGATTAATGCATGCTACAATATACAAAAATACCTAAAATCTTTAAATCACAACCCGAAGTATTTTTAAAAGTGATACAGATTTCCATGTAGAAACCCGTCCGTCCATCTGCTTTTTCCTAAGCCAACTATCACATTTCCCGTTCCTGACCACAGCCTCGCGTCGTCATAACCACCCTCCCCCACAGCCTCGCGCTAAACCCCACCCCTGTCCATCAAAATTCCCCGAGTCCGCGGTATCTCAACCTCACCTCACCTCGCCAGCACCTTTCAAACCAGCTCTCCAAGTCCCACGGGGCACCTCATCCACCCATCCGACTCTTCCATCTGGGCTATTTAAGATGAAAGCCCCCACCGCGCCCCTCCTCCGGTTTCTCGCTAGGACAACACCGTCAACTTGTCGTCGATGCGCGCCGAAAATATATATAAACCGTCTAAGCACCAACGCGCCACTGCGCGCGAAGGGTACAAAACCGAGTGGCCCGAAGAAGGTGAAGCCTTTACCTTATAGGTTTGTCCCCCTTCCCCTTCCCCGTCCCCCTTCCCTCCCAAGCACCAGCTCCCTCCCCATCTCCCCCCGTCCTTCCTTCACCAGCTCCCCAAACCGCCTACCCCCACCTCCCACCCCTCCCACTTCCCATATACCCCCATTACGCAGCAACCCAACTAACCTCCCTCATAGTCCCCCCCGAAAACCCCTCCCCAAACAACCGCCACCTTCCTCCTCCACCCCACCACCACCACCCAACCCCCTCCGCCACCGCACCCTCCCCCTCCTCCTCGGCTCCCTAACTGCCTTCACCTTAGCCGGGTATAGCAGCTACATCTACGTCACCTACCGGCGCGCCACCTCCTCCTCCTCCCCCAATGCCATCCACAGCGTCCCCCTCGACGTCTCCGAACGATACAACGACATCGCCACCGAATTCGACGGGGACGTGGAGTGGATGGAGTGGTCTATGGGGCTTTTGCAACTACGGAAGGAGATGGCGGCGAAGGCAAGGGGGAGGGTGTGTGAGGTTAGTGTTGGGACGGGGAGGAATATGGGGTTTTATGAGTTTGGGGGGGTGATGACTGGGAAGAAAGGGGAGGGGAAGGGGAAGAAGGGAGAGGAGGGGGAAGGGGAAGAGGGAGGGAAAGTGACGAGTTTCACGGCGGTGGATAAGTCGCCCCAGATGATTGCTGTGGCGAGGGAGAAGTTCTCTAGAGAGCATCCTCGGGTTAGGGGCGTGCAGTGGGTTGTGCAAGACGCATCGCTGCCTCTCCCGCCTCCGCCCTCTTCCACTTCCTCACCCTCCACCTCCACCTCACCCACCACCTCACTCACCACCTCGCCCCAGAAATACGACACAATCCTCCAAACCATGGGCCTCTGCTCCACCCCCGCCCCCGCCTCTCTCCTCCTCAACCTCTCCAACCACCTCGCACCCGACGGCCGCATCTTACTCTTAGAGCATGGAAGGGGATACTGGGGGTGGTTGAATAATATCCTCGATGCCCTGGCGCCGGGTCACGCGGAGAGGTTTGGGTGTTGGTGGAATAGGGAGGTGGGTGGGATTTTGGAGGAGGTTGAGAAGATGGGGGGACTGAGGGTGGTGGAGGTGAGGAGGAGGAATTGGGGGACTACTTGGTGGGTTGAGTTGAGGAGGGCTGAGGATGAGGGGGAGGAGGAGGAGGGGGAGGGGGAGTGGAAGGGGGAGGGTGGGAAGAAGGAGTCTGTCGCTCGGTCATGCCTTTGAAAAAGGTCCGTCATACTGTTGGGCGCGTAGGTAGGCCCGTGCTGTAGTTTTGGTGAGGAATTGAAAGTTCGTACTGAGCTGTAAGCTAGGTCCCAATTAGACGTAGCCCATAAATAGCCCCACCTAAACAACGCGTCTCCTACAACAACACGTATTCAAAACTTATTCAATTCTTACTAAGCTTTCTTCCTCTGCTATAACATAACTTAGCTACATCTATAACTATCCTAACCCTTATAAGGACAGCTTAATTATTAAAGGAACTAGTAATAATTAATTATCCCTAAGATACCTTAATCTAAACTATTCCTAATAAATCCTGTTACGGGTACGGCAGGAGGCCCACCTCGGGGGCGACGCGGGCCCGGGGACTAGGGGACCGGTGCCTTAGGCATCCCGTGGCAGTCGCGCCCATGCACCCATATGCCCTATGCCCTATAGCCAGTAAGAGGATGGCACGTAGCACCGACCCGCCGCCGAGTCGGCAGGGACCCGACTGCGAAGCAGTAGATAAGAGTAGCTAAGCCCCCTATAGGGGGGGCTTAGAGATTTGTCTGTTGAATACCATTTCTGTTACCGGTGCCTTAGGCATCCCGTGGCAGTCGCGCCCATGCACCCATATGCCCTATGCCCTATAGCCAGTAAGAGGATGGCACGTAGCACCGACCCGCCGCCGAGTCGGCAGGGACCCGACTGCGAAGCAGTAGATAAGAGTAGCTAAGCCCCCTATAGGGGGGGCTTAGAGATTTGTCTGTTGAATACCATTTCTGTTACCGGAGCCTGCGGCCGTAGCACGCTTCCACTAAACCCTTACAAATCCTACTTAGAGGAAGAGTGTTAATAGAGCCTAAATTACCTATAGATATATAAAACATAGAAACGTTAAATTTATTTACTATAATAGCTTCTCTGTTTTTATATTAGAGAGTAACCCTAAGTTAGGTAATAGATAGAGTTATTCTAGTAAAGAAAAGGGTAATATTTATAATTATCTACATTTTAAGTAAGGGTTATTATTATAAGGATGCCTCCTTACTTAGGGTAGTTATAGCTGTCACGTAGCACTATTAAGACTTAGGGCCGTTATAGGTTAGTTACAACTAACAGCCTTAGGCACATAACGTAAGGAAGCCTTAGGTAAATAAGGAGCTAGCTAAGTTAGAGTAGTTTTAGGTATTTTAAAGGAACAGCTATATAGGGTTATACCTTTATCTTTTTTATATCCTTTATAGTAGACCTATAGGATTGCACTAACTTCTATCTAACTTACACTCCTATATATAACTTCTTATAATATAGTGCCCTATGTCCTTATAATTATAATATATAGACTATTAGCACCTTCTAGTATATTATAGAAATGAATTATAGGCTTAGAAGTATAATGTTATAGCTAGCATTTACAGCTGCACTTTTACTAACACACTAGTTATAGTAGTAATAAACATATTAGTAAGTTAACTACCCTTAAGGTAGGGTTAACATTAGGTAATAGAGTTTTCGTAAGCACCTACTTCTATAGGTACTAGATAGAGTAGGCACCTAACTCTTTCTAGGTACCTAACTATTACTAAGTACTAGATAGAGCAGGTACTAGACTATTTATAGGCACCTCCTTATTAGAACCCTATATAATAGAATAGTAGGAATAGTAAGAATAGCAAAGGAGTTTACTATTCTAACTATTCCCTTTAGTATAACGCTACTATATAAGTAAATAGTTAGTCTTAGATAGGAGCTTTATACTTAACTTAATATAGTATTTTGTTATATACTATAATATGTTTTATAAAAGCCTTTGTGTCTAATCCCCTACCTCCTCTATTAAGTAAACTAACGTAATAAAACCTCTATAAGTCTTATAGTTTAAGACCTAGCGTTACACGTTAACACGTTACCCCTAAGGTAGGGCCTCCTACTATGCCTATAACAATTACCTCTAACTTACACTTATATTGCACCTATAGAGAGCTGTATTCCCTATGTCCTTATAAGAAGTATTTAAAAGTAGCTTCTATGCTAACAACACCTTATCTATAGCCTATAATTATAACTAGTAGAAGCTAATATAAGCTTTTCCCTACTTATAGTTTAAAATGCACTACTACTATAGTAGAAGGCGAATTAGGTATTATGGGATTTTTAGTTAACTTTATTTGTAAGACTGTAGGGTAGGCCTATAGCTTGTTGTAGCTTTATAGATACATGTACTAGGAGGTACTGCTAGAGGTATGTACTAAGAGAGGTAGAATCGGCGGCTTAGACAGAGCTTCGACAGGATTCTATGGGCTTCCCCGAGACCCTCTACAAAATTCTCCAGCAACCTGAGTTATTCAGACTGTAGCGAAGCGAACAGTTGGATACGATGGTTACGTCGTCCACTACAGACGTGCACAATTGCCATAGCAGATAATGCGCACTACGAATCCACAGCGGTGCGGGCCGGAGTCCCACCCTTAATCGCCCATGTGCGGCTGAGGGTTTACTGTACTAAGCCTTGTTAGCCTTAGCTGCCCTCCTTCTGCCTCCCCTTCCAGGTGCAACCAACCCTCCGCCCATCTGACGCTCAAAGCTCTGGTGAAGGCTCCGCTCGACGATGAACCGAGATGGCGTCCAGAAAGAAGGGTACTGTTTTCCGGGTAACCGGTCTCCCAGCCTCTCTGCCTGACGACGAGCTCAACCAAGCGTTGAAGGCTGCCATCAACGACAACCTAGAGAAGGACGAACCGTCGAAGGTGACCCCCAATACAGCTATTGTGCCCTCCTGCAACGACAATGACGAAAAAGTCGCGCTAGTCGAGTTCCACGGCGGAGTGCCTGCATTCCTGTCGGAGCTGATGGTCAACCCGTTAGGCGACTGCCAGGTAGAGATGGGCGACATAGACATAAATTTCGACCAACACTTCTTTGGGTTCACCCAGCTATACGCACTAGAACCAGGCTCGCCAGCTACCGCTGAGTAGGTAATATTTCCTCCCTAGGGAATATATGTCTAATCTACCACGTAGTATAATCGCTATCACGGGCCTCAACGGACATGCATATGGCTCGTGGAAGGGAAAGGGAAACCTCGGGCGCATGTGGCTCCGCGACTTCCTCTCGAAAGATCTGCCGCACTGCCGAACAATGATTTACGGCTATAATTCAAAACTCTCGAGTCATGGCATAAATACTATTATGGATTATGGACGAGAGTTCTTAGAAGCTATTAAGAGGATCCGGCATACACGAGAGGCAAGGTGCATCGCGAGAGTAAGGTGGAATTAGCTAATAATGTCGTCTTCTAGCTTCGAGAGAGACCGCTCTTTTTTATTGCACATAGCTTTGGAGGAATCATACTAGGTCATGTGAGTCTAGCAGCGGATTGTTAAGGACCGACTAATAGAACACTTTATACTAATTATATCAGTGCCTTGTAAAAGCGGTGCAGACAGATGAACGCGACAATGCAACAATTGCCGCTTTGTATAAAGCAACATACGGCATATTATTCTTCGGTGCCCTACACAAAGGACTCGTTATCGACGATATCCAACGTATGGTAGCAGGAAAGGATCAGCACCCGAGGATAGAGTTGCTTGAGCAGATTAAACTAAAGTCTAATCTGTTATTATATCAGCTCACGGACTTTAAGAATCTGATCCGTGATCGGAAGATTGTCAGCTTTTACGAGGGGCAACAGACAAGACGACTGCAGCTGGTGAGATGTTTTTGATAGCTCGATCAAGGAAGGATTAAAATAGCTGACATTGTCTCCTAGAACCCCAAGACAAACAAATGGGGCCGAACAGGAGAATATATGACCGCTGTCGAGTCTAGCTCGGCTCTTCTCGAACTTCCCGACAGCACCGAGATAAAGATTCCAGTTGATGCAGACCATTCTCAAATTGTCAAGTTCGACAATCGCAATGCCGAAGCATACAAGGCTGCGGTTGGTTATTTGAAGGAATTTGAACAAGATGCTAGGAAAATTGTTCTGGACCGATTTTGTACGTAGCTCTAGATTGTTCTTAACTGATCTCGTATTTGTGATTTTTGATAGAGAACTGAGGCCTTTTCTAGACGTTCCAATAATATGATACTATACCCCTTCTCGTTTCTGTCAATCTTGAAGTCAATGCTAACTCACTCGAATGGCATTTAGCGCCTGCGTCGAGAAAGAAACCCCCACGATCAACCGTTCCATTCGATAGGGATACAAAGTTCGTTGGGAGACAAGATGCTCTTGCAGCTCTAGAATTGCGGTTCTGTCAATCTAACTCCCATAATCGGACAGTCCTTGTGGGTTTAGGTGGGGTAGGGTATGACTCGGTTCCACCCTCCATATCCTAGTACCTAACAAGAACATAGCAAATCACAAATTGCAATTGAATTCTCGTATCGGCTGAGAGTGAGGGACCCTCAAGTATGGGTCTTCTGGGTGTATGCAAGTACCGCCGAGCGATTCGAACAAGCTTACAGATCCATCGCTACTGAACTTGAACTACCAGGTGCAGATGACCCAAAGACGGACGTGTTGGGCCTAGTCTTAAGATGGTTGAGCAACATCGATAATGGCCGCTGGCTTATCATTCTCGATAATGCTGACGATATCGACATGTTTCAACAGACGCAAGGGGAGGGATCTCAAAAATGGAATGACACTGCCTTTCCGTTATCGAGTTACATCCCACTGACTATAACTGGATCAGTACTCCTTACCACACGAGACCGAAGAGCAGCATCTTGGCTCAGTACTGGATACACGAGCGTCATTTTGGTCAATTTGATGGAGCTGGAGGAAGCCGACCAGTTACTTCGCATTAATATCCCTGAAGGTATATCTACTAGCTCTGATCGTGCCGAGCTTGTTAAAGAGCTGGACTATCTACCACTAGCAATTACTCAAGCCGCTTCATATATTAGCGCGAAAGCCATTCGGATGAGTGTGTCTAAGTACTTGATGCTCTATCGTCAAAACGAACAAAGTCAAACCAGGCTACTTGACGAAGAATCTGGGGATCTAAGACGGGCTCCTGGCGTTCATAATTCTGTGATCCGGACCTGGCAAATCTCCTTCGACCAGATTAAGCGGAGCAAGCCACAAGCTGCAGAGCTTTTGTCCCTCATGGCTATGCTCGATCGCCAAGGGATTCCCGAATTCCTCCTTTGCGCCCAATACCACACTCCCCTCGATTTCGAAGACGCTCTAGCCCCTTTAGATGAGTTTTCTTTGATCACTATTAAGAATGGAGGTAAGGCCTTTGAGATGCACAGGCTTGTGCAACTCGCAACACGGCAGTGGCTAGAGCGATCTGGGGACAGCGAAAGATGGCGGAGAGAGGCAATCGAAGTGGTGGCAAAAGCTTTTCCAGGTGGAGACTATGGAAACTGGAAGACGTGTGAAGCTTTGTCACCACATGCTATTAAAGTGCTCAAGTATGAGCTAGAGTCAAACCAATCTATGCTTGAGCGTGCATCCCTCTTGTATAATATGGCTTGGTACAACTGGCTTCAGGGTCGTTATGAAATTGCGAAGGCAGAAAGCCAGGAATCTCTTACTACTCGTCAACATCTTCTACAGGATGATAACACGAGAATCTTTGAAAGTATCGGGATGCTTGCCTTAGTACTCGATAGCCAGGGCAAGTACGACGAGGCTGAGGCCATGCACCGAGAGGGGCTCCAGCTCAGGACAAAAGTGCTCGGCCAGAAGCACCCCTCTACGCTCATGACCATGAACAACCTCGCTTCAGTGCTCTATAGCCAGGGCAAGTACAATAAGGCTGAGGCCATGTTACGAGAGGGGTTCCAGCTCAGTACAGAAGTGCTCGGCCAGAAGCACCCCTCCACGCTCAAGAGCATGAAAAACCTTGCTACAGCGCTCCATAGCCAGGGCAAGTACAACGAGGGTGAGGCCATGCACCGAGAGGAGCTCCAGCTTAGTACAGAAGTGCTCGGTCAGAAGCACCCTTCTACACTTATGAGCATGAACAACCTCGCTTCAGTGCTCAATAGCCAGGGCAAGTACGACGAGGCTAAGGCCATGCACCAACGAACTTTAGAAGAGAGGAAGAAGGTGCTTGGGGTAGAGCACAAGGACACACTTACTAGTATGGCCAACCTAGCCTCTACTTTGTACAGTCAAATGCAGTGGAAGGAGGCCGAAGATATGGAGGTGCGAGTAATGGAGACGAGACAACGAGTGCTTGGGCATGAACACCCTGACACGCTAATAGCCATGTCTAACCTTGCGTTTACGCTAAAGTCCCAAAGCCGAAATAATGAGGCTATTTCACTGATGGAGATATGCTTTCAGCTGGAAGAACGGGTCCTTGGCCGTCATCATCCTAACACAGAGACTTCCCTTGAAACTTTGAATGAGTGGCAGATGGAGAATGTAGAGCCAGGCGTTTAATGCTGCATTAATTAGAAGATAGAGAACCATTGCAAATGGACCGAGTAGTGCAAGCATGGTACGAGAAATAGTAAATTAATAAAAGCGACTTAGCACCATATACCACCACTAGCCGCACTAGCTATACTTATAAAGTAACGATTCCGTACAGTAAGGTTAGGTCATTAGACGGTGTGCTACGAAGCATCGATCAGTAAGAATCAGCGCCGCTCTTCAATGACAACTAGCAGCAGTACCTCTAGGGTACAAGCAGGCAGGGTTGCATAGCCGCAAGTGTCTAGAAATGGACCCTGTTAAAAAGAACTACTAAAAAAAATAGCGACACCTAATTCGCCTTCTACTGTATTATTGATGTTTATATTTTCTAACTTCTTCTACAGTTTGATATTAAAGCTAGTTGTCGCTAGCTTTCTAACATGAAGTTCTCCACCCTTTTCCCCTTGGTTGTAGTAGCCACCATAACTTCGGGCCATATGGAGTTATTAAATCCACTACCACTTCGTAGCAAGTATAATAAGTTCATAAGCAACATTGATTATAGTATGACCTCACCTTTAGGCACTAATAATGATTACCCTTGTAAAGGCTATCTACCCGATCTAGGAACTCCTCAAGGCGCTTCTGTTGCGACGTGGGTTGCTGGGTTATTGCAGAAGCTCACGGAAACATACTATCAACTGGGAACAAAGAACACACAGCAGTGCAGCCGCGTTATAGCAGCCAAGGAGTGGAAAGCGATCTGGTGGCGATCGACGCCACTAAAGGGATCTGCCAGGTTGAAGCGCTGCTTGCTAAGTGGACACTACGTAATGTGGTTTGGTACCTTGTGAAGTGGGCAGGCTTCCAGGATGGGGATAATACGTGGCAGAAACGGGACGACATCAGTTCAGATCTCATTAATGACTTTGAGGCGAGCTATCAAGGGAACTTGGGCGTGCAGTTACTCAAAAAACGAGAACGGAAAGGAAGGATTGAGTATTTTGTTGAGTGGAAGGGTCGTCTAGCGGCTGAGAACTCTTGGGAGAAGGAAGGTACGATAAGCCGTGAACGAATATTAGAGTTTGAGGCAAAATGAAGGAGGAAACCATCAGATAAGTCTCTATATAAGCTTCCATTAGTGCCTCGAAATTCTTAATAGGCCCATACGTCCTTCTAATGCCCCAAATGTATTCAACCGCAGAGTTGAACTACTGCTCGCAGACATCTTAAGGTCTTCTAAGAGTATGATACTTCGATGATGACCCGGCTTCTAGAGCCACAGATCCTGGTATATCATCTTCATCATTGCTGCTTCTGCAGGCTAGGCGTCCATAATATCAGCCACCCTGTTAGACCAGTCACTATCCCACGTAAACGCAAAAAAGGCTGCGACGTATTCCTAGTAGCGAGGATACTACCCCGCTGATCCCTAGTCCACAATTGACACATCGTAGTCCTTTCCCTGCGAAAACTCCTGTGACGAAATCTCTTTAACTAGAATATTCTTCATCTGTAAATCGGAGTGGGTAAATGTAGATGTGCGATCGTCCTCAACAAGAGCCGACAATAAAAGGCATTCTTATCTGGCTGATTTCGAAATCAGCTAGATAAGAATGCCTTTTGCGGTCCTCTGCGTTAAGCCGAGATTTTGATATTAGCCCTAGAACGAAGTCACTCTCACTTCCAAAGGGGCTAGATATCTTTGGATCGTACGCTAGAGAGTAGAATAGATGATGTGGCATGTGGCTCTTGTTGATGCTCCCAAAAAGCCAGAGGACTAAAGGGTGCGTACTTGGTTAAAAATGGCTCGTAGCTTTGAGAGAATGATGACTTTGTTAGATTCTTGAAGATTTGGCCACATAAACTAGAGCGTATCTCCCTGAAGGTATTCCATGACAATATAAAGCTTTCCATCAGGCTCTTTCCACATTGCATATAATCAAGGAGCCGATATTTGAAGGTTTTGCTCAATGAATAGAAGGCTCTCTCCTTCTATTTAATCGTTATAAGGGCTGTATTTTGCGATAAAATGTTAACCAACCCTCACAACCTTTCTGTCTGCCCAAGCTTCAAGTCCCTTAAGGATATTTAGTAACGCATGAATTTCATCAACAGAGGGAAGAGGTGCAGGTAATTCCTTGGAATTTCTGAAGTATGGAAGTTGAAAAGGCTGCGCCATTGTGAACACCGGTGAAATGTGATCCTTGGTGGTAGGTGTTTTGATATGAGCTTCTCCTCAGAAGCTGGCTGGATGTAATGCCGGTAGTGTACACTATCCCCTGATCTACCTCGCCTAGACAGTCTTAACAAATGTATAAACAATATTAATGCAGATATAATACAACCTAATCCCAATCATACCTATCACCTGAATCAGGGGAAAACTATCCCAACCCGTGACCACCCCAAGCCCCAATGCGCTCAGCCAAGATATATGTACCCCAGTACCCAACCCTATCCCCAAAACAGCTAGTCCAACGGCATCCCGGCATCCAAATCCCGAACCCACCACCGCTACCTCCTCGATCTCGCCTAGTTCACAATTTTTCTCACCCATGCGCAAGTTTTTTTTTCTCTCTCTCTTTTTACTTTCATCTGTCTTATTCCCGATTTTCCCATTGGCTGACGAGATTTTAATAAGATTCTGGGCGCCGAGGTAAGGCGTACGTACGTGCATAATCCTTATTACTTCTTCCGTGTCTAGGTGGGTGTTTTTTTTATACACCACCCGTACCTGTCTGTGCATTATGATGATATGAACGAACGGACGGGATGAACGAAATGGCTTGAGATGAGCGACGCCACATCTTCTAAATTCGATGACGGAGCTTGCTACTCTCGCTCAGCCGCCGGAGATTCTGTCTGGGCTGATGAGTGCAGTAGCGTATCAGTTTGTGGCGTACATACCTCCTCGTAGCTTGCTGCACGGGAGACAGGCAGGTGTAGCGCCGCTCTGTACATGTACATGCAATAAGTGATTGCAAACTCACGGTCGTGCCTTGCGTGTTTCTGTAGTCTGCATATCATATGTATGTACTCACTCACCGACATCAGACAAGACATACATGCGCCGGCGCTGTACCTCTATCTGCACTTTTACACCTGCATGGCGCGCAGTGGTAATCAGACCATTATCCCCTTTCGTCACTCACATGGGGCGAACGACCGAGATGAGCGCAGCCTCGCCTCATCTTCATCTGCAGTAGGTAGGGAAGTGCGGATGCGTGGCTGCGGCGGGCGGGGCGCATGGGTTTTAGTTCGATATCGATATTTCCACAGTTGGTGGATGGAGAGCCAGCCAGTCACGGAGGCGCGGCCGCGGGTTGCGAGGAGGATGGCGAGGATCTTAAGCTGGGCCTGGATTGTGGGTGCTGTAGCTGTGGTAGGAGAGTCAGGGAGGTGCATGTGGCGGATATGTAGATGTAGGCACTTTCTCCGTGCAGGAAGGGGAGAGTGGTGTTGGTGCTCTACCGTACCCGTTATCCTGTGCTGTGCTGCTATGCTGTGCTGTGGTATAGAGGTTAAATTAAGTTATGTAAGTTAAACATCCCTCGGCCTTGGTGAGCTCAAGACTTTTAAAATGTGGGAATGGGTGGGCATGTGGATTGTGAATGGGGACTGTATGTGGGCATAAAGTGGGCAAAAAAAGAAGGTCGGCGGTCGTTCTTTCCTTCCCTTCCCTTCCCTTCCCGAATTTTTCCATTGAATTGCCACGGTTGAGTTAGTTACTCGCAAGGCAAGAGCAATGGCTCCCCTCTCCCATTGGGAAAGAAGACGTTCGTCATCCTCGTTCGTTCTGTCCCCTCACTGCCTTTGCTCATTGTCGCCTGAGTCGTGGGTGAGGGGTGAGTGAGTGAAGAGGGGGGGGGGAGATAGGGAAAAATATAAACAGCTTCGTCATGGCATACATCACGTTCCCGCTATGCCGTGTGTTCTGCTTCTTTTTCCCTGTTCTCCCCTCATCCTCATCCGCCTCCCGTTATGCCAATTGCCAATGTGAATGCTGGGAATGCGCCATGATCTCCTCATCTCCTCTCTCCCCTCTCATCCTAACTATCCCCATTCCTATCATCTCCTCCTCCCCTCTCCCTCCTCGTATGTAATCCCATCTCGCACCTCGCATCTCGCGTATTTGATTTTGCGTCCCGGTCGAACTATCCCATGCATGTTGTGTCCCACTTTTCTTAGTACGAAGTAACTTAACTAACCTCTAGTCCGTACTCTGCATGTCACTCCCGGCAGTAAACTCCCTACTAAGAGTACTTTCGTCGCTCTTCCCTGTCAACCCGCCCTACCAGCCCAAGTAACAGTTACTACCAGTCCACTAACAGACCACTAAACCATCCACTAAACCGTCCACTAAACCACCCTCTGACCACTGATCACTCTCCTCTCCCAGCTTGCCATCCCACTCATTCCCACTCATTCCCACCCATTTTCTCCCTTCGCCATCCGCCATCCGCCATCCCCCCCCGTCAAAACACCCAAAACCCAGGCACACGACATTTGAAACATTCACATCTTCGCCACAACAACAACACAACTACGACACCACAACACCCTGAATCCCCGATATCTCCCTCCTGTACAACCAAACAACCAAACAATTATATCGAACCTTGTCGCCGCCTATCTAATATAAAACCTTTCGACAACATATCAGCGACAAAATAGTACGACAAATTACCGACGTAATCACACACTCACTCAGTCGTCCCACCACCCGGAGATCACACCAGACAAGGATCAAGCCGGTGCGCCGCATTACGTTGGGAAGGGAAAGTCGACTTTCCGTACGTTCGGGAAAATAGGCCGTTGCGACAGACACAGGAAAGGAAAGTCCATCATCATCAACCGACGACCACAACAACAACAACAGCAGCAACACAACATCCCATTGCGCCTCAGTCAAGAATCGAAGAGACGGCGACAAAACACTCACTCTTGTACACTTTATCGACAAGTTTACGGAGAATACTTTCGCTGTACACCATCTATCTGTACATCGTCTATCTGTACCTCCTTACCGCTCGACAATCTCACACCGTTTCCAACGCGCACTGTCCCTTTTTCGTCCAGGGAAGGAGATCTTGTATGCATAGTCCTGTATACATAGCACGCCCAAAGTTACAAACTTGATCATCCCAGCATCAAAAAAACAACCCTTGTGTCATCCATCAGATATCACACTCCTCCCTCCAAAACTCGCGCGCCTTCCTGCATTCCGGAGGTGGCAACTCGCATCCCAACCACCACCATCGAACAAACCCAACCCCGTCAAACGAACCCCAGGCAACCAAACACCCCCTGTTGCATCCAATAACATCCCCGACATCTTCAACACCAGACTACTGAAAAAAACACCACTACCAAGCTGTACTATACCTGTACAGTACTTAACCTGAAAAGGGATAATACTTCAACTACATCACCCCAGTTAGCACCACCTGCCCTGCGCCGAAGGGGAAAATCCGAGCGTGCAACGTGCAGCCAACCCCAGCAAACCAAGGACGGACCAGCACCCAAGCTGCAACAAACAGAGCGCATCCCTCCCCTTCGCCTGCAATTGTCGCAAACAAACTTTCCAGACACCTCTCTCCCTCCGCCACCAAACCCCTCTCACAACCTCTCTCTCTCTCTCGACCCTTCGAAATAAGAGACTCACGAAACGACTCTTCCCCATGCGCTCCGCAGCACCCGAGAAAGCCGTCAAGATGCCCTATAACACTCGTCGGAAATCGCTGTCGCTGCCGTCGCTAGGCATCCACCTCCCCGTCACACACGCCTCGAGAGCTGCTGCGGCCGCCGCGGCAGCAAACCGCTCACCGCCTTCGTCGACAGCGCCGTCCGACCAGCCGCCGCTCAAAAAATTAAAACAGTCGCACGCCTCATCAGCATCATCATCATCATCAGCATCGTCGAAACCACAGTCGCATATGTCGCCACCGTCGAAACCGGAACCAGCAGCGAAGAGCATACTGAAGTACGAGCATACGCCGCCGCCGTCGCCGGAGGCGGATGCGGTGGACGATGAGGGCGCGCCGAGACGGGAGATCGATTTGGAGGGCATCAATGATGATATTGTCGAGGCGGTTATTGTACAATTACAACGGACAGCGAACAGGCCGCACCTGGTCAAGGAGCTGGCCGCCATCCTGTCGACCTCGGTAAAGATAGTAGAGACGTGAGTTCCCCTGCGACCAGAATTGCGACCCTGGCCTCGACCTTTACTGACGTACACTCCCTAGATCCGCGAACCCGTCAGCAATCATATCCTCCCGCCTCTCTACATACCTCAAGCGATCCTGCTGGTCGGCACTCGCGCCCTGCCCCCTCGCAAAGGAACTCGAGACCGTTCACCCGCGCCGCACCTACTTCTACCTCACCACCTACCGCCACCAACCCATCCCCTCCCCTTCCGCCGCCGCCTCCACCTCCGCCACCTCCTTCCCTCAACGCTCCATCATCTCTCCCTCCCTCTCCTCCACCGAATCCCGCTCCGAAGACGACGTCGACGCCGAGCGCCGCCGCCAACTCTCCCCCTCCCCCGAAGTCGACCTCTCGTCCCCTGAACTCGACGATGTCGGGTCCTCCGACTCCAACGGCTCCGTCGCGCCGCCTACGCCGAGCGGATCCTTCTCGGGACGTCTGACGAGCGATGCGCGGGCCGGGTTGGCGCGGAATCATCGCGCTTCGTCGCCGCCGTTGGAGAAGGACGAGAAGGAGTTTACACAGACGGCGAGGGGGATGCAGAGGAGACAGCTTCTGAGTGAGAAGCTGAGGGAGGGCGCCGCTGCGGCGTCGCATATTCCGTCTTTCTCGTTCTCGGGGGAGGTGAAGATTATGGATTTGGATGGCGATGGGGATTTGTTCGGCGACCATGAGCATCATGGAAGAGGCGGCAATGGGGTGTTGCACGGCTTCGTGAGCAGCCCGGCGATGAAACCGGTGGGTGGCGTGATGGCTGGGATGATGCCATTACTGTCTTCCCCGGCGTCGATGTCGGTGTTGAAGAGGCCGTTTGAGGATGTGGAGGAGGTGTGGAGCAGGGATGAGATGGAGTGGGATTCGAGGAGTCCGGAGAATATCGATCTGGATGAGTTGGATGGGATGTTTGATTGCTTCGAGTAAATGAGGATGTGGTTTTGAGCGTGGAGATTTTCACTTCTTGGAGAGAGAGTGCCCGACCCGTCTAACGACGACGGGATCGGGCACAGACGACGACGAGCGCCCGTTATTTTTTGGGCTTTGCTGGTCTGGCTTTGCTTTTGCTTAAGCGGCTGCCTGGCAACGTCGATTTTTACAATTTTGGTGGAAGAGAAGGGAGAGATCCTTTGTGCTTTTCACGGCCTTTTTTTACGGACGGACGGACCCGATGTTGGCGATTACTACTAGTGCTTCTCTTGTTTGCTTTAGAACGAAACAAAAACGGCAGGAACGATACGGAACTCAAAAAAGTTTATGGGCGGAGAAGGCACGATTCTGGTTTTTTTTACAAAGAAAAGAAGGAAAGAGCGATGGAGATGGGGTGGTCGCGCTTGCTCTTTCTGTTTTTCACTACTCTCCGACTCTGGCGCAAGATATATGGGTGGATGGATGTTCTGCCGTCATTTTTTTGGTCGCTACTCCTCTTCACTGCGCTACTACACACAACCCTCCTCTTTTTTACTCCTCATCACTTGTCACTTGCTCTGTTTTTTGGTTTGCTTTTTTTGCTTTTTTGCTAGCGAGTTTTTGTTTTGCTGTTATCTTTTTGCTGGAGACGGGAGATTGATTACAGATGAGAGAGAGGGAGGGAGCTCACTGCTCGAAAGATTTGAAAGAGGAACTTTGTATATATTATGTAATCTTGAGAGTTGGGTGGTGTCCTTTTTTCGCGGTGGATGGGGATAGGGAATGAAGAGATAAGACGAGGGAGCTGAAGAGAAGAATGGGAGGGGGAGAAAGGAGAGCAGGGAAGGGAAGGGAAGGGAAGGGAAGGGGGGGAGAATGGAGGCGAGGGGATGAGAAGATGTGGATGTGGATGTGGATGTGGACATAGATAGATGTCGAAATAACGAAGAAAGAAATGAAAGAATAAATCTCCACCTTATGATTGGTATTTTAAACTACCCCTGTGCTACTGTCATCTGAGTCTTGAGTATCAACTACTGTTGTTGCTTAGAGATTTGCACGTGCTCATGATGGTTTTATCGGCCGCAACCGGCGCTGTTTAGAGTTGGGAAAGTGAGACTCAGACCTTGCTGCGTCCCGTGCATTCCTACACCGTACAAAAAAAGTCCAGGGTGGTCAGCTTTTGCTATCCCAAATAGCCTATGTATAGCCTATGCAATAGCCTGTGTACTATAGATCTAGCAAACCAATTTTTTTTTTCCCCCAATTGCTATTCGATTACCCCCCATATCAATCCCCTCATAATCCTCAATCCCTCAAAAATCCCTACACGGCTTAAGCGACGGACTGTGACAGTAGACAGGTAGGCATATAACGCTTTGAATCGGCCCGCCGCTAATTGGTCGCGCGGCACGTATCGGGCGTCGACTTTGCCCCACCACCACTGGGTAGGAAAGCGCACATACCACTGTAGCTTGGTAGGCCGATTGGAGCTCGGCCCACGACAGGCGGCGCCGAGGGTGTAGGGTGTGTGTGTGAAAAGCTGGGCTCGTCATACATACTTTACTCACTTACGCACTTTCGCTTCCTTCCTTTCTTACAATTGGAAAGGTGTACACGCATATTCGGACAGAGAGAAAGGAAAATAAAAGAACTGGGGCATTGAGATTTGTATGGGCTACTAAGGGCGCGAAAAAGAGCTTGACTCCCATTTGTGTGACTCGGACACACGCACGATACCAAGATACCCAACCCAAGATGAAGACCACAACGTCCCTACGCCCCCTCCTCGCCGCCGCGGCAGGTGCTCGCGCTGCAACTCGTGCGCCCGCCGCTGCTGGACGGAGGGCAGCGAGCAGCTTCACAGCTACGGCGGGAAGGAGGATAACGGCTGGTGCGAGGACGAGTGTTGCGCCGCTGAGGGCGGCGGTTGGTGCGCAGACGACACAGAGGGCGTTCTCGGCGGGCGCGAGGAGGCAAGAGGAGGCGTTTGATCCGACTACGGTGGAGAGGGAGAGTGATGAGGTGGATGTTTGTATTGTTGGTGGTGGTATGTGATTCCTTCACCTGCTGTGCCCCTCTCATAGCTGTCTACTTGCCCCCGCACACAGCACCAGCACGGGCCCAATGACAACCTCGCAATGAACAGACGTGAAGAGAATGATGAAAGCTAACATACCCCCAACAGGCCCAGCAGGACTCGCCTCCGCCATCCGCCTCAAACAACTCGCGACCGCAGCAGGCAACGACGACTTCCGCGTCGTCGTCCTCGAAAAAGCCAGCGAAATCGGCGCCCACATCCTCTCCGGCGCCGTCCTCGAGCCCCGCGCCATCGAAGAACTCATCCCCAACTGGCTAGACGAAGCGAACCCCGATCGATTCGACGGCATCACTCCCGCCGCGGGTGACAAAATGCGGTTCTTAACCAAGAAGATGGCCCTACCGATCCCAGCGCCGCCGCAGATGCATAATAAGGGCAATTATATCATTAGTCTGAACCAGTTTACGAAGTGGCTGGGGGAGAGAGCGGAAGAGGCGGGGGTGGAGGTTTATCCGGGGTTTGCGGGCGCGGAGGTGCTGTATCATCCTGATGGATCAGTAAAGGGTGTTGCGACGGGGGATCAGGGGATTGCGAGGGATGGGAGTAAGAAGGGTGGGTTTGAGCGCGGGATGGAGTTCCACGCGCGCGCCACTCTCTTCGCTGAGGGATGCCACGGCAGCTTAACCAAGGGCGTTATCAAGAAATTCGATCTCCGCCGCGAGAGCGAGGCGCAGACATACGGGCTGGGCGTGAAAGAAGTCTGGGAAATCGCGCCGGAGAAGTTCAACAAGGGGAGTATCACGCATTCCCTCGGGTACCCGTTACCCGCTGATACCTATGGAGGCGGGTGGATGTACCATTTCGGCGACAACCTCGTCAGTATCGGACTTGTAGTCGGCCTCGACTACCCTAACCCCTGGCTCTCACCATACCAGGAGTTCCAGAAGATGAAGGATCACCCGCTCTACCGCTCCGTGCTTGAGGGCGGGAAATGCATATCCTACGGCGCGCGCGCGCTCGTTGAGGGTGGCTTCCAATCTATCCCCAAGGTAGCATTCCCTGGCGGAGCACTGGTGGGAGATACTGCCGGATTCATGAACGTCCCCAAGATCAAGGGAACGCATACAGCCATGAAGAGCGGTATGCTCGCCGCCGAAGCTGCGTACGAAGCCCTCACGGCCACCGAGGAGGGTACCGTCTTCCTCTACGACTACGAGGAGAAACTCCGCCAGTCATGGATATGGAGCGAGTTAAAATCCGTGCGCAACATGCGCCCCTCCTTCCACGGCCCGCTCAAACTCTACGGCGGCATCGCCTACTCCGGTCTCGAAGCATTTATCCTCAAAGGCCGCGTTCCCTGGACGCTAAGCCACGGCAGCAAGACGGACGCGCAAGCGACGAAGGAGGCGGACCAGTGCGAGAAAATCGTGTATGAGAAGCCGGATGGGGAGGTGACGTTTGATATCCTGACGAGTGTGGCGAGGACGGGCACGGATCATGAGGAGGATCAACCGGTGCATTTGCAGGTTAAGGACTGGAAGAAGCATACGAAGAGTATGTGGCCGAGGTTTAAGGGGGTGGAGAATAGGTTTTGTCCCGCGGGAGTGTATGAGTATATTGAGGATGAGGGGGAGGAGGAGGGGGTGAGGTTTCAGATTAATGCGCAGAAGTGAGTTGGCGTCCATGCTCTTTTCCCTTTTTTTGAAAAAAAAAAAAAAAAACTTTTTACTTGATGGGACGGAAGCTAACAGACTACAGCTGCATTCACTGCAAGACTTGCGATATCAAGGTTCCGGATCAGGATATCAACTGGACGGTGCCAGAAGGCGGTGGGGGACCAAAGTATTACATGACCTAGATTGGTCTTACGGGGCAGTGGAGATAGGAGGTGAGGTGCATTGGGGAAACAGCATGGTTCGAATACACACATGGGCGGGGCGGAATAAGCAGTCGTAGAATTTGTAAAAATGAGAAAAGCGTACATATTAAGGCATGCAACGCCCTATCATCACCACCCACCCAATGGCATTATGCCTGCTGATAATCAACGACCACCGCCACTACAGCGCCGTCGTAAATAACAAATAACCCCCTTTCGCCGCTATGACCAGGACACCCGTTCCCCATCCACTTATAGTGCTCTCCCTCCACAACCACATACTCCCGAGCTAGTGGGTGAGCCTCGCCGCCATTACCCTTATTTTGTGATCGTGGCTATTTAAAAGTAGGTCTCTTTTTGATAACGTGTTATATCGTGATAGTAGAATGTCGCTCATGAGTGAGCAGGGTGACTAGGGTGGGTTAGATGGGTGGGAAAGGTGAGTACAGCTAGCTGAGAAAATGGTATAAAGGGCTAGCACTATGCAAGGGTCCATTGACATTATAAAAGGCCATTAGTTCCCTAGTGAGTCTTCTTCACTCCTTCACCTCTCATATACTTACTACCTTTGATACCATTAGTAAAAACAACTTCCGACCGAATAACATTCAAAGGAGTTGACATGCCTACCTTTCGCAACGAGAATAAGCGCCTCTACTTCCGGATCTATTATTCTTGATCCTCGCAACAGCAGCATCTGTAGCACTTCTACTAGTAATTTAGAGTCACCAGAAAAGGAGATGGAATACCCACGTCTCCAAGCTCAAGCTACTCCCGAAGCCACGGCAACTGCCGTCAAGTTGGAATGCTGCAGCAAACCTGGGATCTGTACTACAACACTATGGTCTGATTGTCGAGGTTCGAATTGTGCTATACGATACAGGTTGGTGTCGATGCTGTAGCCAGTGTAAAAATACGGGAAATTAGTGGGTTAGGGCTGAGGATTCACGTTTGGGAGAGAGTTGCAAGATGAAACGTGCGTAATCTCAGTCGCGGTGTTCTCTCGGCGCTCTAAATCGAAAACACGGGTGCACGCGCCTGTCGTCGCTATCAAGCTATGACAAGTGGGACGAAAGCACAACGCTAGTCGTACTCGTACTCGTATTTTGTGTGGCTTAAATTGAAGCTTAGTTGAGCGACTTGGCAATATTATGTCACGTGAGTACTAACAACAACTATATAATTTTCATGTCTTTTTGACATTCTGACATCTCAGTTAATTTGTCCTCACAAGTGTTGACTACGTGCTCTGCGATTAGCATTAACGTTGTGTCCGACATTAACAAGCCGAGATGGCACTTGTCGGTTTCATTGATAGCTTATTGCTACGCTGCTATGAGCACCCATTGGTTCTATGTGTCGGTGTTATCGTTGTGGCGCTCCTCTCCTTGCCAATGCTCCTTGTTAGGCATGACGCACAAGAGCCGCCTATCGTCAGTCCTAGAATACCGATAATTGGACATTTGATTAACATGATATGTTATAAACAAAAGTTCTACCATCAATTGGGGTATGTTCTGTGCTACATTCAGGCTACTATTTCTTTATTAACACTCACACAGACAGCAGAACCCAGACCTACCTATCTTCACACTTCCTCTCGGATTGGGAAAGATGTACATCATCACCTCTCCAGCACTCGTTCAAGCTGCGATGAGGAAGAAGTCGCTCAGTTTCGAACCCCTTACTGTTGCATTTGCCGAGCGGATGGTAGGATTTGGCCCAAATATCATGGATTTGATGCATCACCCGCCGGCCAACTCTGAGAGTTGGCTCAATGCACAACACAAGCCTTACGACATGCTCGCACCTGGTGCTGCGCTCAATGATATGAATGCACGCGTTTTGAATAGCGTTGCTGATATTATTAATTCCATTGGCCCTGAATTTGAGACTAAGCAGTTTTATTTATGGCTACGGAAATCTTTCACTCTTGCTACAACAGGTGCTCTTTTCGGTGCCCAGAATCCTCTCATAGACGACCCTCAATTAAATGACAGCCTTTGGTAAGTATTACACGCACTAACCTTTAATGCATGTCTTTTTTTAACACACGAACTAGGGACTATGAAGGTGGCCAAGCTGACCTGTTAATGAAACCATTTCCTTCTCTGACAGCCCCAAAACCCTTCAGAGGGCGAGCTGCAATTCAGAAAGCTCTACGAGCATACTTTCGTGCGGGCCATGATCAAGACTCTGATGTCAGTCTAGTGATTAAAGGTCGTGTGGCAATCAACAGGAAATGGGGCCTACCTATTGACGATATTGCCGACCACGAACTTGGAATGCTCTTTGTGAGCGTTACGAATGCTATTCCAACGCTCTTCTGGATGATATTCTATGTGTTCCATGACAACCAGCTAGTTGCAGACCTTCAAAATGAACTTCTTGGATGTTTAGAAGAAAGGGAGGATTCTAATGGCCAGCGAGAGTGTGTATTCTCTGTTGCAAAGTTTTCAGCAGAATGCCCTCTTCTCGTTTCAACTTACCAAGAGGTTATGCGCATGACAAATAGGCAATTGGGCACGCGCACGGTTATAGAAGACACTTATCTGAGCCACTCATCTGTTGGGGACGCGGCCGGCACGCCAACAACGTATCTCCTCAAAAAGGGTACACACATTCAAATGCCTTCTATGATAACAGCTTACGCACCGGCAACATGGGGAGAAGACGTTCTTAACTTCAACCCAAGGCGTTTCATAACGACCAGAGAGAAAGAGCGGCTACAGAACAGGGCGTTTAACCCCTTTGGCGGTGGTAAACATCTTTGTCCGGGGCGCCACTTCGCATACGCAGAGATCTTAGGTACCGTGGCAGCGCTTGTACTAGGTTTTGAAATTGTGACCCCCGAGGGTGCCCAAGTTAGCTTGCCACCGATTTATAATAGCTTGGTAGAGGCAGTAGGGAAGCCGTTGCCAGCTGTGCAGCAGAACTTGTTAGCAAATATCAGGCGGCGACCTGGTTGGGAGGGGGTTAAGTGGCGGTTTGTGGCTGGGAATGGCACGACAGACTCATAGGTTTTCTGCCTAATTCTTGCCATCAAATAATAGTAAATCCATTACTCGCTGGGTATTTTTTGGTCTAAGATCTGTTGCCCACGTCTATATATCGGGGATGGTGGTAGGGTGGCATAAAGCAGCGCTGAGAGCTGCTGAGTTTATCAACCCAAACACCACCCCTTGTACACCCTAAATTTGTAATAGAACATACGGGAAAGATAAAGGACATATGGAGTCAGGTTAAATATGTCCCTTTAATTTACTAGCCCTAGGATTGTAAAATTCGTTTGTTCAATATATTAAGAATTGGTTTTTATCAAGTAGTTTGCTAGAACCATAGAAAACGTCTAACAGTGGCTATCTTTGGGCTGAGTGCAAAGTAATGAGGGAAGGGGGAGGGCGACATGGATGGAAAGGGCGACAATACGATTCTCAGAACTACGGGTGCTGTAGTGTAATTGTAAGGCGGCCCATCACGTGGGGCCGTCCTGAACTCAGGGGCTGCCCGGCAGTGGAGTATGAAGGAACGTAGGATATAAGGAGCTGGAAGCCTCAGAAGGAGGCCTCCAGCCGATAGTCGCTGTACATACGTAGACCTACTGTCTTGCAATACGATCTCACTTCCTGCCTTCTGACCTGGTTCCCTGGACTCCCGTGAGGCCCTAGGTACTACGCTTTACACCCAGAAGGATCTCTCAATTGGAGTTGAGCAGGAAGACCCAACTATGGCACCGATTTTTGAGAGTGAGCTTGAGCCTGAAGCTCTAATTAACCCACAGCTCCGCCAAGGGCCAGAGCTAGAAGCATGACGCCACCAATACAATACAGCGCACTGGCGATGCCTTTGGCTTTATATGTGTTCCTCGCCAAGTACCGCCTCAGTTTAATATTGGCCAACTCCTGATCCTCCCCGCTCTCGTCCGCCGTTAGGTGGTTTGGATCAAGTAGCTTACTTTCCCAGTAGAACGCCCACGCCTTAAAAATTGACCTGTGAATATCTAGCTGGTGTGTTGCCAGGGTAACATTCGTTGTCGAGTCCTTGGTTTCGGAGTAGAGATTATAGCAAGCCGAGTAAAGGCTTATTATGCCAACAACTAACCCAGCAACTTCCAAGGTTGCCTGTTGTAATGAATTACAGAGAGTTAAAATACGGCCAGCAGTTTTTAACGAAAACGTTTAGGTATTTCTAATAAAGAGGGAACCAATTGAGGAGAGAGTTCCATCTACGTATTATATATCTCAACCCCTCATTCCTCCTCTGTAGTACAAGGCTACGCACGACACGCACGACACCCAGGAGGATGCATTGGTACCCGAACTTTGGTTATGGAGCACTAAGGACTCCTGGATGGTTTGCCTCACCCTGCTCGTTTACTAGCTTACCCCTGCTCACCTTCACCAGAGAAAGACCTAAGCCTTGAACTGCACCCGCTGATTCCACGAACTCTAACGTATAGGATGGAAAAAAGCGGCGGTATGGGATTTATAAAAATGAGAGAGCAGCCTACATACATATCAACCCCTACAACTCACTGTCATCACACCCACGCAACGGGCTTCATGCATAAGCATAAGGAGGAACCAGTCATCACCACCACACTCCACACTACCAGCCATCGTAGCCAAATCCCTTTCCTCTCGTGGCCGCGGCGCCCAGCCCCCTTACACCTGCAGTACCATTTCTCTACAGCCACACTCCCCGACCACTTAAAAAAGGCCAAAAAAAAACATACAACAGTGGGTATTCGCTGGTGGTCACCCACCCAACTACTAATCCACCGATCTCAAGCTTGAAGTGGATTAATACTCAAGACAGTGCCATTTGGACTAGCAGGTGAGCGTTGCTGCCTTAAGATTTTGATGCCCTCACGACCGTCATCGCGAGCCGAGAGTGAGAACGAACTCCACATTATCTCCAAATCCGAAACGGAAGCTTGTCTGGTCTCACAAAGGAAGCAAGTGAAAGTATGGAAAGAGCAGCAAAGCGCCTTTACTAGAGATAGGTAAGACGGGGGCAGAGCGTCACTTCGTAGCCATCTTCGCCACTCCAAATCACGTGAGCTTCATAATGTAGTTCTAGAAAAGCTTCCAGACCATTTGTAAGGGTAGCATAAAAATCACGTTGTAGTTGTATCGTCGTACTGCTTTGCTTCATTATTAATGGTGATCCAGGCGCCTCTTTAAAATGACGACATCCATCAGCTACCAGCCTATGTGCTAGCCGTGTATCGATACCTCCATTGCAAGCGAAGTATGCGCCATACTGAAAGTACTCTTTGTACCATTGCCGTCAAATTTTGCTGATCTAGTGCTTAATAACTGACCGTCGTAGAATTTCGCTGTTTCCCCGTACCAAGAATTCGTTTGGTTGGACTTCTTGGTGCTTCCTGATGCCTGTTGGCACAGTACAATATGTGATACATGGATGCGCGCATTCCGTTCGTCAGCTGCAATCCCTAGCCATATTACAGTCGCCTCCTATAACCAACGGCACGCTACTGTGGTTGTTGATGTTGGTTTAGTGGACCATGGCTCTCGAAAGAGCAGATTAACCCATTCTTAACATCATATCCACAACCCGAATCTATTTCCGATCACTAATCCCTTCCGTCGTCATCCTAAAGTATCCAATAGATTCACGATCTAGGAGATATCAACCCACTGTCCCGCCGGCATGGCATCATCTGTTTCTGGATAAGTGCGTTAGTTAACCGAAAGACGTGGTACTCACTTGGACCGAAACGCGCATCATCTCCACCAACTCCGTGTAAGGCTGGGATTTACTGAGAGGCCTACATTTGTAAGTGTTTACGTGAGAGAGATGTATATATATTAGACTCTTGACTGTCTCGTGGGTATTTTCTTTTCCATTCCAAGATCGCTGTAATTCCCTCTCGTGGTCTCTTTCACTGACCTTCCTATCGGTGGCACTTGCTACATCCCCACCTGAAGGAATTTATTACTTCTAGTATACACATTAATCAGATGCTTGTCATGTCGGACCTGATACGAGAGGCCCCTTTAGGTCAGCTCCTAAGATATGTCACTAAAAACCGACTCTTCCCATACCCCGAAGAGCTCCCTGGCTATGAGATCCCAGAAGCTTACAAAGCCCTCCTCAAGCCGGAGAAGAAGCCAATCGAGCGTCCCCTCAGTCAAGAGCAACCGAACGAGGAGATCGTCTTGCAGAGCGATGAGCCATACGCAACTCCAGACCCCGAACTGTACAATCAGGACATTGAACACCAAAGCAGCCTCTCCCGCCATACTACCCAACAGTTGACCCAGGAACGCCTAGAGACTGAGATCCAGGACGCTGTCGAGCGCACCACTAGCAAGCCTATATACCCAGCTAAGACGGCTGACGGAATAGTACTTGTTGACTGGTATTCTACAGACGATCCTGCGAACCCACAGAACTGGTCCGTAGGCAAGAAGTCATGGGTTGGCTTCCTCATATGTCTTTACACTTTTGTTGTGTACTCTGGGTCTGCCATCTACACTTCGAGTATCCCACAGGTCATTGAAAAGTTCCATATTACGGCTGTTGAGGCCTCGCTGCCTTTAGCACTATATGTCCTTGCTTATGGCATAGGACCTCTCATCTTCTCGCCCCTTAGCGAAATCCCGAGAATCGGTCGGTCACCAGTGTATATTATCAGCATGATACTTTTCACTATCATTTCGCTTCCTACGGCGCTTGTTAACAACTTTGCCGGTCTCCTCGTCCTTCGGTTCCTACAGGGTTTCTTCGGCTCCCCATGCTTAGCGACGGGAGCCGCAACAATGAGCGATATGGTATCTATGTTATACCTACCTTATGCGCTCATTGCGTGGGTTAGTGCAGCATATTGCGGGCCCGCGTTAGGCCCTCTTTTAAGCGGCTTCGCCGTAGAAGCTAAGGGCTGGAGGTGGTCATTATGGATAATATTGTGGGCCGCCTGCCCAGTAGTGATTCTCATGTTCACTGTGCTTCCCGAGACAAGCACGCCAAACATCCTCCTGCGTAGAGCTAAGCGCCTGCGCAAACTCACTAGCGAGTCTCGGCTTATGTCACAAAGCGAGATTGATCAGGCTAAACTTAGCACTCGCGAGGTCGCCGTGGACGCCTTAATTAAACCAATGGAGATTACCATCAAGGACCCGGCTATTCTGTTTGTAAACGTTTATACTGCTATCATTTATGGGATTTACTACAGCTTTTTTGAAGTTTTCCCCTTAGTTTATCCGGTTTTCTACGGTTTTACCATTGGCACCATCGGCGTCTTATTTACATGTATCCTTATTGCGTGTCTCATTGGTGTCTTGGTTTACTCAGCCTACCTACACTTTTATATGATCCCTGATATCCTGAAGAACGGTCTCCGGGCGCAGGAGCACCGTCTCGTGCCGGCTCTTTTCGCGTGCTTCGGCCCCACTGTGGGTCTATTCATGTTTGCAGTGTGTCCTCCTCATGTCAGCAACCGAATCACAAGCTAATTCGTTTAGTGGACCGCGCGGCCAAGCATAAGTTGGGTTGTCCCAACCATAGGCATCGTTATCTACGCCGCTACCGTCTTCGTCGTTATGCAGTGCATCTTCACCTATGTCCCGATATCGTACCCCCAGTACGCAGCTAGCCTTTTCGCTGCTAATGACTTCCTGCGCAGCGCGTCCGCGTGTGCGTCAATCTTATACGCGCATCCGTTGTACAAGAACCTCGGAATCGGTAGGGGGACGAGCGTTTTAGGTGGGCTGAGTGTGATTGGGATTGTGGGTATGTTTTTGCTCTGGATCTTCGGCGCAAAGCTGAGGGCTAGGTCGAAGTTTGCGCTTCACTAAACTAGCTTGTTGGGTGTACGAGAGAGGGTTGTGTATAGATTGGAGTGAGAAGAAAGATATATTAACGGTACCTTCGACGAGACTTCCCTCGCTTGCTCATCCGGACAAGGCAGCCAGCCAAAGCAATGGTGCTCGTCCACTTGGGCCGGATGCTGACGGGTATACGCCTCCAGCAGACAATTGAGGTGAGGCAACAGGTCGTCCCTTGTTAATGGAGCGGCACGACATTGCCACGAAATTGACACGAAAAACGTTGCATCTTCTCGCCCTGCTCACCCTGCTCACCCGCTCTTCACCCCAAGATCACCCTTGAGGCGGCAAGGGGCTCAGATTCCAGGCTATGCCTATTGGCACGATTGAGAGTATTAATCCACTGGATTACAAGCTTGTGTATGGCACAGCGGACGGGATGTCCAATTATCTTGAGTCTATGGTCGTATGTGAAAGGCTCTCTTGTAAAGCAGTATATGTAGCGTCACTTACACTATTGCGATTGCATCTACGCGTTGCGTGGGTTTCTTACGCTAAAGCGAAATTATCACTTTCGGCACGCGAAGTGCAGTAGCCAGGAGTAGCAATAGCCAGGAGTAGCAACGTAGAATAATTTCAGGAAATATGATGTTAGAACCTTGATAGCGTGAGACATCCCTTTGAGTCTAACAACTAAGTAGGGGGCCCAACCCTAGAGCGAAAGTAGCTAGGTAAATCCGATGCTCTATAAACTTGCGGTTTAAGTATTTACCTTACGTTGCCAGAACTTAAATACTAGAGTGGATACTTATCCACCGATCTCATGCTTTTTACGTCGGTTGGTGACATCTCGGCCTCACCCAAACCCATTTTTGTAAGGAACGGCCGATAAAAATTATTCGAACATTATTAACACAGCTATTGCCGGAGCATCCACAAGTGATTATTACAGGGTGTTCATCCTCGTCTTTCTAAAAAGCTTCAAACAGTTGTCTCGTCTGTATATCTATCCAAGTTCGAACCATAATACAAAACTAATTTGTATTCCCTTCCCATTCTGCTGCCGTTGTCCATAAGCCTTGCCAGTATTGTGGATCTAGACCTAGAGATAAGCGAAATTCTGCATTCGGTCCCCTCTGATCATTACTGCTCCAAACTATGTTATTGCTTGTATTGTTGTCTAGTCCGAGATTGTGGAATTGCTCATTTGTTTGAAGATTGAACGGTGATGTTATTCCTTGTTGATCCGAGGGAAGAGTAGATTGCGTGACTGTTTGTTGATTGTAGAATCGTATCTGGGTGGATGGTTCTAATGCATTATAGGTAGATGTATTGCCGGGGACTACCTTTGTCTGTAGATGCCTGTCCCAAGCATTATATAGAGGAACGTCAGGTGGTGGAGGGACGTTGTTTGGTGGAGGGGTTTGGTAGAAAGCGTGATTCTGGAGAGCCTTCCAGGCAACCTGATAGAAAACTTTGGCAATTCGAAAAGAGATGGAGTGTGTGTAATTTGGATAGTATTTTTTGAAAAGGGAAACAATCCTCCCTAGCAGGTTAAGATCCTCCCGAGCACTAATAGTTCCCTTGTTCTGCAGGATGTTGATAAAGATGATATCGAGACTCCAGGATATATTATTCAAGAGAAACCTTAAAGATACATTAGTGTGTAATTTCGATAAATAGTAAGTTCAAACATACATGCTGAATGGGTGGCGATCTTCATGAAAATCGAGTAAGGACACCGTTGCCCTCGCGGCTCCTACGCAAAGAGCAACACTTGACAATATGTTCCCAAAGTTGTCATCCGACTCGACCAAATTCGAACATTGAAAGATAAATGAATGGACCACGATTATTAACTGGTAATAATTGTAATGCATCATGGTGAGAGACATTAATCCGAAATCTTTCTCATCTTGCTCTGGCCTATCAGACTTTGTAATCTCCGGAATGTGTAGTTTCCAGTTGTAGAGCTCGAAATCGAGGTCAGAAATGATTTTTACGACCTCGTCATCGCGCCTCGTGACAGCATCTTTGGCGTAGAGAAGTGAATAAGCCTTTCTCTTTATCAGGGCTAAGCTTACGTGCTCTCGCAAGATATTAAGAGTAACGCCGTTGTCGAACGACACCGTCCCTGTTCCATCCTCTGGCAGATCATCCCGCAAGTCGATTATGAAGTCGGGCCCAATCATCGGTGGTTTTCCAATCTGCAAAGCCAGGTCATGATCAAAAACAAAGGCTTGCCAAAATAATCGTCTTTCGAGAAGTTTATCCTCATCGGTTTGGCCAGGCCGTCTTCTCGGATTGTCGTAACCGCACAAGATCATTGACTGTATCGCAGCTGCCAGAATCATTATAGCAGTCTGATTCTCACAGAGAAGCATGAAGTATGCCGTCTAAATGAATTAGCGTAGCCCCTTTCATTATTTAAGCGGTGTAAAAGTTACCATTGATAACATTGCGCCTGTATTGAGTTGGTTCGGTTTCGACATCATGATAGATGGGATCATGCTCATCGCGTTTCCTATATACTTCTCACTTTCAACCGAGTTCTCCATGTCGCTACGCTTCCGGAGAGCATGCCCCAGGATTACATTAATTGCGGTGAACCAGCCCCGGGATGGTGATATTCCTGTCGAGTAATACCTTTCGATACCATCCATAATCTCCTGGTCATCGAATAAGCATATATGTTGGTTCAGTATCACGAGGTATTCTGTACAGCTTTTGTAAGCTTCTGGGCTACTCTAGCGTGATCTACATAGTTACCATTTGCACAATCAATCGTTACTGATTTGCTCGGAAGTGGGTGGATAGCAGAAATGCCCACATTGCCACGATTATGTGGCAGCGACGTCGGTGTCAGGGAGGCGGCCACTGCCCGACCGAAACAATCATCCCCAACTAATTCATTGACCCATAGGATACCTTGGAGGGAAAATATGAAAGACGGACCTAGACCGTTAATTTGAGGGAAGCAGTTAGACTGGTTGCCATACCTGTATACTCAATCTCTAGTTCATTGTCGACGACGGCGGCTCCATTATGGTTAAGAGGAGGTTCAAATCCAGTTAGGGCTGACTGGCTGTTTTCTGGCACTTGACCAGCAGCCGGACCTACGAATTCGTCACTCTCAAAGACTGGCTCGAAGAGACGATTTGGCGAAGTTCCCTCTGACATTAGCGCCATATGCAAGTTGGGTTCCGCCTCGACTTCGTTACTTGGCGGTGTTGAGACCTTGCTTCTCGAGAACTCCTTTACGACGCCCTCCATCTTTGCTAAGCGCTCCACCATGTCCTTGTAAGTACTAGCAGTTGGCTAAAGTTAATATAGATCGACGCCGACGAGGCTAGATAACTTACGAGCGGCGTACGGCCCTCTTCCGTAATGCTTCATACCTACAGCCCTCGGGATTCTTTGAACAACCAGTACAGTTTGGCAATATTCGATCACATTTGACCTCATGAACTTAGCAGTTGCCAAGGACGTAGATGTTGCACAACATACCTTTCGTGCCCGACAAATGGTGCATGCCCATTGTGCAACCGGTTGTTCCCCAGTGTCCCCCTTAGGGGAAGCCCGGGGGGAAGCCGAAGCGCGAGCCTCACTCATTGGAATGATTGGGAAAATAGAGTTTCGCGGATGAAACTTTGGCTAGGAGAAGACAACGTGAGGAATCTTAGATGATTCTCGGGAATCGGTGGCACTGTTCCTGTAATAATCTCGGTCACGGATTAACAGTGTCTCCGAATACCGAAGCTAGGCACTTTGTGTGTGCCTAGGATCGCTAGGATTGCATTACAACAAATCATCGCCCGTTAACTTGATAACTTTATTTACTTTGTTCTATAAACCGGAACCCAACCTAGTTCAAACCTCCGACGTCCGAGACCGCAAAACATTTCAACAGTTAGGAAATGATGGGAACGAGGTTGATACTCCACTCTAGAACCGTCTCTTCCTATGAGTCGTGGCGGCCAAAATACGTACCCCGAATGCCGAACTGGAGAACATCCCGGGTCCTCTAGTACCCGGTCCTGGTTCAAGCAGCCCACATCTCGATAGACATAATACTATAATGTAGTCGCCAACACCAAAGGTATTCCCTAGTTCGGAATATGGGCCGGGCCCGGCGGAAATGTAGGGCTATTTTAGGGGTAATGGATGCGCGTCCCGTTTGCTTGATTCTAAACTCGGGCTTCGGTCCAACATCCTTACGTGGCCAGCTGTGGGGTGCTTCCTGTACCCTTTCTTATATACCCATCACTCCTATTGCAAACTCTCTCTGCTCTGTTATTACAATCCACTACAATTCCTGGCCAAGCCAAGTTAGATACAACTAGGCGTGATGGCCTTTATGGATAGCAATCTCTTCGGGAGCAACGATCACACTGCCAGAACACCCGATGTTATCAATCCTCACCACAATGCAGTAGGTGACAACAATTCACACCCGGCTATTGTACCCTTAGGCGCCGACGCTACACCTACACCTTACGACAATAGCTTTATCAAATCTAGTGCTATTTCAGTCGCTGAGTTTGGTGGTAGTGACACTGATACTGTCACTCAAGACAAGGAGATGGCAACGGACGCTGATGCTGCCCGAATGGATGGCGGCAACGATTTAAAGCAAGAGCGGAAGCAAGATGAAGAAATACAGGCCCTCGCACGTACATATACCACACAGTCCCGAGTTTCTGGCGCCGAGCCTTTCGGCAGAGCGCTCACGGCTCACACGAATCCCGACTCGCCGCTGAACCCTAATAGTCCAAACTTCAACGCTCGCGCTTGGGCAAAATCCATTGTCGAACAGGTAGCCGCCGAAGGAACCGGATTTCGATCCAGTGGCGTCTGTTTTCAGAACCTAAATGTGTACGGATTTGGCGCTGGAACCGACTACCAGAAGGACGTTGCCAATGTTTGGTTAGAAGCTGCTGGTGCGGTGCGTCGGGCCTTTGGCTACGGCAGAAAGCGCCGCATCGACATCTTGCGCGACTTTGACGGCGTTGTCCATAATGGCGAAATGCTTATTGTTCTGGGCCCTCCGGGATCTGGTTGCAGCACTTTACTCAAGACGATTGCGGGCGAGACGAACGGTCTATATGTGGATGATGATGCCTATTTCAACTACCAGGGTTTGACCGCCACGGAGATCCACACTGCGCATCGTGGTGAGGCCATCTACACTGCTGAAGTGGATGTACACTTTCCCATGCTTACTGTGGGTGAAACGCTTACCTTCGCATCTCGTGCCCGAGCCCCACGGAGTCTGCCACAGAATGTATCTCACGCTATGTTCTCGGACCACTTGAGGGATGTTGTAATGGCAATGTTTGGTATCAGCCACACGCGGAATACCAGAGTAGGAAATGAGTACGTTCGTGGTGTCTCTGGTGGCGAAAGAAAACGTGTCACCATTTCCGAGGCTGCCCTTTCTGGTGCACCTTTTCAATGTTGGGATAACTCTACTCGAGGTTTGGATAGTGCTAATGCTATTGAATTCTGCAAGACGCTGAAGCTTCAGGCGGATCTTTTCCAGACCACCTGCGTCGTCTCAATCTACCAAGCTCCTCAGAGTGCATACGACCTCTTCGACAAAGCTCTTGTTCTTTACGAGGGTCGCCAAATCTTTTTCGGCCGTGCCGATTCTGCCAGGCAGTATTTCATCGATTTGGGGTTCGAGTGTCTTGCCCGCCAGACAACCCCGGACTTCTTGACATCCATGACCAGCCCTCTGGAACGCAGCGTCAGAGCTGGTTTCGAGAACAGGGTGCCTCGAACCCCAGATGAGTTTGCAACGGCGTGGAAGAACAGCGCCGCGCACAACGCTGTACAGGCAGAAATTGAGGAGTACAAGATCGCTCATTCCATCAATGGCCCTGACGCCGAAGCCTTCCGCGCTCACAAACGAGCTCAGCAGGCGAAGTCTCAACGTGCCAAGTCTCCATTCACATTGTCCTATTTTGGGCAGGTGCGGCTGTGCCTTTGGCGTGCATATCGACGACTTATCGGTGACCCGTCCATTACAGTCGGTCAGCTCATTGCTAATATTATCATGGGCTTAATCATAACCTCAATCTTCTTTAACTTGCAACTTACTACGGGCAGTTTCTTCCAACGTTCTGCTTTAATCTTCTTCGCTATTCTTATGAATGCCTTTAGCTCGGCTCTAGAAATCCTGACTCTCTACGCACAACGACCTATTGTCGAGAAGCATGCTCGATACGCCTTTTATCATCCCTCTGCGGAGGCATTCGCGTCGATGTTGATAGACATGCCGTATAAGACTGTCAACAGCATTGTCTTCAATCTTGTACTCTGTAAGTTGCCCCAACCGAGGAAAGCACCCAGAGGCCCCTTCTACCCTTTTGTTGAGGTCAATCTAAAAACTCACTTCCTCGCGCGTTTAAAAATGGGATATTAACATCAAACTTAGACTTCATGTCCAACCTACGACGCGAACCCGGGGCGTTCTTCTTCTTTCTGTTCGTTTCTTACCTGACTGTTCTTACGATGTCCGGAATTTTCCGGACTATCGCTGCATCGTCTCGAACACTATCGCAAGCCATGGTACCGGCGGCTGTATTGATTCTGGGCCTGGTCATGTTCGCTGGATTCGCCATTCCTATCGACTACATGTTAGGTTGGAGCAGATGGATGAACTACATTGACCCTGTGGCATATGGCTTCGAGGCTCTTATGATTAATGAGGTACGGGCTAATCATGCTTTTCTATAGTATTACGGTTCATGACAGAAGGCTAACAATGCTTTAGTTCCATGGCGTTGATTATTTGTGCACGTCATACGTCCCGAGCGCTTTGGTTGCTGGGTATGAAAACGTCACCCAGGCCAATCGAGTATGTTCAGCTGTAGGTTCTGTTGCGGGAAGCGACTATGTGTCGGGAACATCCTTTATTGGCTCCAGCTTCCAGTACCAAAGAGGTCATAAATGGCGGAACGTTGGAATTCTTATTGGGTTTCTTATGTACGTCTTCATTGCTCCGTGTCTATGCATATGTACAAACACTAACGGCCATAGCTTCTTCAACGGCTTGTATGTGCTTATGACCGAGATAGTCACTGCTAAGAAATCCAAGGGTGAGGTGCTCGTCTTCCGCAGAGGGCACAAACCCAGCCAGTTTAAGGATGGCAAAGGTGACTCCGAATCGGGAACGCCGACTTCATCTGGAACCTCGGTAATTGCTACGAAGATCGGCCGCCCTGCCAATACATCAGACAAGGAGTCCACATTGATTCAGAAGCAGACAAATGTTTTCCATTGGAGGTAAGTAAAATACATGTGCCTAGCAGACATGATCTAACAAAAACCCTTCTAGCAATGTATGCTACGATGTGAAGATCAAGAGCGAGACTCGCCGTATCCTCGACCACGTTGATGGCTGGGTCAAACCCGGAACCCTTACGGCACTAATGGGTGTCTCTGGCGCTGGGAAAACGACTTTGCTTGACTGCTTGGCTGATCGGACCTCGATGGGAGTTATTACTGGCGAGATGCTTGTTAATGGCAATTTTCGTGACGCTTCATTCCAGAGAAATACGGGATACGTTCAGCAACAAGATCTGCATCTCGAAACCACTACCGTCAGAGAGGCATTGAACTTCAGTGCGCTCTTGCGCCAACCGGCCCATGTCCCACGAAAAGAGAAACTCGCTTATGTCGACGAAGTTATTAAGCTCCTGGATATGGATGAATATGCCGACGCCGTCGTTGGTATTCTCGGTGAAGGTCTTAATGTCGAACAGCGAAAGCGTTTAACGATTGGCGTCGAACTCGCGGCTAAACCACCTTTGTTGCTCTTTGTCGATGAACCCACATCTGGTCTTGACAGCCAGACATCATGGGCTATCCTCGACCTCCTAGAGAAGCTTACAAAGTCCGGACAGGCTATCTTATGTACAATCCATCAACCATCGGCTATGCTGTTTCAGCGATTTGATCGCTTGCTCTTCTTAGCCAAAGGCGGAAGGACGGTTTACTTTGGAGATATTGGAAAGAACTCGAAGACTATGACAGACTACTTTGAACACAATGGCGCTCCGTTGTGCCCACCAGATGCAAACCCCGCAGAGTGGATGCTAGAATCTGTTATTACTGCCACTGATGTAGATTGGCATAAGGCCTGGCGAGAGAGCCCCGAATTTGACGCCGTCCAAGCCGAACTCAGCCAACTCAAAAGCCACGCCAGAGATATCCCAACGCCAGGCGATGAACATGAAAACGCTGGTTTTCAAGAATTCGCAGCTCCATTTTCGGTTCAGCTATACGAAGTTACACACCGTGTCTTCCAGCAGTACTGGCGGACACCTTCCTATGTCTACTCTAAGGCTGCTCTGTGCACTCTCATCGCTCTGTTTATTGGCTTCGCATTCTTCAATGCTCCGAATTCTATACAGGGCCTACAGAATCAGACTTTTTCTGTATTCAACCTGTTGACTATCTTCGGCCAGCTCGTCCAGCAAACGATGCCATACTTTGTTGTACAGCGCTCTCTCTACGAGGTTCGTGAGCGTCCATCCAAGGTATATTCTTGGAAGGCCTTCATGCTTTCTCAAATCATCGTTGAGATCCCTTGGAATACCCTAATGTCGCTGATCATGTTCCTATGCTTCTACTACCCGATCGGCCTATACAAAAATGCCGAGGTAGCAGGTCAAACTCACGAACGCGGTATTCTCATGTTCCTCCTACTATGGGCCTTTCTGATGTTTACCTGCACATTTACCGACATGATCATCGCCGGGTTCGAAACTGCTGAGGGCGGAGGCAATGTCGCTAACCTACTCTTTATGCTCTGTTTGGTATTCTGTGGCATCCTCGCCAACCCCGACTCATTCCCGCGTTTCTGGATCTTCATGTACCGTGTCTCACCATTTACCTACTTAACTTCAGCCATGATTTCAGTCGCTGTCGCAAATACGAAAGTGGTTTGTGCTAGCAATGAGTTTCTCCACTTCGTTCCAGTCGCTGGCAAGACCTGCGGGGAGTATATGAAGGGATACATCAAGGAAATGGGTGGGTATCTTACAGACCCTAGCGCTACTGATACTTGCTCGTTCTGTGCGATAGAGGACACCAACAAATACCTTGCCGGCTCTCATATCTACTACTCCCAGCGCTGGAGGAACTTCGGTATCGTCCTCTCGTACATTGTTTTCAACATTGCTGGTGCGCTGTTCATCTACTGGCTTGCCAGAGTACCCAAGACGAAGCTTGGTGGCAAAAAGAAGACGGAGTGAACTTCTCAGCGAGAATGAGGGAAGATGTTACGTTCTAGAAGGTAGAGGGGACGTTTGCGCCGCGCTTGGTCATCTGATCTTAGCTTCCCTCCCCGACAATAACAACTAAAGTCGACTTTCTTTTTCAACACTAGATTTATTCACAGAGAGCCCACGGCTCAAGATTTTCTTTATTTGCTCATCTAGATTCAGTCCATTCATAGAGTATAGGGGTTTTTATTAATAGATATTTATATTTTGAATTTGCAACTCCAACCCCGCGAAAATAGCATACTGTTAGTTCATGGTTTGCAACGAAAACCATGACCCGGACTCGTATGAACTAATAACTAGTTCTATTGGCAGAAAATGCCTCTCGTGCATGCAGGGTGCCATATCTGTATGAGTTTGGGTCAGAATGGATGTTTTGACGGCGCAATCCAAATATGACCTCCTAATTCATCAAAGAGTTGCGTGGGAATCGGGTGAGTTTGGGTGGGTTTCACACGCTGGAATGGAATTATCACTTTCAGCACTCGAAGTGTAGCAGCTAGGAGTAGCAACGTAGAATAATTTCAGGAATATGATATCAGAATCTTGACAGCGTGAGACAACCCCTTTGCGTCTAACGATTAAGCTGGGTACCTAACCCTAGATCAAAAGCAGCTGGGTAGGTCCCACGCTCTGTATACTTGCGGTTTAAGTACTTACCTTACGTTGTAAGTATACTATCTGCCAAACACTAGTCAAGGCCTTTGAATTTATGTAACGGATCCTCCATTATTTGATTGATTATATTGCCCAATCACGTAATATTTAAAACAGCCCCCGAAATTTCCCCACTCAAACATCTTTTGCCTTTTCATCCATCGCCACCGTTCCCTCCTCGTTTATTAACTCATTTTTCTCCTTTATTTCCAGAGTCGCCTTCTCTTGCGCCTCCTTTCCGTCGAATAGATATGACAACTCCTCTAGCGTCGGGCCCGCCGTCTCGACAAAGAAAAAGTACACAACCAAGAAGATTATCGCCAGCCAGATATCATAATAGATATACAGCTTCCAGCTGATATTCTTCAAGCCAATGGGGTTGACATATCCAGAGAAGATACTAGAGACCTGAATCGTCAAGAGCACCAGCGACCAGGTCTTGGCACGCATGCGCAGTGACGAGATTTCTAGAGGGTACGTTACGATAAGATTCGTCCATGCGATCGTGTAGAACAGCTGGAAGAAGAAGATACAGGCGAGCACGAGACGTCCGCAGGCAAGGTTGCCCTTGTCGATGTACTGCTGGGATGCAATCGTCCAGACGATGAAGACAATGACGCAGCCGCCCGAGCCCGTAAGGAAGAATTTGCGCCGGCCCCAGCGGTTGATGAAGACGGTGACGCCAATAGAGACGACCCACTGCCACATCGTGACGCAGGCGTTGACGACAGTGATCTCGAATTCGGTCTTCAACCCAGTGTCTTTGAGGATTTGGGTCAGGTAGTTAGAAACCAGACTGTTACCGGCAGTTTGGGAGAAGACGGCAGTGCACATGCAGAGGGCAATGCGTTTCCAGTTTCCTGCAATGGTGTTAGATTTATGATCAGCAACAGGAAGAGAATGTGAAGAGAGGTAAAAGATTGGCGTATACCTTTCGAGCTGAAAAAATCTCTCCACGTCATGTTGCGCTCTTTATCATCTGTAATTGCCTGCTGTATCTCCTCCATCTCAAATGCTACAAGCGGTGAGGTCTCCTGTCCTTCGCCATGATACTTGATCAAGATCTTACGCGCCTCATCGGGCCGGCCTTTGGCCATCAGCCAGCGCGGAGATTCGGGACAGAACCAGATGAGAGCGACTTGATAAGCAGACGGCACGACTTGGATCAGTGTTGGTAGACGCCATGCCCACTGGCTAGGAATGCGGTAGGCGCCGAATGTAACCCAGGCACCGACTGCGTATCCGAGCACGATACCAGTGTTGTAAAAAGTTGTAACACCGACACGTTCTTTAACGTGGGAAAGTTCGGTGACGAGGACTGCAAGGAGTTAGGGATGGGAGTTTGGGATGGATGCAGGGAGAAGCATACCTGGGGCACCCATTTGGATGAATGATGAGCCAACGCCGACGACAATCTTACCGCCGATATACATGTCCAAAGAGGTAGCAAAGAATTCAACCAGGACACCAGCAATGATGATTATGCCACCGATGAATGTTGGCCATCTTCTGCCATAGACATCCTATCCAGTAGGTCAGCATGAAGGTATGGGTATATGCAAGCCTGGAAGATAACTTACAGACACCCAGTTAAAAAAAATGAAAGGAATCACGCCGCCGATAGCGGTCGAGGCTCCAAAGAATCCGAGTGCTGAGCCTTCTGGATGACCAAAGCGATCCTGCCACGTCCTAGCAATTGTTAGTACATTATATTACATGTAAAGCATTGGTGATCAGTGACTTACTGTAGGACTTGCATGCCATTTGTCATTGACTGCACAAAGTGTTAGCTCTGATAAGTTAGAAACAGACAGGAGAAGCCTACTCCATCGATACCAAGTGCCATACTCGAAAATAATGACGACGTAAGGAGGAAATATAGAAGAATTCCATTCTTGCGTTTATAAAAAGGCGGAATCGAGTCGATGTCAATAGGAGGCCTAATGGCATCAGCAGTATGCGCAGCAGCTGGCGCCATGACAAGTCAAGTGAAGCGATGAAGCAAAATGGCCAAAAGAATCGGTGTCTGAAGAATTGAACTTGGTCAAGGGCCGATGACTGAGGAATCCAGACGGCCGAAGACGAGGATCTTATGTTTATTAAATGAGTTGATGAACATCATGCTGCACGCGGCGGTTCCCAGTTTTTCTTTCGGCCTCGTGTCAAACCTAGGTCGAGGGTCCTTCTCCGCAGTGATCATGCACCCCGAGTATGCGGAACTAAACAAGGCCCACCATTCTAGAGCTAAAATTTGGTCAAATAAGCGGAAATGAGGGGTAGTTTGCCCGAGGCGTTGTGATGATCTCGGGGAAATAGAAAATTCCAACGTGGGGACTAGAGTTGTGGGGTTCTTTGGGAAGGAAGCTTGCGGATCTCCAAAACCAATCTTTAGGCCGTTTTGCCGAGACATCTAAGCCTCTGTATTCTCTAATTTACAGTATAATATTTATTAGATCCGTAGAGTGGAGAAAGGACGAGCTCAAAGTTAAAAACTCCGAGATCCATGAGCCATAATGAATGAATGGATTGAGGTTCAAGTAAAGTTTTGATGGTTTAGTTTGCCCGTTTAGTTTGCCCGTTAAGTTTGTCCGTAGAATTTGTCCGTTAAATTTCGCTTGGCATGTTTCGCCGGTGATCAGGTAAGGCTATTTCTAGAATCGAGAGGATAAACATGATTATGCAAGGTTATTTCCCCGACCTGTACCCCACACGCCTCTACCTGTTCCACAATCCATCCCAATCATCTCACGATCAACGTCGCCATTGATATCCATTTGGCACTATGTCCGGATTCTCGAAGCGTAATGTTTTTGTTATCGGCGATAAAGCATCCGGCGCTTCCTACGTCAAAGAAAATGCCGAGGACCAAGTCCTTGCATTTTATTTCAATCTCTCTTCTCGTTCCGTCTTCTTGCGACTACATCTTTTGGGACCCTGTGAACTGTAACGTCTAGCTCCTCAACTATGTCTCTCCCAACGGATTTTGAATGGGGGTTTGCCACAGCTGCCTATCAAATTGAAGGTGCTGTTGCTGAGGGAGGACGAGGACCGTCAATTTGGGATACCTTCTGCCATCTTGAACCATCAAAAACCAAAGGAGACAACGGCGATGTTGCTTGCGACCACTACCACCGATATAAGGAAGACTTTGGACTTCTATCGTCATACGGAGCAAAGGCATATCGCTTTTCCATTGCGTGGTCTAGAATCATCCCTCTGGGAGGACGCAACGACCCTGTTAACGAAGAAGGCATTGAGTTCTATAACAACCTAATCGACTCACTCCTAGAGCGAGGAATTACACCATGGGTTACTCTCCACCACTGGGATCTTCCGCAGGGCTTACATGACCGCTATGGAGGCTGGTTGAACCTGGAAGAGATCCAGCTAGATTTCGAACACTTCGCTCGTATCTGCTTCTCCCGCTTCGGTGACCGCGTACGGAGATGGATCACGCTGAATGAGCCATTCATCATTGCTATATACGTCAGTCTACCTTCAGGAATATTCAATTGTTGGTTACTGACAGACCCAGGGATACGCCACTGGTGGGAACGCCCCAGGACACGTCAGCAACACCGAGCCATGGACAGTCGGCAAATCACTGATCCTGAGCCATGCTCGCGCTGTTAGCGTGTACGAACGAGAGTTTCGGGCCACTCAAAAAGGTCAAATCGGGATTTCGCTGAACGGCGATTTCTATGAGCCTTGGGATGAGAACGATGATCGAGACAAAGCTGCTGCACAACGGCGCATGGAATTCCACGTTGGCTGGTTCGGAGACCCAATCTAGTAAGTGGCTACAGTCACCGACTATAGTTTAACTGAACTATTATCTAACACCCACAGCCTCGCGCAAGATTATCCGAAGGCCATGCGAGCGCAGCTCGGCTCCCGCCTCCCAGAGTTTACTGACGCCGAATTTGCACTGCTCCGCGAAACCAAAGATTTGGTTGACTTCTACGGCCAAAACTACTACACCGCCCAGTATGCGCGCCATCGCGAGGAACCCGCGCATCTAAACGACTACCTTGGCAATGTGACTGAGACGCAGACTAATAAACAAGGCGTTTCGATTGGTGCTGAGAGCGGAATACACTGGTTGCGCAGCTCGCCACCGCAGTTTCGAAAGTTCTTCAGCTGGATTTATGCGCGATATGGGAGGGCAATTTATGTCACCGAGAACGGATGCCCATGTCCTGGGGAAGATAAAATGACTAAAGAGGAGTCGGTAAATGATCAGTATAGAATTGATTACTTCGAGGCGCATTTGGATGCCATTTCGCAGGCGGTAAAAGAAGATGGGGTGGATATTAAGGGATATTTTGCTTGGTCGCTTTTTGATAATATGGGTATGTTGCTCTCCTCATTTACTTCCTTTCGGGGAGTATGGCTAACGGCATACAGAGTGGTCGGATGGCTATGGCGTTCGTTTCGGAGTCACCTATACGGATTATGAGACCTTAGAGAGGACGCCAAAGAGGTCGGCCACGTTCTTGAAGGAAACATTCAAGACCAGATTGGCGGGTGTGAATGGCCACGAGACAAATGGCCATGCAACAAACGGGCATAAGGTGAACGGTACGAAAGTTTAGGTTGAAAGTGCGAAACAGACGCACACATGGGCGCAAAATCTTCGATTATAGATTATCTGGGGACACGGAATATTAGAATAAGGAGGCATTAGACTTGCACATGTAAGCATAGGATAAAGCATCAAGAGATAGATGATGTGAATGTTATATAACATCTAGTTAAGGAGTTTAATGGTAAATTTGACAGCCTAGTTGCCGCAATTCTCATTTATGTACTACAAGGACTCCGAAACAACTTAGCCGTGATACTCATACATTAGATCCCCAACGCCACGCTCTACATTATATAATACAATCAAGCCGCTTATTCTTGTGACCACGATCCATCCCTTAAAGCGTCGCTCGCTCTACTGTCCAATCTCGCCAACACATCCAACAACACCAAGAACTCCGCCCTAGCCCTCGTAGCTAGCGGGGACTCTTTATGCATGTGCATCGCCTCCAGCAAAGTAGCCCCAATAAGGCGAATCTTCTCAACGCAGGACTCGCCGTTAACCTGCAACGCCCAAAATGGGGCCTGCCGCACTACACGCACCATATCGCGCGCAATCTCCGTCTCCCTCAGCGCGAGCGCAAGCGCTGTCGAGGCCTCCATACCCAGCCCTGCAACCTCAAGCTTCTGTAGCACTACCATGCGCAGGCAGTGGAAAGAGATTCGCAAGTTCACGCGCTGGATGCAGAATTCCTTCGGGCACCTTCCGGCCTCTTCGCTGGCGCTGGGTTCGAGCGACAGCCACGCTGGGAGAGCGTCCAGAATGGTCATGAAATCAATGTACAGCCGACTAATGGTGGCGCGGTCATCGACGCCTATGATAGCGCCGTTCCGTGGTTGCACACGCATGCGAACCTCAAGAAGGAGCGCGGAGGCGGCAGCCCAGAGGCGGAGGTTGAAATTAAACCCCGTTAGCACGCTGCGTGGTTCCGAATCCTCGGCTTGGGGGTCGAATACTGGATTGTCCACTTCGGTCGGATAGGCGACGGTGACCTCGGACACAAAATTCAGATGGTGTAGTGCAATAGGCAGCCCGTTCAGAATCGCCGCCGATTTGTCTCCAATGTACAGGATCCAGAAACATCGTCTCCTGAGCTCGGCCTCCGTGGGGTCGAGAGTTTGGTACGAAGCTTCAGAGTGCAGCTGCATTGTCTGTGCAAGGCGCGCAGCTTCGCCAAATATATGCCATGAGACACGAGATTTTCCGTCAGCGTGTAGGCAGTTCGAGTGAAAATAGCGCGTTGCGAGAGAGGTCGCAGAAGGATGGTCAAGGTCGCTCTCTAGGTAAAAATGCAGCGCCTTGCGCGACACGAGAAGGAAGGCCGAGGATATTAGGGGTCCTTCGGGGAATAATTGCGAAGGGATCATAAAGGCAGCTTCAGCGCAGGTGGCGGTCACTAATGCCAATTTTATGGCGAGAGTAGTGAAGTCGCGGAAGGTAGCTGTAGAAACATGGTTGCTCTCATAGGCGCCGGCGGTAGACCAGGAAGATACTGGACTGGAAACATCCACAGCACCATACGTGGCACACACGATATGGAGGTCGTTGCGCAGGTTGCGCTCGTCGACAATAGGGATAAGGGAGAAGAGGTACTCGAAGAAGAGATCGACACACTTCTTCGCAATGGTCTCGAAGGAGTACGATGGCAGGACGCGTGAGAGGGTGATCACGAGGTCTTGGTAGACGTCATATAGGGGTGGCAATGAAGCCGGGAGCGCAACTTGGGAGAGTGGACTCTGCACGTGGGCTCCCAGGACAGCGGTTCGCGATGAGGAGACAGTGCCATCAACCCAACTGTGGGGTGAGGAGGCAGGGCCCTGTGCGATGGGTGAGAGGTGAGTAGCAGGCAAAGTGTGCCTGTTGTCGTTATCTTCTTCTATAGCTTGAGATTCACCATAATCGTGATCGTCGAGCCCTGGCGTTGTGGGACTGTTTGGCGCAGCATCAGCGTTGTAGTACGGGTTTTCCCTCGCTCGGCTTCTCGGTTTCGGGCCCCGCCGTCTGGGCTGAGAGCTCCCTGCGCACTCAATGCCAGCAGCTAAACAGTTGGAACATGTCCCTGTTGGTATCGCAGCAGTGATTGAGTTTGTGTCCGTGTCCAGTTGTCTATAATCACACTGCTTATGTGAGAATAAACCATCGGAGGATTACTTTTAATGACTAACTTTAACTTTGCGCAAACGACATCTGGTGCATGCCAACTTGGATAGTTTCCTCGGCGTCGATTCCGATGATCTCTCCATCGCTGGGGATATTCATTTATGCCGTCATGTCTTCTCGGCCTATTGTGGTGTGATGATGTATAGCCGCGGCGTCTATGAGTTTGGCCGAGTGATCGCCAGCTAAGAAATAATAGTAAAACAAGCCTGGGGACTATGAGCCGTTGTTTTTCGATCTGTCGGGGAAATAGGCCCCTTATATGTCTATTACTCCGACAAAGCGAAAAGCACGGCTCGGGCAATACCCCGCTATCGGGGTAAAATTGCTGTGAAACAGGAAGGTGGGGTACTGCGGAGAAAATGTGGGAGTGGATCCGGCCATGGTTGACATTATGGAGGTGGGGAACTTCCCGCGTCTTTCCCCATGGACTACTCCACGTTTTGATGGTTTTAATTGTTTGGTTACTAGCCTGACATTGTTCTGCGTTTATTCTTACATATTCTGTGCTCGGAATTACGAAACTAAGCTGCAGATCCAGATGGCTGGTAAAAGCCAAGAGGTGGGATCTACAGAGGTCACCTAGTTGTAAAATTAGTTGGAAACTGTTTCCGAACTCACTCTGAGAATTGTATAAGGAGTAAGTCCAGCGCGCGAATAAGTCCCCCATCTCCTATCCTCACTATCACTTCTACTCATCCAATCCATCATGCTTCCCCCTACTCTCTCCAATGCAGCACTCCTGCTCCCCCTCATTCTGTCCGCCTCAGCTACACCCTTCGCGGCCTCAAGGTCCGCCAAGTCCCCTCCCAATTGTCGGTTCGCGCATGATTATACCCAGGCCTCGATTCTCAAGAACCCGGAGCCGTTTGCCCAAGACCTATTGTATTGGGAGGGTAAGTTCCATGCCGATAATGTCGGTTACAATGGCAACAACGGTATGACATTCGACGGCACGCTGCTCGACCAGGTCACGGGATTACCGACCAAGAAAAATGCATTTAGTGCTGCGAGCAAGGAGGTACAGCCCTTCAATTCCTTCTCAACATGGCATTTCGCTGATATAAGACCAACAGTCTCTCCAGTTCATGCTCTACGCGCACGCTATCTCTGGTTCCGCGGACGCGGCACGCTTCCTGTCCCCAGACAAGCCAAGCGCCGCACCTAAGATTGCAGCTGATATTCTCGAGGTGAAACTAAAAACGTATCTTAAGTTTAATGAGACGTATCCAGGTTTCGGAGGCCTTCTTCCTTGGTATGCAAATGCCGAAGGCAGCGACTCGATTGAACCGACTTGGGACTGGGTTAACAGGATTCCGGCTCTTGACAATGGGTGAGTGCAACTTTGTTTCCTCGGTGAATTAGATAGTAAAGACTGTTACTAATTACAAAATAGTGAATTGCTCTGGGCCGTCTATGGTGCCATCCAAGCAATGGAGAAGAGCAGTGAAAAATCGTTCCAGCAGCTCGCCCGCAAATGGCAGAAGTGGCTCGACTTCACAAAGACTACGCTGCCAATTGTATGATCTCCCTCGTCAACGATCCTGTATTTAACTCTTGCCTAACTTTATTAGATGTTTTACAACGGCGGCGGCCGCGTCTGCGCTTCCACCGCCATTGCCAACCAATCCCTGCCTGTCTCTCACCCCAACCAGACATACATCTGCGAGAACCCTACTTACATTCTCGATGATCCCTATGAAGGAGAGCTCGTGACGTGGTGGCTGCATTTCTTTGGCGGCTTTTCAAGCGCCGAAAAGTTGAAGCTATGGGAGGTGAAGCGCGCGAAGATGAAGAGTGTCGACTGGAAAGAAGGTAGCAAGGGCCCTGTGACTGTGCTCCAAGGGTACTGGTTTAGTGCACATGAGCCTTGGAAGGTGCTCGAGATGCCATACTTTGATGTCGATATCGTGAAGTAAGCTCGATTCCTCCTGTCCCCCGTCTATCCGCCATTACCACTCAGAAGTTGAGACGCTAATGATTATATTGCTCTGTAGGCAGGTATATCGCAACGGCGAGGTTGTCCGCACCTGCCATTCTGCAGCCAACAAGATTCCGGGAATGTACGCATCTGTCAACAACGCAACCGACCCCGTCACTGGCGAGATCCAGGGGTATATCTCTGCAACGGGAGTCCAGAGTGTGGCGTCTCAAAAAGTGACAGAGAGTTATATGATCACTCCCTACTCTTCGTATCCGGTGATGCTGTTCAGCAAGAAAGTAGGCTTGGCCTGGTGGCACAACATGGTGGGGTCGAAAAAGGGACAAAGTAAGTACTTAGCACGAGTCTGATGATTATTTCGATGGGAGATGAATGGGGGAAGGCTGACTGGAAATAGACCAATATGGTAGCACAGAGGGTTCGAGAATTGACGGCACCTTAGTCTCCTCTTTCGTGTCGTGGGATAGTAAGATTACGACAGTCGTTGCAATGCTCGGCGGCGTCCAGGACCTTGTCCGTGACCGCATGAGGAGTGAGGGCATTTATGATGAGTTCAAGAGTGTGCTCAAGGTATGTCTCATGTCTGTACTCCTTTCTTAAGAATATCTGCTGACAACAACGACAGCGCGAGTACAATATGGTGTTTAAGAATGTAAAGGGGAAGAATGTGGATTTCTGCTTGCCTACGGCTCAGATTCCAGACAAGGGACTGGTAGATTATACCAACTGTAACTAAAGATCTAAACCTATCGAACTTCCGTGTTAATGCGGAAAAAAGTAAGAAATTATCGTCGTTGTTGTTACATGTTGGGAGATGAGATGCAAGGGTTACTCTCATGCCCCGCTACTGCCGTGAAAGCGTATGGAGAGCGTGAAAAAACGATGGCTACTTCTGTGTTTGTCATTGCTGTAAGAGCATATAGGGGGGCGGGGCAGAAGGGTTACTCTCGTGCCACGCTACTGCTCTGAGAGCATATAGGGGCCGGAGGGATAAGGGTTCCTCCAAGAGCCACAGTAACTGTACTACGCCTAGACTTTTGTCTTTGGACAGTTCGAAGGCTTCGTACGGACCGTAGCACTCTCGTAAAGTTTAGCTGGCATTTGGACGAACTAGTACTATTATGACTAGTTATACAATATTTATTCCAACAGAATCCCTGGAGTCGTTTTCAGCCGCATCTATTTTTAGAGGCCGCGCAATTCCCCGCCAATGCCGAATCTGTCAGCGTTCTTAATTCTTTCCTCCTTCTTCACGACCGCCCTCTTGACGCCACCGTCTGTTTTTGGTCTGAGGGTGGTCTTTCCTTTCTCCAACTTCGAATTCCCACGTTATTGGGGTCCCCTGAATCCACCATCGAATCCGCCAGGTGAAATACCTCCATTAAGTCGCGTCAAGCCGATCCCCACACAATACAATTAGAATAATGGAGTCGGAAGACGACTCAATCAACGTATCGACAAAAAGCACGCTGGAAAAGACGGAAAAGACAGAAAAGACAGAAAAGACAGAAAAGACATATCTAGAAAGCGATCTCGGGTTGTCTAGGCTCGCGCTGGCGTCGGATAGCGTCACATTCACTCGACGCAAGGCCCATTATGTTCCCGCAAAGCAATCAAAGCTCAAGAACAGTCTACTCGTAGGCGTGGCATTTCTTGAGCTAGGCAACGCTGGAGACTTCGCCGCGAATGTATGGAACGACATTCCGGTACCGCATTTCGTCGTGGCACTAATGGCGGTTGGCGGTACCTTGGCGCTCTTCCTCTCCTATTTCGCCTTCAAAGATGCCAAGCTGGGCTGGTGCAATCTGGTTCACCTCCGAGAAGAACGACGCGATCTACAAAGGCAGAAAACACACGACCTTGAAGATGGGCAAATCATACAGGGTTTAGATGCACGGTTGAACGTCAGCTTTCGCGAAATAGGAACGGAATCGATCAGTCGCGTTGGCTTGGACGTTTGCATGGGGGTCGGAGGCATCATAATTGGCATTGGAACATTCCTGGCGATCGGCGGTGCAAATCGTCGTGTGTGGCATGCTAGCAATCTCATGTCTGGATACATCGGAAACGTTCCCCTGGCGCTCTATGCCTTGTTCAATGGGTCATGGTCTTGCTATGTCTGGATGAAAGCCCGTCAGCATGGCATTGCTGGAGCGACGGCGCTAGATATGGACATGGCGGCTGCCCTGCTGAAGCGTCGCATCTTCACCGTCCAGATGTACACTGCGATGGTTGGGGTGACTGGCATCGCTGCAGGAGCGGCATCGCTTATTTCCGCGACCATGTGGTGGGGCTATGTGATTTTGATTCCGGTAATCATATCATCCATCTCCTGCAACTATATCTGGCGAAAGAAGATAGCCTACGAGCGTCCGTTGGTTCAACAACGAACGCTGGGATTAAGCAAAATCTCCCTACTCAGAGAATTGGAATCCATCATAGCAGTTCAACGAATACTGAAGGAAACGCCTTCTGAGCCTCTCCACAAACTCGTCTCAGATTCGCAGTCGATCACCTCCGTCATCGAGTTCATCATAATGAACGACCTCTTCGAGGACTTCTGTGTTCGCCTCCTCGATGATACGCACCTCTCAGAGCTTTTTGGTATTCCAAATGAAGAGATTACAATCAATTCAGAGCTTCTTTTAACGGCCGATAATTCATATATTCCTCATATTCTAAAAATCGCGCAGACATGTGTCAGCGAGGTAGGACCAATACATTTCCAATACCGACAACGTTACCTCCTAGAAATTCTTGGATCTTATTTGTGCGTCTCGCAAGCTGGAACTTCAGAGACGACGACTTTAGAGAAGTGCTGAGAAATGTAATCTTTTATGGGTGGCAGGCCCACATTGAAGATTTGAGGTCTCACTCGGAGTGTATTATTTGTAATAAATGGGCGGCATCATCGTGAGATTTGCAAGGGCCGTGGGCGATTAAGTTTATATAATTGAATATAGTTCCAAATGAGAATACTCTTTATGATCCAAAGCAGAAATAATGTTTCTTGAACGCGGGAGCCAAACATATCCCATCATGTTTTAGAGTGACCTCATAAATCAGATAGTTGGAAACCGCCATTGGCATTGTACTCCTCTTCTTTCCTCTTTCTAGACCGCCGGAAGATGCAGAAATAAATTAAAAGCATCGGAAGGGCCATCGCGACGGCGAGTAGGCTGTATACGATAACAATAATACGGTCCGTGCCAGCAAATTGCATTCCACTAGGATGAACAAACGGTTGATTAGTATACGCAATATCCGAAAGTTTTGGTTTTTAGGAGCCCTTTTATACTCACAGGCCGTTGTTAATGATAAGCAGGAGCCAAATGCACCTTGCCCCCCAAGTATGAATAGAGGTGAACTTAGAGTTCTTCGGCCCTGCCTGGTCTGACTTATCTGCTGTTTTCTGCATGCGGCGGAGATAAATTCCAATCGAAGCAAGGACGAGGAGCCCTCCGACGGATAGGAATCCGATGACTTGGTGAGCAGAGTCGAAATGGTTAGACTGTTGACGCGTTCTAGTCAGTAGTATTATGCATAGACTCAAAGAAGTCTACGTACCCTATTATACTCTGTGCTCACATAAATTCCTAGGCCCATTGCAGTAAGGACAAGGAATAGTACAAAGCTTCCGGTGAAGGCATGCAGCAGTGGCCACTTGAAAAGTCCAATAATTATCACATCGAAAGGAATTATCACCAATGCCACGAGGGCCATCAGAAAGCCGTGAGCTTTAGATGCCTTGTCCCCGTCTTTCACTAGCGATCCAAGAAGTGTAGCGCCATTTGTGATGTTTGAGGCCAGTGGAACTCCGCCAGGGCCAGTTGCTTGGACCATATTCATTGTGAAGTGACCTGACTCTACGTTAGCTATAGCTTAACGGGCCTGCGTGGAGAATCTACCAAATGAATCGTGTCGGCGTAGCCCGGCAGTCTGTGAGTCTGATGATATTGGAACACCATTCGGCCCGACAGCATATATGAATGGCTGTGCAGTCGTGCTGAGGTTAAGGGAACCCCCATTCCATGATCGGCAGCCACGGCACAACGCATTCATGACGAAAAAATCATTTTGGATGGAAGACCCGTCAAGAACCTCGACTTGAACATCCGTTGTAAATGTCGGCTCAGAATTGCCTCTGTGAATTGTTATTAATGACCGCTTGTCTATAGAGTATCTGGAGTGCCTCACGTTGCAATACGCGGACTGATTGTAACATCTATAGAAAGCTCGTTATAAAGGACTCATAATAGCAACGGAGATCGAGTATTTAACTTACGTTGATTGCCCGAAGCAGAGTACATTATCATCATCAAGGACCCAGCCATATCAGAGCCAGCCCCAATGGCGACCCAGGAATAAGCAGGAGATGAGAAGTAAAAGTATACATCGGTGGAATTGTCTGGGAGGTTGATGGAGAAGGTCGTTTGGGTTTCTTCAATATACACTGTTGAGGCTGCAGGAGTATCTGATCGAACGGGAGTGGTGGACAGGGCTGTACATTTCAATTAGCGGCGAGTTGTTATCTAGGCCGTCCGACTTGATAGGAAAGAACTTGCCCAATATCAAGGCCAATGCTGGGAATATGCCAGGAAGCATCGTGCAATGCAATATCATGGATAGAAAAAGGAAGTAAATTGATGATTGCACGACATATCTGCACGAACATTTCTACTATGATGTCCTTATAGTTTTATATAAGACTCTGATCATACAAGATTCTGATCTAGGTGTCCGTGATGCTGCAGTTCTCCATGTGTTCCAAGATCTAAGATGCATCTGCGATTGGCTTGGCGCCCTGTCACATTTTCAGGGGGCCAGAATGTTTCGAAATTGAGCGCGCGCGTAGACGCAAAGGTTTCAGTGGCTGCCACGTATTATTTGCATCACAAGCCGATTCGACACCTAGCCAACCAGAGATCCCTGGACAATGACATTTTAGCACAGCCACGCTCAATTTAACTTATCGGATATCGGAGGAACCCATCGGAAATTTCCTCATATTACACTAGCAAGAGAGCGGTTCTCGATCATCATCATCAAGTTCTTAGACGGAACGCGATGCCGTAGCTCATGAGTCAGCTATTAGATCGTGATTCTGCATTCCAAGGATTAGTTCAAACGGGTACAGAACGTCAAACTGTTACTGCACGCCAAGAACGTGTCCTATGAATTAAGCATTAGGGGCCCGAATAGGGGCTTGGCAATTCCGAAGCGTTGCCATATTCGTAATTGTTTCGCGCTAAGATCGTGACAGTCCCCTTGCTAAATCGCTCAAATTACGCACGTACCATGAGATCTGCGATACCTTACAAACTGTACTGTACGTAATGTAATGTACGGCTGTGACAAGGTTCGCCGAACAGTCAGCAGGATCTCGGCTGTGCAGCCTTAGGGACAGGCACAGACACAGGCACAGTCATCCTATCCACGGCCGTCTCATCTAGCATCAATCACGGGGAGCGGTCTGTACGCAGGCCTAGCACAACACGCTACAATCCTATTGAAAAAGGGAATGGGTTGTCTGTCCTCGACCTGTTCCTCCGCAAGGTCGGCGTCTAACGGGAATGACCTCGCTTGCTTCTCTCCAAATCTCATTCTATCTGCCTTGTCCAATTCTTGAACTCAGCTTTTCCCGACTGCGTCTCTGTCAATTTAACTTCAACCACTCATAATTGCTGTGAATGAATTCTCGTATCGGTGGGCCACCCTTGATACGTAGGATCTCGGGTGGACGAAAATATCTCCCTAATAGGTAGTATACGCTGCTGGTTCCTGGGGGCCGCGTACTCTAGGACCCTTTCATCCACACAAGATACGAACTAGTACATAACTAGCATAGTACGTTCTAGTGTGTGCTACCCCAGAAAGTGATCAGAAAGCTTGGCTAAAAGCTTGAACAAAAGTTTGAAGATCGCGAATTCTTGCAAGACAGTCATAGTTGGTTGTAAAGTCGGATTCCCTCTTTGCTCGTTTGGATTTCTTATTTCACCATCACAGTCCAGCGAGTAGAGTGTGCGAGTAGAGTGTGCGACAAAAATATATCCCCAAACACGGGCTGACAATTGCCGACTACGGACCAAACACGGGCTGACTATTCCAGACTACAGGGATGTCCGATGTTGAGTGAGTCGTGTGAGACGCTAAGGGTGCCAGGGCGCAGCGCACGTTAGTGGCAGCAATCTGGCTATCGTTTTTTTCTCCCCCTCTCAACGTCAAAACGTTTGGAATTACAGTAGTGTACTCCCCGTTTGCTATTGTGCCTATTGTGCATATATCTCCTTTTTTTTTGGGGGGGGGTGGGGGGGTTCCTCCTTCAATGTAATTTTCATGGAGGTCTAACGGCTGATGAAGCCTCGAATACAGTGGTGCGGCTGATCAAGTTGGAAACCTTCCTGCCGTCAGTTATTGGGGCAGCGCTTCACCTCCACACTCGAAAGGTGCCCGACGGACGAGGCTGGACCCACGTTTGTGGAGATGAGGCTTTTCTTTCGTATAGCCGCCCCAGGACCTACCTATACTGTACTATACTATATATGTATATACCCATATACTACGATGGGGTGCCGCTCGACTTCTACCTGGATTTTTCGCTTTAAGTTCTTCCCATCTTTCTTGGGAACACATTCCTTTCGACTTTCTTTGGTTTATTTCTTATTGTCTTTTCGTTGCACATGCCTCTGCTACCTTCCATTTATGCTGAAGCGCAGAAACTTCCTGATTATAGGTAATACGAGGACTCTAGGCATCAGCAACTCATGACCCCGATCGCTCCTCTCTTTTCCTCTCATAACTCAGGCCTTCTGGCCGTACCGCTCTCTAAATATGCACCACCACGGCGCCTTTCATTTCAGCGAGATCATCAATCAACTCATCTCCACCATTGCACCTTTCTCAGGCCTCATCCTAACAATAACCGCTTGTGTCATCGCCATCATCCGCCTCTACCTCCTCGACCTTGTCATCATCCCCAAAGCCTACTCACCCAAACTCCTCCAGTCTCTCACCGACGGCCAACGTCGCAGCTTCGTTAACCACCACGTTGCCGCAGGCACCAAAATCGTCCTCCTCTTTATAACGGCCTACCCCTTACTCGCGATTTTCACCGGCCATGCAACACCGCACACGCATTTCGCCAAGGGGTCGTCAACGACCCTCGGAGATGTCATGGTCGTCTCTTCTCAGATCTTCACCGCCATGTATATCTTCGAGCTCTTCTACCGTGACAAGGTCTCTCCGATCAGTTGCGCCCATCATGTTGGCGCGATTGTTATTGCGCAGGCAGCTGTGGCGATGAGTATCAATTTCGATCATGAAAGCGATGCGGTGTTCGAGTTTCTCATTTGTTTCGTCTGGGGTACGTCACATCCCTGCCCTGTCATTCTTCGAACATCATAATACGCAAATGTCTAACATCGTTATTACAGGAGCCTTTGACGTATTCGCCGAACTCTGGCCTCATATCGCTATGATCATCTACCGCATCCACAACTCCAACCACCTTCTGCTATCCCGAATCCTATACATGACCATGGCCCTCGAGCTCGTCGGAACCACAGTCGAAACAGTGGTTGTCATGTGGTTGTTTGGAAGCCTTTGGGAGAAATGGACGCTATCGCTCAAAATCGCGACGCCGATTCTGCATATACTTTTCTCGGCGGCCCAACTCTGGGGGGCGTGGATTTTTTACAAGATGGGGAAGGAACAGCGGTTGAAATACGAAAAGGATGCGCTGGTTAGTCCTGTGGAGGAATGTTAAGAAATTGGAACTTGCCTTTATTTCATACGGCGAGGTAATAAGTCCCGACGGGTTTACTACTTATGGGATTGATGGGGCCTGGCTAGGCAGTTGATGATCTACACAAAGAACGGAGTGGAGTCTGTACGCTAGAATAATTATGATTGAGTCTTAGGGTAGGGTAGAATATATTATAGGGTTAGTACAAAGGTTAATGAGAGGGATAGTCGAGAATAAATACAACTTTTTTAATGCCAACTTGGCCACGTTGAGCCTACAAGTCTTAGGCGCAAGTCATGACCAGAATATATATTCATGTAAAAACTCCACTACTATATTCTTAACTACATATACATTCATTCAGTGCTTAAAACCGGGTTTGCTTTCTATTACAACTGCCGAGGCATGCGTGTCCACCAATTGTGACCAGCAAGTACTTGAACAGATTCAATCGCAGTTTTTCTACAGCCCTAGACACATGAATTGTTCGATAAGATCTGTTGCTGCTCTTCAACACAATTTTTTATGTACTCTAAGATCATCCATTCGGCTGAAGGCTTTCAGCTCGAAGCAGTCATAAATCCAGGAGCAAAAAACCCCAGGACGAGCCTACGGCGCTACCTCCGGGGACTTTCCATCGCAGCCCGCACTAAACCGCACCATCGTATAGCAACAGCGTGCCATCCAGGGCCATCCACGACCATCCAAGACCATCCAAGACCATCCAAGACCGTTGACATGGACCCCTTGAATGAAGGCGCAAGTTCGTGTGCCAAGCAATCGTCGAACCTCAACCACGTGGGTTTCAGGGGCACGGAACGTGGGGTGGTTGATCCGCATCGATCCGGATCGCCGACTTGGCCCGCCCACCCCATCCACCCTCCGACCCGGCGAGCTCCTTATCCAAGCTCTAGCCCGCCCGCGTCGTTACGTCGTTGATCGTCGCTGACATCGTCGATGGTCGTCAACATCCCACGTTCCCCCTTCCGCTGAATCTACTGGGCCGCCGAGCCCTAGTTCGTCGAACAACCCTTGGTCCTCCCGCGTCACTCAACCCTCAACCTGGTGTCCCTGCCCATCCACCACCGTTAATGTCAGTCGTTCACCTTGCGAAATCAGCACCCACCACACAATGTCCAAAGCCAACCCACCTCACCCGCGCGCCGTCGCGAATGGCCTCCCATCGTACCTTCCGCCGTAGCTGCAGTAAGGCAAGTACCTGCTGCAGAGACTTAGGTGCAGAAGATACATAGGTACTCGCCATCTCGACCACCGTGTCGACTGTATGAATGGAGCTCAAACATGAGACGCCCCTCTTTCATCGCTTTCTTTTCTTTTCGCCCTACATGCGCCATGTCCCGGGGAGCGCACGCCGTCGCTGCTTGCTAGTCTCCCTACATTACATATAAGGCCCGTCTCGCCGGGTCCACCGTCGATGATCTATGGTCATGGCTGTCGACGTTCAGCATCACCATCGCCCTCTCGTCGTGAGATAGAGAAGCCTAGGCAGTGAGCGAGTGACCGCACTTCCATCTTCCTCATCCTTCACGTCTCCCATCGTCATCGCCTTCCGGCCACCGGCATCCATCCATCCCACCACCGCAACCATGTATCCCGCCCGCGTTCTGGACCCCAAGAGCGGTAACGTCTTCGCCACTTGGCACCTCTTCTCCAAGAGAGAAAAGGAGAACATGATGATCTACATCGCCGGCATCATGGTGTACAAGTTCGGCCTCGAGGTCTTCGTTGGCTCCTTCATCTCTCTCGCCACCAACCGCTACGACTACGCCGCCCGTATAGGCGGCTATGCCCCCATCACCTTCGGCCGCATCGGCCTGCTCCAAGGCGTCAACCAGGCAGCCCAGGCGTTCGGCGCCATTCTCGTCGCGCCCCTCGTTAAGCGCTGGGAGACTCGTATTGTCCTCTCCGTCGCAATGCTCGTATTCGCCTTATTCACCACCCTCATCCTCATCGTCGATGCTGCGACAGGGGGCACCTTCAAACCCGCAGGTGCCAGCCTAACTGACTTCTCCTATTATGGGAAGTATAACACCGATGGCATGATCCCAGTCTACGCCGTCACGGGCATCGTCTACGGCATGGTCGAGCTCATCCGCCGCGTCATCCCACGGGACATTGTCCGCTCCGACGGTTAGCCCGCTTCTTCACTCCCCCCTCTACTCCCCAACTAATCTCCCTCCCAGTTCAAAAACTTCGCCGCCTTGACGCCATCGTGCACATCTTCTATGAAACCACCGGCACCGCTGGCGCCTTCATCACCGCGCTCCTCCTCATCCCTAACCTCGGCAACAACATGGCCATCATCGTCTCCCCCTTCTGCTTCGCTGCCGCCGCCATGATCTGGTGGTTCGTCTCCACGGCCGAGCACCCCATCACGCTACCTAGACAGCGCAACGCCCTCTCGCCCTCCTACCTATCCCTACTCGCGCAATCCACACAGCTCTTCTTCGCCTCCATCTACAACGGCGGGCGCATCCTCTTCACCTCTCGCAAGTTCATCTGGCTACTCCCCTCCTACTCCCTCGCCCTCTACGCGCACCGCTACCTCGAGAACAACATCGCGCCCATCGTCGCGCAGCGGTACATGGGCAACTCGGCATGGGCGCAGATAATGGTCGGCGGATCGAATTTCGGCGAGCTTACCGGCGCGCTATTCGTCTTCCTCTTCACAAACCTAGTAACGACTCCCATGCCCTGGCTCCGCTTCGACGCCCTCGGCCTCCTCATCATCTGGTACCTCGCCTTCTGGCACCCCTCCTACAACAACGTCAGCCAGGCCTGGGTCGTCGCCGCCACGATGATGCCCATGTCCTTTGGCTGGGCCGCGGGCGATATCTCCCTATCCGCTTACGTGCAAGCTTTGCTTCACGGGCAGGAACACGAACGTAAAGACGTCGGCGCGCTGGTCACTGTCATGGCTTTCCTGTACTCCACATACATCATCACCTACAGCATTGCCTCGCCCATCCTGGGTTCGTACGTCGACCGCGTCTCAGCCGCAAACAACGGAGACGTGCATTCTGCCGTCTTCCATGTTGGGGGGGTGCAGTTTACGGTTATTGCGTGTATGGTCTTCCTCTCGTCGTTTATCCCGCGCGGCGCGTTTAGTTTTAACCCTCAGATCCTTGAGGGCGAGGATTTGGAGAGGTATCGGGAGCGGGATATGGCGGAGCGCCCGCAAGAGGAGGTGACGAAGGAGGGGGGGGCGAGGACGGAGAGTATGCAGGGTTTGAAGGTGGGGGATGACGATTGGTTCTTTGATTTGTGAGGAGATAGATGGGGGCTAGCTCAACGCTTACTTTTGCTCGTGAATACAGAGGCGGGGAAGGCCGTCTCTGCGCTGCGGAATACAACAGCCGCGCCACCCGCGGCAGCTTCAACTGCATGGGTATATAATAGGAACTCGGATCGGAACTTTAGATGTGGGACAGGACACCCTTGGATATTTTTTTTGCGAGGGGATACAGAGATACACCAGGCGTTTAGACGGAGCGATTTTAGACTTTTTGGATTGTGGATTTAGCGATGGGGTATGGGGTATATGCTATTGGGTCTAGGGTATTGGATCTTGGGTCTGGGGTGGCACTGGGACTGCTGCACTTGGACTGTTGCCCTGTGAGGTTTCTGAGCGCGAACCTACTTGTTTGTAGTTATTCTAGGGTACTATGGCTACTACTGATGCCGATGCCGTCAAGCTATTCTTTATAACGTTACTGAAAACAGCTACAATGCCAGTTACACATGCCAGATATGACATGACGTTAATGCTTGATTCATAGACAAGAATCACGACGATGGTTGCTCATGCTGGATTCATGTAATAGATTTATAAAAGTAAATATTAGACAGTAATCGCGGCTACATAAAGAACGGAATAAGGGAGTTTGTTCCCAGGCCACATAAATTAAGTCCCCAAAGCTGTTTCCTGAGTTCCTGAAACAGCTAGTTATGGACGGGCAGAGAGCTTCCCCGCATGAAAAGGCCACCCACTTTGGCCACCACTAAGGTCACCCACAGATGCGGGCTGAGAAATTTTCCAACCCCCGAGACTCCGCAGTGAGAAAAGCTTGAAGCAATAGCACTTCTTAGGGCTAGCGGTAACCGGAACGGCACAGGTAAGACGTTACTGCGAAGCGAGATTAAACCTGGGGAAACCTGGAACCCCATACTGTGGAGTCTTTGCTAAGGTTAGAAACCTACTTTAGATCTTACCCAAATAGGGGTCTGTGTTCGAGGTGTGGCGCAAAAAGGATCCCGTAAAATATGCCACAGTGGCCCTGTGAAGTACCATCACTGTTTTCTCCGCGACTCCGCGAAGTATATCTAAGACAGCTCTCCCATGCACTCTCCCATGGACAGCCAGCCACGTTGAAATTATTGGCAATACTGTTCTGCATTAATACCACAGGTCCGCAGTATATCGGATAGCGACACGCAGCGCTTGCGCTAACTGTCACATACCGATACCGATACCAAAACCGAAACCGAAACTATGGAGATGGAATATATTGTCTACCTAAACAATGCAGGGAAATCCTCGGTCAATGGGAGTCTATCCGACTCTCAACACGTCAGCAGCCCCACCGCCTCTGCTACTGCTGTGGTTGCAAAGAAGCCGGGAAAGCGCCAGCACGCGTATCCCCGGAAACGCGCTATACAGGCCTGCACTATTTGCCGCATTAAAAGAACCAAGTGTGATAATTCGAGGCCGGCGTGCAGTAAGTGTGCGAGCTTGGGGACAGAGTGTAACTATCAGGAAAATGATCGCTCCACGTATGTATTTACGATTGAATCTTACGGGGTACCTATTTTGACTCCGGGTACAGCTTTGATCTGGCAAGCCTGGCCATCCTCCAGCGGCTGGATGATCTGGACGAGCTTCTGCGGGCCAAAAGCACTACTTCTATAGTTCTAGACCAGGATGCAAGTCAAGGTCAAGGCTTCCTCTCATTGTCAACCCCAATAGCTGCGCAGCCTTTGTCGTTGGAGAGGCCTGCGGATTGGAGACCATCTTACATCCACATAGAAACAGTTCTTAGCTGGTCGGTCTTTGTGGATCTAGATTTCACTGAGCGGCCGAATTTGAGATCTCTCCTTCGATCAGACAAGAGCCATGCGACTCTACCAATTTTGCCCATCCCAGCAGATTTCGGACTCCATACTGCTCGGCAGCTGTTGCAGAAATTCTTGGACAATGTGCACATTTTTAATCCCATTCTAGAAGAAACGATAGTGAGAGAGTATATGTTAGCAACAAGCCTCAACGGGCTTAGGCGGGATGCACAGTCTTGTCTCATGGTAACTAAACCACCAATTATTTCAGCCGGGCAATTGAACTCACATGGTTAGCTTTTAATATATGCTCTTGGTTCTATTGCGAATCCGTACGAGAAGTCGCCCAGAATGATGTCTTATGGCTTTCGCCAGTCAACCGAGTTCCGTCAAGCAGAGTCTTTCTTCGTTGCTGCTCAGAATAGAATGGGTTTGCTGTTATGTGGGAGCGGAGTCATCGAAGCGCAATGCTTTTTTCTTGCTGGCGTCTATCTAATGGCGACCTTGAGACCAATTGAGGCCTGGAAGATATTCGTTCAGGCTCTTGCATGTTGTCAAACCTTCTCCTCTAATCTCGCCATACCTAACGCTCGAACCGACGACAATTCCCGACTAGAGCAGACCATTTATTGGACATGCTTTAAGTCTGAACTGTAAGAGCATTGATTACAACTCAAAAGTGCAATGTCGGCTAATAACATCTGCAATAGAGAGCTTCGACGAGAGCTTAATATGTTCGAGAATAGAGTATGGGACCTAACCTACCCTGCCCTCTTTCCTACCCCCCCCGAAGGATTAAAGTCTCAAGACGAAGTAGTATGGTACTTTTACCTTGCTGAAATTGCACTGCGGAGACTGGGTAATCGGATTTTAAATTACGTCTACTGCTACTATTCATCCATTGATTCCGACTCTAACAACAATGCCATTCTCGACTTCGAAAGCCAGGCTGACAGCTGGTAAGCTTCCTCCACACCTCTACATTTGCTGCACTCCAACTCACCCCTTTATCATTCTACAGGCTCCAATCTCTCCCCACAGCACTCTCTATCGAGACCGTGAATCCTGAGCACAAGAAATACGCAGCCCTTTGCTTTATCCTCCACGGCCATCTCCTCGACTGCAAGGAGATGATGTACTGGCAAGCTATCGTTGACACCGTGCATAGGCGTCAGTGCGGCAGCTCTACGGAGCTCTTCGTTCGCAAGGGGTTACTAGTTTGTGTGCAGCGCGTGCAGATCAATGAAGAGGGTTTTTACCACCGGCACCACGGAACATGGCTTATGCTGCGGTCATGCACAAGGAGTGCGCTTGTCCTGCTGGCGGCTGCGAGGTGTCCAGAACTTGTGCCGACATTGCCAGAGGGATGGGAGGAGGCGATTCTCAAGGTGGTGGACATGCTAAGCTTTTGGAAGGATGAATCTATGCAAGTCTTAGATATGTTATTTATCTTGGAAAGACTAATCGAGGTTGTGGCGCCAGAGATCTTAAAGAATAGGTAACATGACCTAGAAACTTCGAGGCCTTAGGAGGCAAATCTAAATGCCATCTCTAGTAGCATCTCTTTAGACTATGAAAAGTCTTAATTTAAAATAATAATTACATTTCCTAAAGAAGGCTTATTTAAGATTGACAGCTTTATAATTAACACTATTACAGCCTTATACTAAACTTAGCATACATTAAACTATAGTAGAACTGGACACCGCTAAACCCAAAGTAGAGGCGCAAAACCGAGGCGAGCCAGGAAGCTGAAAACTGCGCTGTGCTTGCCGTCGCATAGAATACCATTTTTTAAATTATAACTATACTCTTACTGTAAATTATAAATTTATAGTAAGACAAAAAGTAACCCATACCATAACCAATGAAACGAAAACACCGCTCCACTTCCGTTCTACTATCTACCCTTATTTGAAAGATAGGTTCCTTGGTAAGGTATAAACTTTATCCCATTACACCCCTATTCTCGCCCTCCCCTCTCCCCACACTCACTCCCAGTTCCCTCCCCCGCACGACCCTTCCATCTCTACATTATTAACAGCCGCTGTCTTTCCCGCCTTATCCAAAATATCCCCTGATTCGTCATAGCAACGCACATCTGATGAATCGTACCCTTAATATCCCATCCCGAGACATCGTGGAAGGTTTCGACGATGCTGTAGAACTACACTTTATTAGCCTGCGTCGAGAACTTGTAGATATTGTTGGCCGGGAGGAAGCTGGGGGCAGAGAAAATAGACTTCCATGGTTTGGATGGTGGGTTATACGGCATATTTGTATTTGGGGTTTGTCCCATCGATGATGGGGATGGAGAGGCGGTGTTTGGTGGTTGTTTCGAGGATGTTGAGGGTTCTTGCTTCGATAGGGCGGCCGTAGAGCGCTGGGGCTGGAGCTGGGGCTGCGAAGATGGATTGAGCGAGCAGAGTCGCTAGGGTTGCGAGGTAGAGCAGTCTCATATTGGCGCTGGGTGTTGGACTGTACTAATTGTGGAGGTGGTGTGGAGGTTGGTGTCTAGCCTGGAATTTTCTCACTTTGGCGACGTGGATTGCGCGTAGATGGACGCGGACTAGCTGAGGATGGTGTGGATATTAGAGTCTGCTTTGGACTTTTATCACTTTGCCGACTTGGAGTACATTTAAGCAGAAGCAGTCCAGCTTTATATACGCAATTCCTCCACAAACCCCCCTTAGCCTAGATGATTAAAATGCGACGATGTGGCATGAACGAAAGTGGTCGTGCCAAGCGGTAGCGAACGAGAAAACCGAAACTTATCGTGGGTGCTGCTGTGACTGTGGATGTGACTTGAAGGAGTTTAACGAAGCATTGAGGTTGTTTTTGGTTTCCTTCAGTGTAGGAGGTAGGAGAGTCATGTCAGGAGCTTCATAGTAGAGTCAAACCACCATTCCATCGCTCTCCATTTGAAGGGGTTGATATGTACTCTGCTTGTGCCCTACTCGGGATAAATAGTCTGGACCATCGTATTAAGCCCATAGACTGTCTCGATATGCAGTTCCGCTAAAGCCACCCCCTTATGTTCCGTCAGAGCAGCCGCCGTCCGTATAAGGTTATTGATTTCTCTTCCATTAATCTTGTATGATCGTCCTAATCTCAACGTCCATAAAAGATTGTAGGTTATCATTTCCGATAGTATAAGCTTTTCGAAGGTTCTCCGGGTTTCTTGGAGGTACTTCTCCATGAATTCGACCAGGATATCCATATGAGAGGACTATGGCAGGCACCATGCATATAAGGCCCTGCTCTTGCCTCCTGTCCACTTAGTCGACTACAACTCCCCTGCGTCCCCTCCATGCGCCATAAGATCCGTATCAATTGTTGTTGTTGTCATCTTTTGCAGTCGTCATTATTTCAACTTTCTTCGATATTCTTGTCGCATCGACTTCCCGGGCTGACGTCGAGGTCTGTTTATACATTGCGTGACGCGGCGCTGTCGGCAGCACGTACCAGGGAACCAATGCCTATGCCATCTGCGACTTCGCCGCCATCGGTGAGTCTGCTCTCTGCGGTTGATTTTGTTTGCTCTGTGTTAAGCACTAATTCTGTCGCCGGTGAAATTGTGCTGACCACTTCAATGCGAAGGCGGAGGACTCTCCGGCTTCGATATCTCCTCTATGTCCGGTGTCATCGGGACAGCTGTCTACAAAAGATACTTTGATAATCCGTATGTGTAGCCTAGCGAGAGGAAGATGTTTTGGAGGACAAGGGCTGTGCTGATAGAATGGAAGGGTCTCGTCGGTCCAAGGAGCTATCACAGCGTCCATGCCCTTTGGATTCGTCTTTGCTCTCATATCATCCTTCATAGCAGATCGTTACTCCCGGCGATCTGCCATCCAATTCTCCTGTATTATCTGGATCATCGGATCCATGTATGCTCCCCCTCCACGTCCACTCCGTCCTAGGTAACTAAGAACCAGCATCCAATGCGTCTGCAATGGCATTCCCATGCTTGTCGTTGGCCGCACCATCTCAGGAATCTTCATTGGCATCGCCTCTACCATCGTTCCCGTCTATCAGTTCAAAATAGCACCAAAGGAGATCCGTGGCCGCATTGTTGCCCTCTAGCAGTGGGTTATCACATAGGGTATTTTGATCCAGTATTTCATCCAATACAGTGAGTCCTTTGTCGGCGGCGGGCCCAACGACCACAACCAGCCTGAGTTGGCCTTCCGCCTTCCGTGGGGCATCCAGATGTTCCCCGTCGTTCTCTTCTTCGTGGGCTTGTTCTTCCTGCCACGCAGCACGCGCTGGCTGGCGAGCAAGGACATGTGGGATGAGGCCATCCAGGTGCTTGCCGACCTACACGCCGATGGCGACATGGACCATCCGAAAGTGCTGGCTGACTACCAGGAATTCAGGGGGCGCTGCGTTTAGAGCGCGAGGAGGCCACGAGTAGCATGCGCACGCTTGCTGCGCCCGCATGGTGAAGCGCATGCTCCTCAGAATGAGTATCTAGATGTGGTCCCAACTAGGCGGCGTCAACATCATGATGTACTATATCATTTAAGTCGTGGAGGCGGCGGACATTGGCTCGCCCATGCTCACCGCGTCGATCTAATACGTGATCAACCTACTTCTTACTCTTCCTGCCATCATCTACATCGACGGATGGGATCGGCGACTATCGCTCCTGATCGGCTCTCTTTTCATGATGATATTCTTCTTCGTCACTGGTGCGCTGTAGGCCGTCTATGGTCAGGAGTCTGCCGTTCCCAACTCTAATGTCACCTGGATCGTCAAAAACAACAAAGCCGCCTCCGCAGCCATCATAGTCTGCAGCTACCTCGTCGTCGCGACCTTCGCCACAACCTGGGGCTCTGAATCCTGGTGCTACCCCGCGGAGATCTTCCCATCCAAAGTCCTCGCTAAGGCCGTCTCACTCTCAACAGCCACTAACTAGTTCTAGAACTGCATTCTCTCCTTCGCCGTGCCGCCGATACTGGTAAATGAATGTACATGCTCTTCGGCCCCTTCAACTTCCTTGCCCTAACGCACATCTACCTCGCGGCGCCCGAGACCAAGGGCAAGATGCTCCAGGAGATGGACGAGGTCTTCGACAAAAAGCGCAAGGCGTGGCACGGCCCAAGGGCTCGCGCACGGACGACCCCGCGTCGCGCGTAACATTCCGGAGGGAATGGTGCTTCCGACAGCCCGCGCGTACAAGGGATGAGTTAGTGGTGAGGCGGTAGCTGAGTCATGATGCGGCTTGTGGTGCGGGGCGTGCTTGAGTGATTGTGGTGGGCAACGGTCTGGATAGCAGGCGGTTGAGGTGCGATGGCTCTTCACGTCTCGAGATGTGAGAGCGCTTGGAATATTCACGATGTAATTAATGCAGAAGTACTCCCAGGATAATGGAGCAGTCGGTGTAGAAAACTTGAATCGTTGGCCTTCAGACTCCGACGCCGTCACATTCCTTTCAGATACAACGTCGGATGTGTCCGCACGCGAGAAGAGAGGGGTACATAGTCCTCCTCGGTTAAGGGTTGCGGGCTGAGTTGGGGTCTGTGAGTTGGGGTCTGAGAGGTGGGGTCTGTGAGTTGCGGGCTGTCTTGCCAGGGGTCAGCCCCACAGGAATAGTTGTAGATACTATTCCTGTGGTGCATTATTTAAGCCAATAATTTAGACTTCGGACTAAATGCAGTGAAGCAATTGAAGTTCCAAGAAAATGTATTCAGTTCTTTCCTAGCTCCGTCGTGGTTTGGACATTATTTTTGAGGAGATTTTAGATCTGTATGCTGTTCCTTCTAGTACCATCACTTCAAATTTTGAGCATACTTTGATCTTTTACGTTATTGGACGCCGCGGGGCTTTTCGTTTTCGCTTTCAGGGGCCTTGATCGAATAGTCAAACTGACCCGTACGCCTTGGGGGTCCCATGTCACTTCTGACTGCCCCTTCGCCGCCCCTTCGCCCCACTCCCCCACCCCAGCACACGCTTGGTGGAGCGTCTCCGTGCCTCGCCTGGCTCTGTTCAGCGGACCGCCGCATGGAATTAGCGTACCAGTCAGGGAGTATGAGACGGTCCTTATGGTCGCAATGGGGCTTCTAGTCATAATCCCTGCAAAGGTCCCACGCGACGCGCTCACTTAGTGCGGCGGCTCCAAAGCCTTAGTTAGCCTTGACATGGGTGTTGTATTACAAGAGCTGATAAATTCAGATATTGGCCTGGCAGCGCAGTCTCTACTGAACAGTGCCTTGGTTGACGACACCTTGGACGACGGCTATGTGTGTATGATTGTTCATACCCAGATGCTTAGCTGTATCTCAATCTATCTCGAGTCGAGTAGTGGCGACAAGGTGCCTTTCGGTAAACGTGCAACCATGTATCTAAACTTAGAATTTAATTATTAGTTGGTTCATCTATCTCAATGAATGAGGGCTTTGTTTATGCACGCGTTCGCCAATACAGCTTGTCTAGAGTAGCGTTATACTAGAGCCAAATTTACTGTCCAAGCGCGGTATCAAATTCCCGTTAACGCTCGCGACTTCGCGACCGGAACCTGGTTCACAAATTCATGGGTCAACTCAGGGCTCTCCGCCTGTAAATTTCTCGGAGATCCTTGCCTGACGTGAACCGGGAAGTGATCTAACTACAACTTTAGCCAAGTCCTAACCTGACAGCGACCTGACAGCGCAAGATCTAATACCCACAGTTTGCTTCCCGCCGTTCCGCACCCGCAAGTGATGAAGTACCTGAACTAACCTTGGGCAACCCGTTTCTTCGGGATGCATGTGATACGACCCGTTTCTTCGGGATGCATGTAATACGACCCGTTTCTTCGGGATGCAGTGGAATAGGTCCGATTGGGGGTAGTTGATCAAGGCTTGTCGGTTCGGTTAGCGCTCGCGCAAGGTTATTGCTACCCGATGTGTGTCTATGATTCCCACATGGCTGGACCACGCTGCAACCCGGCTGCAAAAGAGATGATATAGTCTGCGGAGTCGCGGAAAGAAGAAGTGGTGGCAGTTTTCGCACCACGCATCGTTTTGCGCTGGCGCATTCGCCTGTTTGTGTAGTACGTGATGCCATTGCACTGCGTTGTTTCGGCTTAGTTCATTTATCCCCTTGCACAGGGTGCAAGGGAGCCTCGCGGAGTCGCGGACTACAACCTTTTCCCCTACGTATTCTCCCAACTGCGGGGAAGCTACGGAGTAGGGTGCGGGGGATAAGGGGGGGAAAGAGCCGCAACTGAGTGATCATCAGTGCCAACCCTGGTTGCCCGAGCGTCTTCCTGCCGAATGTCACGTTGGATTTCTATATAATCCAGGGTGAGCCACCGACATTATAGAAGTAAACCAACAGACTGGCGATCCATCTTCCTCTCCCACTCTCTGGCAAGATCTGAGAAGGCACTTCACAACCTCAGCTTCAACTCAGGGTTTAAGCTTGCGAGACAGAGAACATGTCGGACGAAATCAACGAAAAGGGCGCGGCCCAGGTCAAGGAGGGCAAGACTGCTCCCAAAGACTGGAATCTTCAAGATGTACTCCCCAAGAACCCCGAGCCTTGGTACAAGCAGCGCCATCTCCTCCTCCTCAATCTCGCCATGGTTGTGCCCGCCCTCTCATCCACGACAAACGGATACGACGGCTCCATGCTTAACGGGTTGCAGTCAATGAACCAATGGCAGGATTATTTCGGCCACCCGACAGGCACTCGCCTTGGTTCACTCGGTAATGGAACCATCTTCGGTCAAATCCTCGCCCTCCCGATCGTTCCATGGCTGTGCGACCACACGGGAAGACGCTTTCCTATCTTCTTGGGGTCAGCGCTTCTCGTCATCGGAGCCATTCTCCAGGCTGCAGCGCAGAACTATGGAATGTTCCTCGCCTCACGAATGATTATTGGATTTGGAGGCTTGATCGCCGTGGAACCGTCTCCTTTGCTCATTAGCGAGCTGGCATACCCGACACATCGCGCAGTCATAACGGCTTATTACAACAATCTGTGGTATTTAGGTGCAATTCTCGCGGCTTGGGTAACCTATGGAACGTACTTCATGGGACCTAGCAATTCATGGTCGTGGAGAATTCCGTCTTTGCTTCAGGGCTTCATGCCTCTTCTCCAAGTTCTCTTCGTTTATCTTCTTCCTGAGTCTCCACGATATCTGATTCTGAAGGGCCGTCATGATGAAGCACGCAAGGTGCTCGTAAAGCACCACGCCGGTGGGGACGAGAGCTCGCCCCTTGTGGAGTTCGAGATGAAGGAAATCACCCTGCAGATCGAGGAATCGCAAAACTCGTCCGGAACAGGCTACGGCGAGTTCTTGAAGACGAAGGGTAACAGGCATCGCCTGTTCCTTATTATCGTCGTTCCGGCTATGATGCAGATCTCAGGAAATGGTCTTATCTCTTACTATCTGCATCTCATCCTTGATTCCATCGGATACACTTCAGCTCCAGCGCAACTCCGCATCAACGGTGGCCTCATGGTTTACAGCTTCGGTATTTCAGTCATACTCGCGTCATTTGTAGAAATCGCTGGACGTCGTCGTCTATTCCTCATCTCTACCGTCGGCATGATGTGTTCCTTCATCATCTGGACAATTCTCTCGGCCATCAACGAGCAGCGCGCTTTCAAAGACACCTCTCTCGGAGCCGGTGTCATAACCATGATCTTCATCTTCAACCTCTTCTACAATATGGGATTGAATGGCCCACCGTGGTTGTACGTCTGCGAGATCCTCCCTACGCATCTCCGTGCGAAGGGTGTCAACATCATGCAGTTATCAGCCACGTGTGTGCTGATTTTTAACGGTTACGCGAACCCTGTAGCTATGGAGGCAATTTCGTGGAAGTACTATATTGTTTACTGCTGCGTACTTGCGGTGGAAATAGTCCTCGTCTATTTCTTCTTTCCAGAGACCAAGGGGAGGAGTCTGGAGGAGGTCGCCTTCATTTTCGATGGTGATAAGGCGTTTGGGGAGAATCACAGTACAGAGGCAATTGCGACCAAGGAGATCGAGGCGTGATGGTTTACAGTTGCGAGTTAACCTATGGAGTTGAAGCCTGTCCTGAGTGTATTGACACACCAGGGTTACTTCCACTTCCTAATAGCTGTTTCTAGTTCTCATATGTAGCTTTTTCAATTCTTTTGAAACACTTAACACAGACCCAATTTGATCAATTTAGAACAAAGTTTCCCTTTAGTTTTGATAGTTGCAACAAGAGTAGCCGTGGAGACAGTGTCAAGTTCCAGTTTATACTATACCGTTTCATATGTGTTTTGACTGATTTATCACCCATTCATTAAAACCTTGACCTTCCTACTTTGAATATCAATGCCGAGAAACGACCGTGAGATCGAATGGAAACCGAATGCTCAATACACCCCATTCTTGCCCTTGACCTTCTAATTCAGTTACTCCTATTCAAGAGGAGTAACTGAATTAGAAGGTCAAGGGCAAGAATGGGGTGTATTGAGCATTCGGTTTCCATTCGATCTCACGGTCGTTGGTGTTAAATGTGACGTTGGCTGGCAGAATCAATGTTAATAATCATTTTACTAAAAGCTGTCAATGCTATCAAAAACATTCAATGTGATAATCGTCGGACCTACCTGTGGGCTTCGCACGAAGCTAACAGGCGGATCCAACGATCACTAATTACTGCACAATTTTTAAATTTCTACAAACCTGGTTACCTAATGCAACTATAACATCTGTTAATGAGATGCCAGGATACACAGATAAATTTGGTCAACTGTGAACGTCAGCATTTAAACATCGGCAGTACCCACCCCCTCACTTTTCCTGTCCTCGCCTCCCGCTCTCTTTTTCTAGAGACGTTCTTGCTTCCAGGCTTCAACTCCTGCTCTATAGATCTGCTTGCGGGCCTAGTTAATAGCCTAACGGGCTATCTAGGCTTTTTTAGAAGCCTAGATCTCTACTTCTCGCTCTGCCTTTTTGGCGTGTTAAGCTCGCGCATCATCTACAGTAAGAGCTCTTCTAATTTATAGGCATCTGCAGCTGTTATGCCGCCAATTCTTATAGTCGTTAACCTGCTTTATAGAATTGAGATGTTAAGCTCTTAAAGTTGTCCTTGAGCTAATACTACTTCTACGCTAATAACCTAATTATTATAATGCTATTAAGAGGGGCTACTAAGTAGAACTAGAAGCGTGGCGTTCTAATGCCATGGTTGTTCCTTAGAATCCTAAAAAGAGGCTAGTATAATAGATGGTAAAGTAGGAGCTAGTTTTAAGTATTTCTATAGCTTCATAAATGTATTATCATAATTAATAAGCTATACTCCTACCTTTTCAAATGCATGAATAATAGTAAGCTCTTTAAAAGTCTGCTCTTATATCGTAGAGAGATCTCTCATAAACAAGCGTATATTATACTTAAGATTAAGGTTCTATATTATAGAATAGACTGCTTTATAGTGCTAATGCTTATAGGGCTAGAAAATCCTAATGTCTAATGGCTGTAGAATATGGATAAGATCCAAAGGGAAGGTAGTGGTTTTAGCCGCTAAATACAGTAAACGGTAGTAAATGTCATGTGCTTCGTAGCTCTAAGCCTATAACGGCGTAGGCCTAGGGTTACACAGGAGTTTAGGGAACTAGATTAGAAGGCAGGAAGATGAGGTTATATATTATAACAATAGGTCTACCTAAATACAGCGACTATTAACTAGAGTCCTCAACTGAGGCTCCAGCCCCTGATATATCTTCCCATACCGTGAACCCTAATAACCGGGCTATACCCGAATGGCAGCTCCACCGTAGGGCTGCCTTCGGGCGTGGCGCCTCACGTGATGGCACGTGAGGACCGCCTTACAAAGCCCTTGCTTATATTACGTAGTTATCTACTCAGCAATTATAAGGAGCTTATTATGTCCTCTGCAGCTAACTCGCGTGTGATTAAGTTGAGTAATTAATGATCAAAGAGTTGATTTTGATACTTCGAAAATCTAGCTTATGGTAGCAACGGATTCAGATGGGTTTGCCATAAGCCATTTACGAGCATCATATAGAATAGGGTCTTCCATTTCAACTACATAGTTATAGTACACGAATTGTAAGCTATAAATATGTTAAGGCTATGGATGGGGATGCGGTGCGAAGTAGCAGTGAGCGTTAGCAGTGAACGCTCTTTGCTTACCCCAACCCTATGCAATAGAGTCGGTTCCTACGACTACCCCGTGTATGTATACAAGTCCAACCGATTTGGTCCTCCACACATCTGCGCTTTATTGCCATTGCACGCCATATTACACCCCGCGTTTCCATCCGTCGCCGGTGCTCCTCCATTCTGCAGCGCATTTCCACAAACTGACCACATGCATAATCAGCGAATATTCACAAAATAAGGGAAAAAGAATAAATGAAGTGGTTACTCACAGCACTCGCCCGCATACTCCAGGCCAGCTAATACGTAACCTTGGGCGTGACAACCGGCCGTGCACGCCTCGACGGTCATGGCGCCAGAGCCGCCGGGAACTGGAATACCGAGGGGCAAGGCGCGACCGGAGACGTTGTCCATGTAGCAGCCTAGGAACTTCCACCCGCCCGGCCCCGCGGTCGAGGTTGGCGACGAGGTCGTCACGGTGGACATGGTGCTAGGCACAACCGTACTAGTAGGTGGCAGGCCTCCGTTTTGGGCGGCGAGCTGGAACAGGGCGATGGTGTCTTGAAAGACGTTGACGTTGTCGCTAAAAGAGGCGAGGCTGACGCCGTTGGAGGTGAGCATGTTGGTTGAGCCGACTGTGTTGAGGGTGTACATGTTGATGTTGCGAAGGTTGCCTTCGAGGCTGACGATGCTGGTTTGGCAGTCGAGGGCGCCTGGGGCGGAGCAGGCTGGGGGGGGTTTTAGTAATGATCTGAAGTAGGAGCGGTGCCTATCGGAAGATGCTACGGAGATACAGGAAATGGGGAATGGGCACGAGAGGAGGGACTTACTGCCGACGTAGTTGTTGAAGAATGAGTAAAACCCACCACCGTAGAGGAGAATGTCTTGACTGTTGACGACACGGAAGGCCCAAGCATCTGCGCAGTTCGCGGGTTTACCGGCGCAAGATGCGGCGAAATCAGGATCGTTGAGGGAGGCAACTACCTTAAATGGCGCTGGTGCGGGAGGATTGGGTTGATAATATCTTTAGCATTGGTTAGTCGGGGTTTCTGCTTGGAGTAATAATAGGAGAGGGTTGATAAATACTTACGGGGTTTCAGTCTGGGCAAAGCCTAGGAAGATGTTCTTGGTGTTTGCTAACTGATACTGGTATAAGGTGTGGTGCTCGCTTGATGTGCCGACACTGTTATTTGAAGATAGGAAGTTAGCTGGGATAGAACGGTATATACTGATGATGATAAAACAGAACGAGTATTCCAGATTGAAACTTACAGCCAGAATGTTCCGGCGGCGCTGTCAATAAGTACCCCTCGACCGGCGTAGATCGTCGTCTGTGTGCCCCCTTGCTCAAGGTCGTGGTCAGCAACCCAAAACCAATTATTCTCCATATATAATCCGGAAGCTGAAGCTGTGATGTGCATCGACATGTACGCTGCAATGCAATTGGTGTTGATGTTCGTGCTTCCAGGAGTGGATGGGCAGTTGGCGAGAAGGAGGTCTGATCCGGCGAACCCACCAATGCGGGTGTGCACATCCCACATTCCAGACGGTGTTCCGGATGTCGCGAGATTCCATTCAATGAGTATGGCACCAGCCTGGGCGCCCTGTGTGCTGACAATCATGTCGGACCATTCGACTTGCCCGGTAGCACCTGGGGTACCTACTCTTACAACCGGCTGAGGGTTGTTCATGTCGTTGAAGAAGCTGCCGCTAGACAGGATAATTGGAAGGCCTTCACCCACCAACTTGGCACCAGCTGGTATCACAAGCGTTTTTGTTACTTTGTAAGTTCCAGAATCAAAGTAGACGACGTGTCCGGCTGAGGTGGCGCTATTGATAATGTTTTGCAGTGCGTTTGTGTCATCCGTGTTACCATTTCCGGTGGCGCCAGCACTTCGTACACTTGCGAATGAGGACGCGGGAAGTGTTTCATACTGTGGCTTTGATCGGACGTAGTATTTACCACCACTCACAAGAGAAGCTGGTCTGTTGTTTGGTGTAAATGAGCCTTGGAATCGCTCAGGGCCTTGAGGAGTATATCTGTGTCCTTCGCCCCACGCAGCAATCGTCGTTGAGCCACCAGCAAGAACGGTTGGACCACCGGAAACCTTGACTGCAGTTGGGACGTTGTTGAGAACGACGTTTTCTATGATGAGGCTGTTTGCCGTAGCCGGGACCGTAGTCGAATCGTAAGCTGTAAGGATACCAATCGGGGTATTTGTAATAGTACTATCAATCACTGTGACTGAGCCAACGGCTGCTGATGCTTGGCCACCAGTCGACATGTCAATACCTATTTGGCAGTTGTTGATGCTGAGACCTTGGTATAGCCAACCCCAGTTCCAGATTTGCTGAATCGCCGTCACGCAGTTGTTGAATACGAGGTTACGCATTGTAAACTGCTGGTTGCCGACTTGCGCACCAATCTTACCGCCGTTAAATGTCAAATCAGTGATAATTCCCGCAGAGCCTACATGATTGAGTCAGTGAAGAATTTATATAACGCTATGGCCGATGCTGTGTGATGATAGGCGCGTGTAACTTCTTCGGCTCTTATGACTGTTGAGCGCCAAAAAAGGGCAAAGAGAGCAGACATACCACTTTCACAAAATAAACCAACATGCTGAGTTCCAGATGCCGCACTCATTTGAAAAACGATGTTTCGCAAGCTTGTAGCTTGTGCGGTAGGCCAGTGTATGCCGGTTGCAGCTGCTGATGCGGGTATATTTCTCATATCGAGGATAAAGTTCCGGACTTCTCTGAAGAAAACGGTTGTGGAGCCCCAGTTCAAATCCTGGGTGAAGTATGGATCTCCATCAATCAAACCAAACCCTGAAAATCCAGATGTAGCTTTCAAGACCGGGACATTGTTTGGGTTACCAATGAGCTGCGTGTAGTACAAATCAATGATAGAAGAAGATATCAGGTAGGTTCCAGCTGGGAAATAAACAACGGCTGGTGTCGTTGTGCTCGATCCACATCCTCTGCCACAACGGGCACCGTCACTAATTGCGGCATTGATAGCTGCAGTGTCATCCGTGACACCGTCTCCTACATAATATTCATAATTAGCATTTCTGTTGACTCTTGTAGCTAGTAGAAATAACATACCTTTGGCACCGTAACTCTTGACATTTCGGTATACTGTATATCCGCCAGGGCCAAACGCAGATTTTCCTTGATGGGCAATGTTCTCGTACCAGTAAGAAGCTCCCTGTCGCTTTGAGACCGTTGAATCCGTGGAATTGGCCCCTTCGAAGTGAACATAGTTGTCAGCGCGCTCTAAAGTTTTCTCGACGATGGCGTCAACCGAGGGAATCTTCAAATGCTCGCTGAATGCTCCGAGCACAAGTGCAGAGAATACTGCAACTCCGGCGAGATGCATCTTAGCTAAATACTTTTTTCTTGTGATGGGAGAGTGAAGCGATGTCCTTGTATCAACGGGGCCTCGACAATACTTATACACTGACATGGTCGTCCAGATCACGCGGAACGCACCATCAATCAGCCCCACAGTAGTTTCAAGGGAAGTGGGCCAGAAGAGAGCTTTCTCCATCCAAGGAGGTTCTCCGGCGAATCAACCTTGAAGTTCGTCCACTGAGTCCACGGTGCATCGTATGGAGCTATCCGGTCTCCGCATAACCACCGTTACGCGGGGTTGAGTAATGTCTCTCCATCCCGTCCGGGCGTCATCACGCTGCCGCCAACAAGAAATAGTTGTGGGGCCTAATCAATAATGGCGGGAAGATGATAGATAGGTATGCGGAGAACTGACCGAGATTAAATGACGCATGCAAAGTATGCATGAAGCCGCTTGCCGATGTTGAATTGAGATTTCTCACAGTGATGTCGGAAGTTTGGGACCTGCAAGCCCAATGTTCTACCAAGGTCATGCCCTAGTGATGCAAGGGTCAGTATCAGCTCAGACATTCCGTAAATCGCGGGGTCATCTCCCGCTAGTCTAACTGTGTAGTGTATAGAATGTCTAAGCACTCGGACATATTTCCCCATCAGCATAGACTGTGGCTGATATATGCAGGCCGTGATATTGTGGCGTGTTGATGGTCCGCTGCAAAATAAGCTAGATAGGATTGGTCGATCGCGGATCTACTTCGCAAGGAAATAGAGTTTTACGTCTTTTTCTCGCACAGGGATGAATGCCCCTGTCGATTTGATGACATGCCATGTCTGTTATCAAGTTATGCGGAAGCTAGTAATAAATAGGGGTCTAAGTTATGCGTAACTGAGGGGTCAGCAAGTTCCGCGGATTAGGTTACCCACGGGGTCCCGCGGAAGTTCGGGAAGCCATGGGACGTGCGACTTCAAATTAACTAGGGTTCCCCATAGTACCTGGCGTAAGTTTGGGTAGGCATGTGAGGGACCTGCAACTTTAAATTAACTAGGGTTCCCCATAGTACCCCGCGTAAGTTCGGGTAGCCATGTGACAGATCTGCAACTTTAAATTGACCAGGGTTCCCCACAGTACCCCGCGTAAGTTCGGAAAGGTAAAAGGTTAATAATAACTCCGCATTTTCGCGCGGAC